CAAGGAGCCTTTGGTGATAATGCTATTCTCGCGAGACACGGTAGAGATATGTTCGTTTCTTTTTTGTTTCTTTTTTCTTTTTTTTTTTTTTTTTTTTTTTTTTTTTTTTTTTTTTTTTTTTTTTTTTTTTTTTTTAAAAAAAAAAAAAAAAGTCTTTGTATCAAAGTAACAAATAACACAAGGCATCTTTCGGAAATGAAGCAAAGCCAGGTGATATAAGCATCCTAACGTTGAAACGTATAAATCCACTACGATACCTATTATCATACTCATATGAAGAGACGAGTTTTATACTATGAAGCTATGTTAGCCACTACAAACATGGACGATATCAATGGCTGTCAATTGGCAGCTGATGTGGCGCGTATTCTGGACCAGTCGCATATTCCTAACCTTCTGTGGGGGGAACTCGCGGTTGGAATGGTTGGCGATAACTTGCCTACGAAGGTACGTAGGTATGCGCAATTCTTTCGGTTTTCACTTCTCACAAGTCCTGTCTATTTATTAGAAAATTGAATTTATCGTACCAGATAGCCTGATTTCGTCAGCCGCCATGGCCCTCAATCAATCCGGATTTCCTCTTTGCGATAGCTCCAAGTGTCCTGAACACCGGCAGAATAGGCATCGTCCTACTGCAGATGCTCATTTTCACCTTCATGGAATGGATCAAGTCTGGTCATTGTTGTCACTCTTCAAAAATTCAACAACTGTTTGGTGGCTCCCAGAGCTCAAGTTAGAGCCTCCAGCTCAGGACGATCCCTATCTTACGCTTTCGAATGATCAGCGATTGCCACCTTGCTTACCAAGGAGTTCAGGTCCCTGGAACAGTCTGTATTCTATCAGGATCTTGCACCCAAGTTCGCTCGTTGAAGCCATGATCCTGCTTATGTGTCGGGATATTGACCAGCCCAGTGGCTTCTTCCAACAATGGAGGCATTGGACGGCCTGTTTACTGGATAACTCAGATCAAAAGCAGGACCCCCAGTACCAGATTTCGAAAAATGTTCGGTCTGAGTTCCAGAAATTTTGGCAGGTTATGAATTCTCGCAGGCCGAGTTTAAATCCTTGGCTGTCATTGTATGAGCTTCGATACAAATTGAGTCTAAGGAACGAACTTCCCCTTCCGCCATATGTTGATGAATTAGTCGACTAGACATTGGGCAGTGAGATGAATTCCAGGTTTAGCTGTCTGTGGTATTCCGGGTTCAATCTCGCACGCTGTCGTTTCTATTTTAGCCATTGGGAGATTTTGCTGCTAATGTAAGTAGTATAGCATTTCAATATTATTTTTTTTTTATTGTGTCGTTTCGATGTAGAGGTGCAATGTTGCATTCACTTCTGAAGTTGCCGGTGGTATATATATTGTTTTACCCCTTTACTACTGACAGCTAATTTGAAAAGGGAATGTTCAGCAAAAGACTGTTCATTGGTATAGTATTTGTGATGAAACCAGACCGGAAGCAGCCAGTCGATAGGTAATGAACAAGCAGAAGGCCTGATCTCTCAGGCAGGCGAGGAAAGAGAACAAGCCCGGAATCGGAAGGGAAAGACCGGGAGAGTCACGTGCCGATAGACCAGCGTCACCGCTGACACACGTGATCGTAAAGCGGCGAGGCACGGGAGGGGCTTGTTCCCAATGCAGAAGGTACGCGGGGTGCACGTGCCACCCGGCCTCCGAAAGCCGGTCCTCTTCTCTCCTCTTCTTTTCGCCCCGAACAGAGACGACCACTTTCTTCTTTCATCCGCGGTGCCTCGGAATTAAGTCATTTTATCGGTGGCCTTCCTTTAATTCAACCACTCTTCTAGTGTAGAGTGCCTTGTTCTCCCTTCCCCTTAGCCTCTTCTGTTAGTGGGCTTCGCAGTCGCTGGCGGGACCGGTGAGCTAGAGTAGCATACCCCTCCAGCAGAGACGCTAGGCAAGGAGTAGGCTCAAGTGACTGGTTGTGTAACACAGCTTTTCTCCCTTCCTGAAGCTTACGGATACCGTTTGTAAGTCATTTGTCTCTGCGCGACTTCATACTACGGTCCTTTCGTACTGCTTTGATTAGCATTTAGGCCATGCTTACTGATATCTCGCTGCTTGACTAGAGCCTAACACACCACGATGCACGTCAAAGATAAACTCGCCCAAAATGAAGCCGCGGGGAGGACCGGCATTTCCTTCGAGTTCTTCCCGCCGAAGACTGCTCAAGGTGTGCAGAACCTCTACGACAGAATGGATCGTATGCACGCGCTTGGTCCATCTTTCATTGACATCACCTGGGGTGCCGGTGGTCGACTATCCGATCTCACCTGCGAAATGGTGAACGTAGCCCAGTCAGTATATGGACTTGAGACTTGCATGCATTTGACTTGCACGGACATGCCGACCGAAAAGGTGGACAATGCCCTTCAGGCGGCCTACAAGGCTGGCTGCACGAACATCTTGGCTCTCCGTGGCGATCCGCCTCGTGAGAAGGAGACGTGGGAAGCCACGGAGGGAGGATTTCGTTACGCCAAGGATCTAGTCAAGTATATCCGGGACAAATACGGGAACCATTTCGATATCGGTGTGGGCGGTTATCCAGAGGGAGCGGATGACAACTCAGATGTTGATCTCTTGATCGACCATTTGAAAGAGAAGGTCGATGCAGGAGCTTCCTTTGTGATCACACAGATGTTTTACGACACGGACAACTTTATTGAGTGGGTGAAAAAATGCCGGGCCAAGGGCGTTGACGTACCGATCATTCCCGGTATCATGCCTATTCAAACCTACGCTGCGTTCATTAGACGGGCCAATTGGACAAAATCCCGGATCCCGCCCGACTGGCTTGAAATCCTTGAGCCTGTCAAGAATGACGATGCTGCCGTGAAAGACATTGGAAAGGGTCTAGTCGCAGATATGTGCAGAAGGCTTATCGCATCTGGCATTAACCACCTGCATTTGTAAGTTTCTCTTGCTTTCTTCCGTTGTCCCACCAAAACCACAGGATTCGAAACTAACAACGAACTTTAGCTACACCATGAACCTTGCCCAAGCCGTGCAGCTGGTTCTTGACGAATTGGACCTTATGCCATCCGAAGAGACCCCCATCCAGAGACCTTTGCCCTGGCGGCCATCTCTGGGTCTCAACCGCAGAGCCGAGGACGTCCGACCCATCTTCTGGAGAAACAGAAACTCCTCTTATATCGCACGTACACAGACATGGGACGAGTTCCCCAACGGCCGATGGACCGACTCTCGATCGCCTGCCTTTGGTGAGCTTGACTCATACGGCATCGGCCTTAAAGGCACCAACGAACAGAACATCAAGCTCTGGGGAGAGCCTACGTCGATTCGCGATCTCGCTCACATCTTTGTTCGTTACTTGGAAGGAAAACTCGAACGCCTGCCATGGAGCGACACACAGCTTAGTACCGAGGCCAATGTGATCAAGGATAAATTGATTGAACTCAACAATAGGGGTCTTCTCACCATCAACTCACAGCCCGCTGTCAATGGTGCCAAGTCTTCCCATCCTGTGTACGGATGGGGCCCCAAGAATGGATTTGTGTATCAGAAAGCGTACCTTGAACTACTGGTGCCACCCTATTTGCTTGAGGAACTCATTGGTCGGATTGAGAAGAACGAAGACCTCACGTACCACGCGGTCTCAAAGACTGGCGAGCTGCGAACCAACACTCGAGACAGTCCTAATGCTCTGACATGGGGTATCTTCGCCGGAAGAGAGGTTGTTCAGCCTACGATTGTGGAAACAATCAGTTTCTTGGCCTGGAAGGACGAGGCGTACCGTCTGGGTGAAGACTGGGCCAAATGTCATGAGGCCACAACTCCGAGCCGGAAATTGATCCAAGGGGTTGTGGATGACTGGTACTTGGTCAACATCGGTAAGTTTCAGGAAATACCCCCGTTTCGCTTAGACTAATAGCTAATGTCTATGCTCCTAGTCAACAACGATTTCCACAACACGTTCAGCCTCTTTGAACTGTTCGATGGTTTGAACGTGAAGGACCTCGACACCGAGGTTTCCGCGGACAACGCAGCGCCTAAGCAGCTCTCTGCCGACGCAGCAGCTCCAGAAATTGCCGTGAAAAACTAATCATACCCATCATCTTCAGGCTAACAAACCAGGCCTGACCTAAAATTCTCTTGTGCCTCTTCAACGACTATTATACTTATTAATTCAACATCTCTCTCAACGATACCTGCCTGGGGAAACAACCCCCAGGCATTGAAATGTTTTATGGCGACACGAAACGAAGACCTCTCAACGATTTCTTCTTTGAGCGTTATCTTACTTCAACATGACTTTTAACATTTGACCATTATACCCCTGGGATTTTTTTTTTCTTTTTATCTTTTCCTTTCCTCTCACCATTCTCCCCGACCAATTACGAGGAGAACCCAAAATTCAACATGGTAATATACTCGATAGAACCAGGGAAAAGGAGAAATCTTCACTCACTTCCTTTTTCTTCGAAACACAACGATATTCAGAGCGGGGCGATGCCTCTTACGATAATTCAACACTACGGATGATGACGGAGTTGGGTTCATGAGAATAAGTTCAAAAAAGTGATCCTCTTCAACAACGGGATACGGAGTCTTCTTCATGGCTTTCTTTGACTCGATGCATTCTTTGGATACCTATCCAATCTCGATTTTCTTTTCTCTCTCCTTTTTCTTTTCCCGTTTCCCTCTTGTGGCTTGACAGCCACCTTCTCGTTGCATTGCCATATGGCACCGCAGGCATCTATCCAGCTTTCTTGTTCAGAGTCCGATAGAAATTGTCCATGATATGTCTGCCTCTCTTCATACTAGAGAGGCAAATAGAGTGACCAGCATAGAAAATTCAAAATAAGTCCTGTCAATTTTCCAATAGTCGGTTCAGGTTGTTATGTAGTAAAATGTCTGTTATTTCCACAAATATCCTTCCAAAGTCGCTATTCCCATGTCTCGAATACAGCAAATGGAACGAATAAAGATATACATTAGACCGGCTAGGACTTGATAACAAGAGCAATTCAGAGTTACACCTCGCTAGAAAAGCATAAGAGGAAGAAGGACCATAAAGATAAACCTCGAAGAGCCAACCCAAGAACGAATGAAATCGACAGGACACAGTTCACCCCCTTCTTCATATGCCGACGAAAACAACCAAGTTGAGCCCAATGCTAGGTAAGCAGTGCACAGGCCAGGGATTTCAACCAAGAAGAAAGGAATGAAACAAGAAGCATAATCGCCCAAGGGTATCTATCTATTTATTAATCACATCGCGCCAGCCCAGATCACATCAAGAGGGCTCTTCCCAATGTTCCCAAAATCCACCCAAAAGGTTTCGTCACCCAGACAATCCAGCTTCCGATGAGCACGATATAGCCGGCCGCTCGACCGACGACCATCATGATGAAACCCAAGGCGACGAGATATATGACGGCCTGACCGAGTTCGGTTAGCGAGCGGGCAACGTCTTTATCGTTGGATTTAGGCCAAGCTCCCGTGGAGTTGTAGACGGCGCAGGCCGTGAGGAAGTTTCGGAGAACGTATAGACAGTGGCCGATCATGTTGAGGATGCAGTTGAGGGGGATTTTCACTAGAACCGCTCGGGAATTCCAGTTGGCCATGATGTCCCTGTACAAGCCTTGGGCTTGAGCGATAGACAGGAGAAAGATGTCGATGATGAGGCCGAAGGTGACGGAACTCATGAGGTCCCTGTCACTCTCTGGCTCTGGCCCGGACTTGCTGCTGCTCTTGCTGGCGTCGGGGTCATCCTTGGCGGGCGGCGTGATGGGAGCCACCTCCTGGTCTTTGAGTTCGTCTTTCAAATGATCATCCACCTGATGTCCGTCTAACTCGGCTACCTCGAAGATGCGCGCACTGGGCAAGGGGATGCGACGTTCCGGCCGAACGTTGGTGTTCAATTTCGGCGGGGGTACAGGCCTTTGAGCCGAAACGGACTTGGGAAATTGAGCTGGATCTGTGGCGCTCCTCACAGGGGGCGCGTTTTCGTTACTGCGTGGCAACTGATAAGCATGGGAATGTCGTTTAATGCGCGCGCGAGGATTGGCGTTTTCGGAGGACTTGGCTATGCCTTTGGTATGGATGTACCCACGGATAGCGTGCGGCTTCTCGGCCGCGATCTGGCATGGATATGCTTGTTCTTTCACGGCGGGAGCGTTTGGAACGGGTCCAGGTTTTGACAATGTTGTGGATGGCATGTTTGACTTTTCCCACGAGTTTTGTGTCGCTCGACGTAAGCCCGACGGTGTAGAGTGGACGGGAGGCTTTGCCCTGGTGTCGGTGATGATTTCGCCTGCTGCGCGAGACGACGGCTCTTTCATCCGAGGAGACTTCTGGGCGACGCCTCTCATGTCCGCCATGGTCATCATAGTGCGTGTGATAGTGGGTGTGATAATGAACACATCGTCGTCTCCCTGATGGCGTTTCCCTCGTTCTGGATTCTTGGGCGGAATCCCTATCTGGGTCGAGTTTTCTTTTCCGGATGCTGTCGGGGCAGACATCTGGGCGTTTTCTGACGGTCGACAGGTTGTCTCGCGGCACATCGTACGTTGGGACTGCTTCGAGCATTGGGCATGCTTCAAATTCTGAGAAATTGGTTCCCACTCTGCCTGAACGACGGTCTTCTCTTCTAAGGCCGAAATCGCTGGAGGAGGAGCGGTTGTTTTCCGTTCTCTGGAATTCTTGGACACCGGGGTTGACACGTCCACCACTCTCGGACGCTCGTCTGTCGTCGAGAAAAGCAATATCTCGTCTGGATTCTTGTCGTTTGGGCCGTTTATTTCCTTGCACCCTAAAAAAGACCCGTCGATGTTTACTGTAGTCTTGGCTTTGTGCCGCGATGCTCCTTCTTCCCAGATGGTGCTAAATCGCTGCTTTCCAATCTCATCGGGCGAGTAATATCGACCATGGCTAGGCTGTGGCTCTGACGTCGGTTCACCTGGCCCTGTCGGTGCAGCTGCTCCAGAATCTTGGCCATCAAGATTAGCCGGCTTTTCCCCTTGCGACGTATCTTCTGGGGTTCTGGTGCGTGGACTTGGTAGAGTGTCGGGATCAAGCATTGTTTCCCCCTGGTTGTGAACTTGGTCAATGCTTTTTTGGAAGTTGGAGATTTGTTGCGCGCTCATGGTCGGTGGATTTGGCTCCTTGGCCGACGGCATGTTCACCACAAACCGATCCTCCCAATCAGTCATCGAGCTGCTGGGCCCCGACAAAGGTGAGATGGAGGGACGTGAATTGATGGACGAGTCCGTAGTGCTCTCTTGCTTTTCTGAAGGTTTCCGATTGATGGTGTCAGAAGTACCAGTCACATTTGGTGGGCGTTTATTTGATTCTCCCTTTTTCGCTCCAAGAGGTTTGCTTGTAGAAGCTGGTTCAGGCTTGTGCGTGTGTCGAGAGCTCGGGCTTGTATTGGCAGTCCGAGGGATGGTACTTTGCCTTGGTGTCTTATCATCGTCATTCGTCTTTGCAGTAGACTTCGGCATGTGCTTGCTGACCTCTTGTTTTGGGGAACTCGTGAACGACATGATCTTCTGGTAAGCACCGTGATAATACTCCTTTTGCTTTTCTAGGTTTCGTGGAGAGATAGGGGAGTCCTTTTCGAATTTCTCCTTAACCTTTCGCCAGTACTGCTCCCGATCTTTATCCGTTGACTTGGCAGGTCGACGCTCCAATGACGAAGGAGACATCTTGGGTTGAGCTCGCCGACCGAGAGTGTGCTGTCGAGGTTCTTTACGACCGGCCACAGGCACAGGGGAGCCATCCGCCGATTCATCCCTGGTCTTGTCGGCGGATTTCTTAGGCATCGGTAGCCTGGTAGGAGTGACCTTCCGCGCTGATGTCTCAGGACTAGACTTGGGATCCTTGCCCTCCGTACGAGGCTTATAAGCCTTGTACACTGCCGCAGGTTCATTGCTTCGTTCACATTCCAGGTCCTCAGCCTCACATTTCGCGTGTTGGGGGTTTCGACTCCGGGGCTTGAGATTGAGTAGATGTCCATATGGCAAGGGAACGCGTTCCTCCATGTTAATAATAACGGGTCGCAGCTAGCAGATAGAACTCAGGCCGGATTCGCAGTTGAATCGACCCATTCCCTCCTCGGAGGACAACTCGGTCCTTTGTTGCACGTCCTGTTGAACGCGTGATATGCTCTCGGAGCTGGCTTCCGTATGACGAAGTTCAGGTGGTTAAATCATGGTACTTTGTTTGAAAAGGAGGTACCAAGGAAAGGTCGTTTTTTTCTTCCATCGACTGCCCGTGTAGCAAGAAAGGGATAACGGAATAATGATATGATTGGAATGCTACGGTGCACGCGGTGGAATGTATCAACAAACGGAGTGCCCGATTTGGAATGTATGACCCCGTTCGAAGCTCCTTGGTATGGGCAGCTGCCCGCATCAGGCCTTGGCCCGGCTTTGTCGTCATTCGAGCGCAAGGTAGGCATGGATAAGTAGAGGTCGCAGTTGCCATTACAGCCTGGCTCTTTTCGGGATGCTATACGGAAAGCTCCTCGCTCAATGAACAGTACAAAATGCCGAGAACTTGCGAAACTTTGTAGCGAAATTCGGACCAGAGAGCTCAATCTTCCTACCGAGCCGTTGCAGGAGAATTCCGAACATATGATACAGTGGCTGGCGATGCTTCCATACATTCCTGAGCTCGTTTTGGGCCAATGGTCATTGATACCCCGGAACCGGAAGCCAGGAACATGCGCTTAGGAACCCCAGAAAGAGAAAAAGAAAAGAAAACCAAGAAAAAGTAGAATATCAACAAAGCGCCGCGCTCCAATGCTAAGATGACCCATAGTCTCAAGCCATATGTGCTTCGAACAATGTGATAATGCAGATGCGGTTGCGCCCGGGGGCAACTCTGACAGGGTAACCCATGATGACAATTAAGCTAACTGGGAGAGCTAGAAATATCCTGTGTCGCGGCGAGAATCAAGATGACTCCGTCTTGGTGTCGGTGCGAGCGGACTCCCACCCGGCACGTTGCTCCTCTTGAGCGGACTAGATTGCCTTTTAATAGGACTGGCCCCTCGGTCCTTGTAGAAGAATTCCCCGGTATTTTGAGGTCGACGATCGAAATTCGTCGACGTGGATGTAGATTTCCTCAGAGGAGAATTGGCATGTGAATAGATACCGAGACTACCACCGTCCCCAGTTGCCGAAGGGGTTTTGCGAAACTGGGGTTGGCGGATTGCAGATATAGGTTTTCGGACAATTGGAGAGGCGTCTCGTAGGTGACTAGGGGTTTGAAACGACGATTGGTGGTTCGAAGACGCTGAAGGCGTAGCGGCCATAGACTGACGCCCCGAGGACAATCCTTCAGGGTCGACATGGCTGACATAGTTGGGGTTGGGGCTAGTTTTGAATCCCCGTTGAATGATGAAGGTTGGAGTAAACGTATCGACCTTGTTGCTTTTGGCGTCCGAGCCAGGCTTAGTGGCGTCTGTCTCCGAGAACTGAGTAGCGACATCTCGCATCAAAGGCTGGGTTCGAGGGTGAACGTATTTAACATCATATTCCTTAAGCACCTCCTTGTGTACCAGCGCAGAATCCTTCGCTTGTTGGGTGAACGAGGACGATAGGAAACTCATTTGCAGCGAAAGCAAGCTGGTCAGGAGGATGGTGGTCACGAACGTCACACTCGGTCGAGGGTCGGATAGTTGGGTAGGCAGGAAAAGCCAGTAGACGAGAACGTGCGCGGGGCTGAAGAGACAAAATATGCGCAAACAGATCGGCAGGGGATCCCAGACCGCAAGTTCCCAAACATCGCGTTGCGCATTGGGGTGCGCCCTCGATTGCGCTGAGCCGGTTATGACCTGAGCAAAATATCGCATCGGTGAAGCCGACACAGGAGTGGAATCGACGCGCACACGATGAGCTGACGGCGTGGCAGGGGCCTTGTCGATCGAGGATTCGAACATGCGATAGTGTCGCTTGCGGTAGAAAGTGTAGAAAGTGTTGAAGCCGACGAAGCAAACGAGCAGATGAACAGTGAATGAGGCCTGCGACGAAAACCCACGTTAGTAAAAATTGCCAAAGAAGCCTTCTTCTCCACGTCATAAAGGAGATGAATTGAACATACAAGCCAACTCAACCAAGGCGCACCCTCCTCATCGCCGAAGACATCGTCGACGGCGCGACTGCCGCTCGATTGACTGTTGGCTCTCGCAACCAGGAAAACAATGTTCAGGATCACACCCAGGGTGATCGACCAGTTCTTCTCAAACTGATCCCAATCATTGGCATCGATCTCTTCGGACAGCCAGAGCAAAAAGTCCAGCGGGTTCAAGTAGGATTTGATCCGTTCGGCCAACGGTCGGCGGCGTACAAGCCGGGGCATGATGCTGGCGGGAGAGGTTCTAGTGAAATGCGAAGTGCTGCAGTTCAGTCGAGGGTTAGTCAGGCGAGATCAGCGAGGGAAGAGATGAGACGTACCTCAAGGTGCTTCTTTGACAGCGGCGAAAGTTTTCGGACCCGCTGGTAAACAACAAAATACAGTCCAACGGGCGCTTAGGTAAGCCGGTCGGGGCGACCAACTGCGCTGTAGTTATGACGACTTATCGGCCTCGGGACTCTATCAACGTTGGTGCTTCGTGCTTCGAGTGAGGTGAACCCACTCCTGCTTGTGCCTCTGGAACTTCTCTCTCCCATACTGTCATCATGGCGGCTTCCGCCGTTTCTTTCAAGGTACACATCGATGCTTGATCCTCAGCCCCTCTCCGCGGAGCCTGCCACGAAGCAGTAGTAGCTGATCGTGTTCATTGCGATTATTTAGGAGCGACAATTCCTTGCGGTTATCGGAGATGAAGAGTAAGAGCTCGTACGGCCAACACTTTGGGATGAACTGACCCTTTCTCCAGCTCGGTAACCGGTCTTCTTCTTGCCGGCATCGGGGTAAGTCCCATCTCCCAGAGCAGCGGGGGACAGATCTTCCATTCGCAGATGCTAACAGACGACACAGCATGTCACAGATGGCCCCGATGCCGAACGGAATTTCCTTGTCGTCGATGCTAAGACGGAAACCTCGGCGATCGAAAAAGCGTTCCAGAATTTCACTCAGGAGAGAAAGGATATTGCCGTCGTTCTCATCAACCAACATGTGCGTTCCCCTCGACGCCGATAACGAGTCTTTTCTCCCTGCACGCCGCTCTTATACTGCACTATTCTGGCTGTCCTGCTGACTCTTCGATACCAGGTCGCCGAGCGCATCCGACACAGCGTTGATACCTTCGCCGAGCCTTTCCCCGCCGTTCTCGAAATCCCAAGCAAAGACCACCCATACGACCCCGAGAAAGACAGCGTGTTGAAGCGGGTGCGCCGGTTGTTCGGAGAATAAACATGAAACATTGTGTTGTTCTAGCTGTCTGTTTTATGTGAAGGCATTTAGCGTGGCCGGTAGGGTCTAGTGTATGTTCATTTAAGACCTACTGTCACCGTTGTTGCTATCTGACCTGGTTTCTGCTCGGTGAAGTTGTTCAAGGGGAAGGGAAGATACCCATTCTTGGAAAATCATGCGCCATAGAACTCCTACATATCGCCCAACTGCGAGTCCACTTTAGTTGACCACGAGTCACAAGAAAAGAGGAGTAAATTAGGGCTCTTAGTTGATGCATAATACACACGAATGCAAAGGGTACTAATGTGGAGGTATGGAGCGAGTACACGTAGAGCACATAATGAAAGAAAGCAGCAATGTCTTGAGACAGATGCCATGAACGCCGTCCAGAGCAAAGCATATTTAATCATCGCAGGAATACCATCATGCAAGCATGCAAGTTGATGGGTGTGGGTAGAACAGATCACAATTCAGAAAAAAAAAGAAAAGAATATTCGCTGCAAAAGAAAGAACAGAAGATCTCGTGTAGATGCGACATGAGGTCGTGATGTGGGTAATAAATCAATCCCACGGCATTTCGAACTAGGGGTTCATTTGGATATTGGCCATCGCAGCTGGAGCTTCGTGTAGACGCTGATTGACGCAGCCAGGTAAAATGTTTAATTTCCCAGCTTGAACTCGATATTGGTAGCGTCCAGGCAAGTGATGCGCTCTTCGTCCTTGGTAAACACATCGGCGTGCACCGAATATTTGCCCTATGGGTGAATCACCGTGTTAGTTGTCTATGTCCGAGAGAAAGCATAAATCAAGACAAAAAGGAATGTAACATACGGGAGGAATATGGGAAGGCAATTCCACTTGCTTGACCAAGGACATCTCGCCCTCTTCCAATGGGCACTTGAGGTCAACGTTGACGATTTGTTCGCAAAGGTCAGCCTGCTGCTTGATCAGAGTAATCAGGCCATATTTGACCTGCAAAAGCACATAAGCCCCCTGCTCGATCTTCTTGTGAATATTGCCCTTGGCCTTGATGGTAAGGGTCTTGCCACTACAAGCTGTCAGTCACCAAGATCTCGTTAGATCGCACGAGGGTTCATACGGCAGAGGAGGGTTGGGCGCCAAATCAACGGATTCAATCTCTATGAGGTCTCCGGACGGATCGTTGCAAAACTCAAGAGGGTTGTCACCCGGCACAGACTTGGAAGTATCGACTTGGATAGGAGCCTGCGACGAGCCGAAGAGGGCAATCGATCGACCCGATACAGTGAGGGGAGCGAAGCAGACAAGCAAGGTAGCGGCAGATGATAGGAGCTTCATGGCGACAGAATCACAGTATGAGTGATTTCAAACGACAGATGAGTATATAGACGGAATAAACACGCCCTTCCGTACCGGGTCGTGAATGAGAGGGCAAAGTGATAGATTGAATGATGAATGGAGAGAAAGGAAAGTGGAGGAGAAGCGGTCGGGTCCAACGAGTCATGGGACTGCGTTTGCTGCAATGACGAACGGGGCTGGGCGCACGTGACCGACAGGGGCTCAACGAGTTGCCACCTGACTGGGCGATCGCAGGGGCATGCAACGTCAGGGCTCAGATGGCTGTCCTGCCCCTGTCAACGAGGTACGGTGCGTTCTTGCCTCGCTCTTGGCCCTTTCCACCCATACTCCGTCCTGCACAACGAATGTACAGTACCCATGTCGAACTTAAGGTTATGGGGTTGGACTTCATCACCGTGGAGATGTGACCCACCTCCACTTTTCTACCGAACTGTCCCATCAACACTCCCGAAGAAGCATGTATAAACAGTGATTAATGACTGTCGCTATTCATCTCTAATTGAGCTGGAACATATTTACACATTGAAAACCATCCTTGCCCTCTCATCGCATCATATCAACTTTCAGTGCTCCGAAACAAAGATACCGGCCATACCCATACCCTGAATGGAATGTCAGGTCGAGGACAAATTAGGGGGTCATGGTTGAGGGGAAGGGGAAACTTACCGTTCCAACACACATGGAGGTGACTGCCACTCTCTTGTTCTGTCGTCGCAACTCAGAGAGGGCAGTGACCACTTGACGAGCTCCGGTACATCCCAATGGATGGCCAATGGCACTACGATAGTCAGCACATTACTCTTCCGGGTTCTCAATGTCACATTATGCAGCTTACATTGCACCACCCCGGGGGTTTACTTTAGTCTCGTCAAGACCAAGCTTCTGGACGCAATACGTGCCCTAAAAAAACGGGTTAGGGGAACATGTACAGACTCGAGGCAGGATGGGTGTTTACCATGGATGCAAACGCCTCGTTGATCTCGAAGATATCGATGTCGTCCTTGGACAGTCCGAACTTGGTGAGGATCTTGGGGATAGCAATGGACGGACCAATACCCATGATTCTGGGCTCCAAACCGGCGACGGTAGCTCCACAGAACTTGGCCAGAATGGGTTGTCCCAGTTCCTGAGCTCGAGACCGCTTCATGAGAATGAGACCCGCAGCGCCATCCGTGATCTGACTAGCATTTCCGCCAGTAGTGGCGCTGGGCTGCCACTGAGGGAATGCCGAGCGAATCTTGCCGAGCGACTCGGCAGTGGTGCCGTAGCGAATGCCATCGTCACGGTCCACAACCACGTTCTTCACCTCACCAGTCTTGGGGTCCTTGATCTGGGTGTGGACAGGGACGATCTCGTCGTTCAGCCAACCCGCCTTCTGAGCACGCTCCGCCTTTTGATAACTGTTAGCAGCGAATCGATCGTGCTGCTCCCGAGAGATGTTGAATTGACCCGCAACGTTCTCAGAGGTCTGGCCCATGGGCTGCTTGTTCTGCGAAGCCAACGGGTGCGACATGATCTTCTCGGACATATCCGGAGGTCCACCGTCGGCATTGGTGCTCATGCTTTCCGCTCCCACCGCTACACCAACATCAATCGAGCCGCTGATGATCTGGTTCGCAATGTTCTGAACGGCCAGCAGACCAGACGAGCAAAATCTGTTTGCGATCGACGCCGCGGCAGTCACGGGAAACCCGGCCGCCAACACGGCCGAGCGTGCTACATACGCTCCGCCGGGGCATAATACGTTGCCAACGCAGACATCTTCGACAAGGTTCGGGTCCAGATTTGATCGCTCGCGGACGGACTAATCACGATGTCAGATTGACCTGTAACGCAACTCTTCCCCCGTCAAACACCAGGATAACGTACCGTCAGCAGGGACACAAGAAGGTCATCCAAGTTGGTATCCTTCAAGCCACCTTTCCGAGCTTTCGTAAGGGGTGTGCGCACAGCTAGCGTGATGACCTATGTTCCGAGCAACTCGTTAGCGGTGGTTGCGCATATTCACATATTCGGTGTAGACTTCAGTACATACCACGTCATCGGGGTTCTTGGCCAGGATATTCTGCTTTGCGGCCCCGGGAGCGGAGAGCTGGTTTGCAATGGAGGACAGACGTTGTTGCGCGGAAGACATGGTGCCTGGTGTTTAGTGTACAAGTCCTTATTTTTCTTTTACCGAGGTAGGACTTTCTTCGTAGTACAGAGCTATCCTTTGATATATAGATGGACAGGTAGCTCTCCCCGCAATGAAGCACTGGTTGAGAGATTTATATGGGAGCAATTCGGGTGGTAGATGGATTCAGCACCTGGGAAAGGGGGCAAATAAAGAAACGAGGATGAGCCGCGGTACATTTCAGGGAGAAGGAAGAGACCAGAACCAGAAAAAAAAAGGACAGCCGAGAGAAGGTCACGGGCTGAGGAGACCGAGCCGAGATCCCGCCAGCCAATGAGGGGGCAGATCGGGAACGCATCGGATGCACATCAGTGGGCCTTGCGGCAGCCTGAGGATTCAAGCTCGTCGGCATCGTCGAGAGCCGGTCGCAGCCGTAAGATACCGTCACGCCGCTCGGCCTCGGCTGTCGGCCCTGCGTAAACTCGGGGAGACCGTGTATGGTACGGTAACGGGAGTCTCGGCGGGTGGCTGCTTAGGCTTTTGTGGGGGGTCGGACCCACCTGGTTGAATGCTCCATTGCTCAAGGCTCCCTCATTCTCACGTTCTTCTGGATGCATCCGTCATGCTGCATTGGCTAACTAACTTCTTCCGAGGCACTGCGGTCGCGAGTACTGCCATGGCTATCTTACATCCCGGTCCTTATCTTTGAACTGTCGCCCCAATTCCACCCAATAGGCAGTACCGGTTACTATTGCCCACCGTGGCTTCTCTCTCCCATGGCTCACCGGCTCTCCCGTCGTCATCATTGCGGTGCCTGAATGGATGCCTCCGATGATGCCACGTATCTGACAAAGAATGCTTGAGATAACAGACCAATCCACCGGGCACTTGAATGAGATCATGTAATCGAGGTGGCATTGGCCATTGACACGTAAGAAGCTCGGACCATAAGACAAACAAATTTAGCGCTTTTACCCCCCGGTCTGGCAATCCCCCATCGGATCCTCCCCCGGCATCGTACCCGCTGCGCCTGTCAGAATTGTTCAGTCTAGCCCCGGGAGACTCGGTTTGCGTCATGGACGGCAGATTGTGGTCTGTCAGATCCCGTTGTCAGGTCCCGATCGCCTCTACACTCCTGACTTCCCCATACATGGTTCATTCTTCGGACCTCCTCATCTAAAGGGGCACTATTGGCAAATAGCGGATCCGTGAGGATTGCGGAGACCTATTAAACCAATCCATCCGGCATACAATAGGAGACAGTCCGTGATTGTTCAAGTCCCTGGTTGCTGCACCGAGAGAGGCCTTGCCCCCTGTTCTTGCTCACTTCAGCCACGGCACAATGGACGCTCTATCGGAAATCAGCGGTTCTTCTATGGCAATCGCGTCCGCCCTCTCCGTGGCGGCGGGGGCCTACCTCAATGCAAAGTGGTCTATTTCTACAGATCTTTCGGCCATTCGTCAAGATCGCTCCTTTGGACAACGTTTGGGTCAGCGCATCGCCCAATTAGGCGACACAGCTACAGTATACAAGATGCTGGAGCGGTTAGTTGACGTGGATGGCCAGGGGTCTTCGGAGGCGCTCTGGTTTGAACACAAGACCTGGACGTACTCTCAGTTAAAGGATCGTGCGTACAACCCCTCTCTCCTCGACGCCGGTCAAATGCAAAGTGAAATCCGTATTTGCTGACGTTGTGCAGTTGTGGATCGCTTTGCTGCTCTTCTCCATGAAAGAGGGATCAAGTCCGGGGATTTTGTCGGTGTCTTCACCACCAATTCCCCAGAGATGGTGGTGACCATATACGCACTCTCCAAGCTCGGAGCTGTTGCTGCACTCATTAATACAAATCTGCGCGGTATGGAGGACGCCCTCTGGCTTAAACGTCTGGCAGTATGGACTAACATCGGATCGAACAGATGACACTTTCATTCACTGTCTCAAGGTGTCGGGCTCTATATTTATCATCTCGACTCCTGATTTGTCACAATTCGTGTCTAGTGATCTGCCCCATATCACAATGAACATATCCTCTTTCCATGGCGTTTCCACGGGCACGACAGAACTTGTGACGGATGCAGACCTACAACGGTTTTCACCTGTCGGGCTGGCCGCTGCGAAGAGATCACCCGGCGATCTAAACGTGTTGATCTACACGTCCGGCACGACAGGCAAGCCTAAAGCATGCGCGATTCGCAACATGCAAGCCATCGTGACCTCCAACCCCCTGACCGTCGACATCAACAATCGCTCGAAATACTACCCCCTTCGCACCTACTCATCGCTCCCTCTCTTCCACGGCACCGCTTATTTCACCGGCATCTGCTACGCCGTCGGCAACGCCGGCACATTATGTCTACGCCGCAAATTCTCGGCATCCCAGTTCTGGAAAGATGTCCACGACTCCAGAGCCACGCGCATCCTCTACATCGGCGAACTCTGCCGCTACCTCCTGTCCACGCCGCCCTCACCCTACGATAAAGACCACTCCTGCATCGTCGCGAATGGAAACGGACTCCGCGAAGAAATCTGGGACCGCTTCCGCCAACGCTTCGGAGTCCCCGAGATCCGCGAATTCTACCGCTCCACCGAGGGGGTCGCCAAATTCGACAATTTCGGCGAAGGCGCCTGGGGCGTGGGGAAGATCGGCTTCGCGGGGCCCCTCCGCCGCCTCCTCGACGACGACGTGTTCATCGTCAAATACGACACCGACACCGAAATGCCGTACCGCGACCCGACGACGGGGTTCTGTGTTTGCGCCTCCCTCGGCGAAGAAGGCGAGGCCATCGGCCGCGTGCGCAATCGCCGTCTTCTCACCGAGTACCTTCACAACGAGGACGCCACCGAGAAGAAGCTGCTACGCGACGTGTTCAAGAAAGGCGACATCTTCCAGCGCACGGGCGACCTCGTCGTCCAGGATCAGTCGGGGTGGATCAAGTTCCAGGACCGTGTGGGGGATACTTTCCGCTGGAAGGGGGAGAATGTCAGCGCGGGCGAGGTCAGAGACCATATCTGTCGGATTCCGACGGTTCATGACGCCGTTGTGTATGGTGTGAAGCTGAATGGGTATGTCCTTACTTCCTACTTTGAAAATACCCCCTTCTGGACACCCTGATCTGATCTTGATTTCGTCCAGATATGACGGCCAAGCCGGTGCAGCGGGCATCACTCTGGAAGAAGCATCTTCGGAGAACGGATTCATGACGAATCTCTACCGCGAGCTCAAGAAGAAGGGCGTTCCATCGTACGCGCTCCCTCGGCTTATTCGTCTTACCGAGAAGTGAGTTCCCTGCGCTCTTTACTCTACCATACTCTTTCTACCAGGCAGGAACCCCTCTTTACTGATACTGGCCAATTCAGAGTCGCCACCGGCGTCACCTTCAAACAAGCCAAAGGCGACCTCGCGAAGAAAGGATGGGACCCTAGTGCGGACTGGAAGGGCGATAAACTATACTGGTTGAATGGGTCCAGATACGAGAAACTAGATGCGCCGAGTTGGTCGTCGATAGAAACGGGGCAGGCTAAGTTATGATTGATAGATTTGGCTGGTTCGGATCGGGTTGGGTTGCTGTTTGATAGGCATGATTCCTTGCATATATGTGCTGCTAGATATAAGATATAAATACTAGACTAGGTAGACTTAGGATATGATTCCCAGCTGAAGCTACAACTCTTCTTACGAGAGCAATTCGATCCCGCCTGCTTATTCACATCACGGCCTACAATACCCAAATCATGTACTTCGATGTCATCAGTAGACAATCCGAAACGAAAAACAAATGAGCCTTCCGAATAGTGTGAATCACTCCGCCTGCAACGCTCTCTCCTTCTGATCCCGCAGAAACTGCTCCTGCTCCTTCCGACTCTTTTCCAGATCCAACCAGATCACCAAGACGGCAAAGCTCGCCACACTCAACCCAAACAGGAAGTAGAAGGGCGTCGAGTTATTCCTCGACGGTGACGCATCGATGATAGCGCTGGAGACCAGCGGTCCGATAAACGAGGACGTCTTACCAATGATGCTGAACAAGCTAAAGAAGAGGAAGTCGTGGCCACGAGGCGTGACCTCGGAGATCATGACCTGGGAGTAGCTGTACCAGGGACAGACGAAGAGGCCGTAAAAGACTTGGTAGAGCTTGTGAAACGAGTTAGTCGCTGTAATGGGCTGAAGAGAGAGGAAGTCTAGGAGAGACTTACCTAGAACTCTTAGACGTTGTGGAACCCGAATCGTTGGGTCTAGATGCCGATCATGCCCCAGCCGTCGAGGAGGATGATTGCCATGGCGATGATGTTGAACATGGTTTTTGTGCTCAGCTTGAACCGCTTCTGGCAGTACCAGAAGGAGTATATACCGACAGCCTGGAGGAATTCTTGGTTATTGTGATGCTAGGGAGAGGGAGAAAGGGAGGGATTCTGAGGTATAAGACTTGCCTGAGCGGCTATCCCGACGATGAGTAAATATGTCAAGTTCAAGGTATTATAAGATGACACGCTATTTTGCAAGGTCGATATCACAGTCACCGTTGTATTGAGAGAGTCACCGAGGAGGAAGTATCCTTTAGTAGTGTTAGATCCTAGGCTTTTGAAACCGGCGGAGTGTTCAACGTCTCACCTAGGAGATACAGCAAGCTTTGCTTCAGCTTCCACACCTGCATAAGAGCATGGCGGAGTTGCTTCAAGCCCGCTATTACAATGTTCTCGTCCCCTGGATCCTGTCCCGGTCGGCGTTTCTCGAGAAAGAACCACGGCAGAGACACCAGAAGCCATACTCCCGTGGCAAATGCAATCAACACGCTCAGCCCCCAATTATTATTCTGCTCGTTGTCATCCACGCGCAAGCCGAACATGATTCCAACGATGATCGCGAGGATGAATATCTCTGCGACCGACTGGATGTAGAATGATACGTTGGCCAACCGACTGCGCTCTAGACTGTCGGCATAGTCGTACTCTTCGCGCGAGATGTGACCAGCAACATATTCCTCGGATTTGGCATACATCTCCGGAGTATTGCGCGCCAAACCCGGGAACGCCGCCATCCAGAAGGTCAGAGTCGTCTGATAGGCGATCAACCCGACAATATACAGCCCAACCCCGATGTGCCATTTATCTGCCGTGTGGACGCCCAGCCAGCCAAAGCCAATCCCGTAGGCAATTATCGACAGGCCAATGAGGATGTTGGGTCGCCATTTCCCGAAATCAGCGAAACTACCGATGACGAGGAAGACGACGACTTGGATTGCGAATGATATGCCGTTGCTGAGGAGAACTATGCTGTTGATGGAGCGTTGCCGACCGGCGAAAAGAAGGGTTTCCTCGTCCCCGGCAGCCTGATAGAGGAGGTTTTGGAAAGCAGTCGGGCCGAAGTCTGGAGGAAACTGTTGTTAATTATATACTATTTTCATACGCAGCATCTCCCAGACAGAAACGCCATCTTACTAAACAACGAGAGCCCATTGTTCCCAATGTAGTAGCTGAATGACGGTGTTTAGTAGGCATCCAGGCGATTCAGTGATTGACCCACGCATAATAGGCCCAGATCTCCCATCGCGTGGTGCGATACGCCGAGTCGAAATGATCGGGAGGGATTCGTTGCTCGACGTCCTTGTGCGGCGTGACTTCTGTTATTTGCCCCGGAGGCTTTACACCCTCGGAGCCCTCTGGAGACATGCTGGATTCTCGAGACATCGCCGATCGACCTGAATCTCGAAAGTCTGCAAATCCAGACGTCGATGCAATCGTGGCGACACAAGACTACAACCCTACAGTGGGAGGAGGGCCAGCAGATAATTAACCCCGCGCACAATGACCTGAGAGGCTAACCGCATAGCGAGGTCGGATAATAAGATAACGGCGGGGGCAATATGCGACTAGTTGAGCGAAGCTGCACGCAATAGGCTGGATTCAATCTGGTGTCCAACCAAGCTCGTCGATCGTGATGCTGACGCGATTACCGGCGTTGCAATTCGTCGGAGCGGCAGACGAAAACAGCCATGCAGTCCGCGTTGGGATTTGGGACCCGTCGCTGGAGGTTTTAACTGGTAGATTTTTTTTTTTTCTTTTTTCTTCTTTTTTTCTTTGGCCTTTGGTGATATAAGTATACATTCATTGATTGGGTTGAGGTTTATTTCAACGCAAATTTTTGGGTTGCCCTTTCCACATCGTCAAAAAGTTTAGAAAGGGCCACTAGAAAACTCCAGCCCATGCTATGCCTAAGCGCCTTATCTCTGAAAGATCGAAAGATATCAAACAAGAACGGAAGTCGAGACGAAAAGAAAAATCCGGGAGAAAAATAACAGCGAAAGAAGAAATAGGGAACAGGATCATATGGTGAGATTAGGCTTCTCCATCCGAGGCGGTGTCTTTCGACTTGCTCTTCTTCTTCTTCTTCTTCTCTTTCTTCTCGGATCCCTCTGCGGCCTCGGCCTCGGCCTCTGACTCGCGCTTGCGCTTTTTCTTCTCTTTCTTCTCCTTTTTCTTCTCGGCGGCCTCGAGCTCCTCGGGTGGCACGAACGCCTTCTCCCGCTCCTTCATCTTCGCCTCGCGCTTCTCGCGCTGCTTCTCCATGACTTCCTCCTTCTGCTTGCGGTCCTTGGCCTCCTTGGACAGGAAGTACTCGCCCGACTCGATCTGCAGGTCCACCTTGCTCTTCTCGGGCGCCGGAGGGAATGGAGTGTACACCTTCTTGGTCTTGTCGGTGACCTTGAACGGCATGTGACGCTTGGAGAGGGTGCGCTTCTTGAAGTTGGGCAAGAATCGGTCCCAGGATTCGTTGGCCAGCGTAGGGTCCTTGGCCAACTCGCGCTTAATCATAAGCTCCTTGATGTGGTAGATCGGATGGACGTTGGCCATGCAGTCATTCACAACCTTGCGAACCTCCTTCAATCCCTTGAAGGGACCCATTGCCGCGACGGTGTTTCCCTGCACCAGAATGTAGGTGCTGGTCAGAAGCTCCAGAGCCTTCAGAGTAGAACCTTGGGGGCCGAGGATACGCTGACGGCGCTTGACGAATCGCTCCTTGCTGCGCACTTGATTTCGGATCTTGATGACATCGCATGCCATGTCATCTTCGAGGATTTTGAGGGCCTAGTGATTGAGGGGAAAGTGTTAGCGAGAGGGTCTTTTTTTTTTCTTCCGCAGAATTCAATGATTCCAAATCGGGGTAGTCAAGTAGACTCACCTGCTGCACGGGCACACTTCGGGACAGCAACTTGATCAGATCGCGGGCTTTCAGGATGGAAGCCGGATCAAAAGTTTTCCTCGTCGTCTTAACGGTCATACTACCCTCCACCAAATCCAGCGTGCAAGCGATTCCATGTTTTTCCAAAGCTCTCGTGATGACAGGCCATGCCTCCTTCAGATACACTTCTCGATACTTGGGAAAGAGAGTCGCGAAAGAAGACTCCTCAGCGAAGTTGCCGGCGACGTTATCATCAGGCTTGAACGGCTCGATCTGATAAACCGGTTAGCGACAGTATTGTTTTCTTTGCGACTCGTATGGTACATACAGCCCATTTGTCGATATCATCCGTATCCCACGGCTTCTCCCTCTTGTATGTGGACGGCATGGTGATTGATGGTCTGGTGGAGATGCGATGTTTGCGCAAGTCCGAACGGGCGGCAACTTTTTTTCTTTTCTTTGAGCGGCCGGACACTTACTGCTTCGGGCAGTGTTGATGCCCGTTTTACCAGGCATAAGTAAGGCAACAATAAGGCATCAACACGCTCGCACGCCGGAAGCGCCCAAGCGCCAGATCGATGGGAACGTTGAAGCAGAAGAAGAACCCCATGGCACAATTGGCTCTCTTATCTTATTCTCTGTATTTCCACTGCAGTAATGGGGATTCCGTTCATTCCTAGGCGCGGAATCATAGCCCAATGGGTGTATTTGCCTACGTACAGAAAGGAACCTGGGGCTCTGTTTGGCATTATATGATGGATCACATCCTTGTACTATTCTAGGTAAGCCTGGTTCCTGCTAGCTAACTAGTCGTCATGCTCTCTGCCAACCTCCGACGTCTCGAATTCCGGCCTTGTTCGGTCAATCGGTCAAGCTTGTTCAAAACACAAAGGAGCTTCAGGGAGACGAAGAAGATCAAAGAGTCTAGACCCTTGCTAAGGCCTGAAACCGCTGTTGATGTGGGAAATGAACCGTGACCCTGGAGCAGCTTGTCGCCTGTATTCTCCCCCTAGCAGGGGTTTGGCGAGGCCAGCGGCTCACTAGACCCACTGTATATCATGGGTGTTTCTCCATTCGCACGGCCCTAACGTAGATGATGGCGCAACCCAAGGAAATTAGGGGGATCGATTGGGGTCAATCGGGGTCAATTGGAGTCGATTGGTCCCCATGGTAGCATGCAAATTAACCAACACTTGGTGGACGGAGGTCGATCTATCGCATTTCGACCCAAGGCTTCGTAGAAAGCCCCAGCCTCATGACCAATTGGACGGTCATCCGTCGTGTCGAGATAGGCATCGATGGCTGCTGCTGTGAAAGACACCGGTTAAGAGAATCTGTGATAAGTTACGGAGGCACCGGCTGCTGTGTAGCTCCTGTACAGACGTGGGATGAAGGTTGTTGGTGGGAGTTTGACCGGGAGATGGGGAATTTCGAGTCAGTGATGTCCCGTGAGTTTGGGTCCGTCCCGAGAAACGGTTCCCTTCTTGCTGCCCCTTCGCCCTCTTTTCTTTCCTCCTCTCACTCGCCCTTTCCCTTCCGTCTTCCCCTCCTGGCTTTGGGCATCGACTTCAGCGGATTAATTCCATGCATCGCGAAGCCCTCCCCGCTTGATGGTCTTCTTCTTCTGGACTTGGCAAGTTAGCAGAACAGTCTGCGAATTAGATGTCCTGCTTCAGAATCACTTCAGTTTCCCGACGTTTTGAATGCCACCAGACTTTCACAGTGCCCCTCCGTACCTTCGCTTGTCCTTAGAACCGGTGCCTTGACAGCTTGAACCGACGTTCAACCGCGAGTTTGCAAATGTCCGTGTTAACTATAATCGAAAGATGATCCATGCATTAGCGCGACTCCACGTGTTACCGATCTAAACGGTTTCGACTGCCCTGCCTTCCATTCCTTCGTGCATTTGGGACACCGGTATGCGAGCAGTTTCAGGAACACAACAATGATCCGCAGGCTTGTGGGATTGCTAGAATGAGGACAAATAGGCTTGGACGAGGTCTTTGTGCCCGATTAGTCCGCGAAGAAGGAAAGCCTCGCTCGCAGTGTCCATTGTGGTCCGGTCTGTCACACCGTCACCGGGAAATCCCATGATGCAGCTCTGCGGGAGCCATGGAAACTGGGGACCAGGATGATCTCTTTGCAACTGATGATAACTTAGCTGGGTTCAAGATGCTTAAGCTTCCACATCCGGTATCTAAGCTGAAAATAGGAAACATCATGGCCCAACTGGCTTAGTCAAATAATATCTCGTCTAGGATCGAAAAGTCGAAGGAAACGCCCGCACTTCAACCCTTTCACACGCTTCAAAGTTCCTCAGCGGGCCTTTCGTCCGATGCAAACATACCTAGGACAATCAGTATATGATAGAAATTGTTGCGGTTGGGTGGCTCACAATGGAAAGTACGCCTTCAGACCAGCAGTGTCTGCTTCTTGCCGTGCCCGTCCTATCAAATCCTCAAATTGGTCTAGAGGCATATTCAGCTTCTGAGTAAAGGGGTAGAGTGCCATGGTTGAAAGCAATTTTTGGATATTTCCACGGTTCATCTCGCCGATACCCTGCATTCGTGGATCTGGTCGGTTGTCATTGGGTTGTTCATCATGAAATTTGACATCTAGCACGGAATCTTACCGTTCGACCATGCGCATAAAGGAAGTGGGATCATCCTCGCATCAACCTCCTGCAGCCCCTCTGCAGCCAGAAGAGTTCTCAGCCGTGTACCCACGCGAAGGTCTTTGGTCTCTTCGAGAGAGCCCATGAGCTGAGAGCTCCACTGCCTTAGCGCATTCCGCTCTGTGATGGAGCCGTTGTCGGATTGGACATTGAAGTATATTTCAATCAACTGTACCCAGCCTCCCGGTTTAAGGACTCTGCACGAGTCTGAGGTCAGTTCACCATGACGAGGCACGATCCCGATCGAACACTAGACCTTTTCATATCACGAATATAGGAGGGCCACCGGTCTTTGTTGATTCCTGTCGCCAGCATTCTCGATTGGACAAGATCGAAATGGTTAGAAGGGAAGGTAAACGGACGGTTCAGGTCATCGACCTACGTGTTGATCAGTTAGCGAGGTCATCCTAGGATCGTTACTACCGTATCCCTAGCTCATGACAATATCACGAACAGCGAAGTGTGCTAGAAGCCAGAAGGTCCGCTCATTGGGAACAGATGTGGCTGTCACACCAAGAATGAACTTGTGAAAAAGAATCCAACTGACCTGTAACCACAGATTGTCCGGGATATCGTCTGAGTTGTTATGAGGGAATATATCCAGACCGATGACCTGTTGAATTGTGCCGATGAGCAAATGTGCGTCTTTTCATGTCACTGCTGCCGGGGTTTTTACATCGCAGTCCGGGTGCTGCTCAGCAATCTCAATAGCCCATGACCCGGTGCCGTAACCACAATCAAGGATTTGTCGAGGCTGAGGGATCGGCGGAAAAATCAAACGGTTATCAAAAACGCGGTTGAAAATCCGGTGTTGGAGATCGAGGCGTTCCGCTTCGTCCTGGTGGACACACAGTCATCAGTTAGGGGTCAGCAGTGCCACCCATCTGAACTTACTTCATCCACCGGCTGAAAGGATATCTGGTGCTCAACGGAGTATTTCTGATACTCACGCCGGTGGATGGTCACGGTCTCGAGATATATGTCGTCCAATTCTTCCGTTTGTGAATCAGGGCTCCTTGACGATCAAAGAAAATCAGTAACCAGTCTCTACAGTTTGCCCATGGTGAAATGTCAGGCTCGGTACGTCATTTTCGTTATGAGCTGGGCGCTCGTCTCCCCCAAAGGCTATTTCGGTATGAATCAAGAACAACGTTCAGGGGGCACCGAGGGGTCTCATCGCCAAGTGCCTCTTTATACCGTTGGCAGTGGATGGGGGGTCATAGGTATTGTGGGCACGGGATTGGGTTTCTTCGAAGCGATCGATCGATGCGGCACAGGAAAATTCGGCGACGGTAAAAGTACCACCGGGCACGAGCAGGGTGCGAATACAATGCCCTCCATAGAAGACTGGAATAATTTCTATGCGGGACTCAGCATCCGGACTAAAATGTGCGGACGGTAGGAAAACCCGCTCAGCCCAGGGACCAGGCGTTTGTCTGGCTTCTGAAAGAACAGGGCAAATCATTGGCAGAAAAAAAAAGCCCTGAAACACCCCTCCAGAAAACCAAAGAGCATCACGAATATCGGACCCCGAGCCAGGGTCATCTGCTTTTTGCACTACGCTGCGTCTCGTGGGCCACTAGGCGACAGTCACCTTCATTGATCGAAAAGAAATACGCGTCCACCTCGTTGATTTCCTATGATTACATCGAAGCCCGTTTGCAGGGGAGGAGGGGTCACTGTGTGGTGCCTTTCGGAGGGGCCCCCCGATACCGACGGATTTCGACATAGGACTAGACTTTCCCAGGGGGATTAGATCTCACCCGATAAGTCTTTGAGGACGAGACGGCGTCCCACGACGGACGGTTCTCTTTTCTTCCCCTCCGTCTTTCCCGCGCGGTCTGTGTCGGCTCCTTGGATGCCAAACGTGTGCTTGTTGGCTGGCTCTCTTTTGGGTGGACCGAGAGGTAAGGATTTGGTGTTAGCACTAGACTCAGCTCGTGTGTACAGAGATTTCTGGATCCCTGCGTCTTACAAACCAAGCCCGAGGATTGCAGCGACCCCCAAGTCCACCGAGGCCCCAGGCTTATGCATGATCGCGCTGCATTGAATCCAGGATGCGCCAGCCTCTAGTTGAAATTAAGGTTGGCCTGCGCTGAGGGAATGGTACTTTTGAACGGGCAATCACCGACGAGCGAAGGGACCAGCGAACGGGGAAGCAAAGGCTTACGGAGTTGGGCGTTGACACCAAATCCAATCCCTCGTCAAGAGGCGCAAAAGTCTATCCCAACCCAGGAATCGGTCGAAGTTAGAGTCAAGTTGTTCCCCGCTGTCATACAGGGTAGGGTGCCTTGTGCAACCCCTGTTGCCTGGTGCCTCCAGGACTCGGAATGACATATCGTCAGTCTATCCTAGCCTGGGCCCACGTCGTCATTCTACTGAGAATACAAGCAATCATCGGCTTATTGCTCATTGAAAGAACGACCCCTCAAAAAGCTGCAAGTCAATGACGGCATTGGGAAATGAATGGGGTGGGGGTCGCTGACGGACGGTGGCTTGGAGACAGGATACTACAAGGTAAGAAGGGGATCATCAGGGCAATACGGAGTATATCGGCCTGGCTAACTTTTTAGTGACTCCTTCAAAATTGCGACGTGCTTGGTCCCGAATTTTTCACCTCGAGTTTTTATTTCTGCTTTTATTTTATTTTATTTTAAATTTTATTTTATTTATTTATTTATTTATTTATTTTTTCATTTCTCTCCTGCTTGTTAGCTGGTGTCCACCAACCCCCTTCTCACCGCTCCTTTCATTGCCATTCATCGCTCTAGGCTAAAAGCCCCTGGAATGGGTCATGGTCCTAATCAAGGATAGCAGGCGCGTTCGGTATATGACTGTTATTAGCGACTGACCAATAACCTCAAAGCATGGAGCCAGTCTCATTTGGTCAAGGCAAGATGCGCGAGTGATGTTCGGGAAGCCTGAACGATCGTGGAGCCTTGGATGGAGACCGATTTTTGAGCGAGCGGATCCCATCAACCACTCGACGTCATCAGGCCGGCGAACGGTCGCGACAAAAGGAAGACGGTAGGCGCAGGTTACCACAGCGAGCCAAGCGGAAAGGGATGAGGAGCGGACCATCTTATGTGCCTCGCCGCATTTATCCAATCCCCCTCGAGAGTGGAGATACATCCTTGTTTCGCATCCATTGCGCTAAGAGGGTAAGCGGCATTTTCGCGGCTACATGCCCTCGAGCATCGCGGATGCATGCCGGACAGGGAATTCATGCATGTCAACCACGGCCAGACGCCAGGCTCATCATCCAGGCTACCGGGTCTCAGGTTGAAAGCAGAGCATGGACTCGCAGCGAACCCAGAGCCATGGTTCACCTTCGGCAAGGTAGACTTGACGCCGGAGACTACGGCGGTTAGGCCCGCTAGTGTGGCTGTAGCCTGAATCCACCTGCAGCAAACACGAGGTGCGCTTGACGATGTCGAGCATTTTCTCACGCCGTCAGCGGTGGGAGATTCTTCATTTACGTCATCGCTACAATGGGCTTTCCTATTAACAGCGTTTGATTCGTCGAGGGGAGATCATATTCCTACCACACAGACTCGCAGGTCTGCTCCATGATTTGTCGTCGTTTCGTCTCTACGTTATCTCATTCGCATCCATCACCGTGTCCAGGTTCACCGTAGGTCCTCCGACCCAGTCATATATTTCACACTGGCCTTGACAACCTCCATGACAAAAGCCACCTCAACCTCGGTGCGAGGTGCATAAATCAGAACATACTCAGAAGGTAGCTCAAGAACGCGGCCCGTAATAGCCTTGGGAACTGTGGCTCCAGACAGCGAATGACGCTGACCCCAGCCAGCATCAAAGACCTTCTTGCCTGATGAGACAGGGGGGTCAGTTGCGGTGGTCTACGACAGCAGATACATAAGAAGCAAACTTACAGTCTGCGGGTGCCAGAGTCACATGCACAGACCCATCCTTCAAACGGTGAATGTGAGCGATCTCGCGCCTGGTCTTCTGCGCCGGAAAAGTACTCGCAAGCCCATCAGCGACGAAGATTGCATCTGCGTGGAGTTCCAGCACCGAAGGTGCCAGTTTCACGGCATGCGGGTTCCGAGTCGCGAAAGATTCGAATTCTTCAACGAGTTTCTAATCATTTTGCAGGAGTACGTCAGCTCAATGTTTTCTTCTCCCCACCCTCTACAAGACAAAGGGCCTGAGGTAATACCTTCTGCATTTCCTTTGACCCAAACTCATCCAACTGCCTCTGCGGCACGATATGCGGTCCAACTGTGGGCCTCCCGCCCTCCCTGTGGCCCAATTCCTCCTCTATTGGCAGATAACTCGTGCTTTCCCCCTCCTTGATTTTCTGCGTATAGATATCCGTCGAGAACATCTCTCGTTTAAAGGGGCGCATCGCCACGCGCACGCCAAACCACCCGATTACATTGTGTGGGCTGCCACCAGGGCCATAGGACATGTAAGTTCGGTAGTCGCGATAGGCCAGGACGATGAGAGTGGCTGAGAGGGCGGACAGGAGAATTTTCGGGGCGGATGTAGTTGTTAAATTGGGGCTGGAGGAGAGAGAAGGAAGGCGGGAGGAGATTGACGAGAGGTATTGAGAAAGGGAGGACATCCTGGAAGCATCAAAATGTATACGAGGAAGAAGGTAAGTGTGTAGAAATACGTGGGAAGGTAAATTCGTAAGAGAATCATCAAAGTAAGCAGGACCGGGACGGGCGGACCTTTAAATAGAAATCGTACGGGCACCGGAAGTCTGGAGCACGAACATACTTCAACCAACATCGGAGACGCGGAAAATCCGGGAATAACCAGAGCAAATCAAATTGGTGGATCGTACGACATGACTCACTTACATTCCGAGAATGCAAGGCTGGGAATGAGATCGAGGTTGGGTTCGGGCTGGACCGGTACTTTCGTCCGTCTAACAGCCTTGAATACATTCGCTGCATTGCATTGCATGAGAATACTCCGTTCCATTTCCATTCCATATGCCACGCCAGGGTATGAACCTATCCCTTATACCTATACCTATGCCTATACCTATGCCTATACCGGATACCTATCGTATAACAAAGCATGTAAAGCAATCAATCAATCAATCGACCTCCCGGGGTTTTATGATAATGCCATGCTATAATGAAGTGAATGAAGAAATACAAGAACCTGCCTGCCATGCTCCGTCCGCTGCCTGAGACTCCGAGGATTGAAAGTGTGGAAGGAAGGAAGGAAGAAGAGGATCCGGGTCGTCCGAACCGCAAGGAGCGGATGGACTGATCGTTTCCGAGGGAGGGTTGGAATGATATCTGAGAACCGATTTCCTATCGCTGGATGGGATCGGAACTTGATAATGAATTTGGGATGACATCGTGAACGTTTCGACACGCTGGGGCCATTCAGACAGGGCCATCTTCTTTAGTGATCGAGTTCAAGACGTGTGCGAGCTTGAGCAGGACAACGCTTTCTGTCGCGGCGTAGTAGTTGAGACTAGAACGAGGTCAGCGTGGCTCCGGCACGGTTGTACGGGGGCCTCAGAGTGCCAACTTACCTGTCCATCAAGATCCGCAGATGTCGGGTGAAATGATCCTCGTATCGCTTGAGACTCTCCTCAAGTTTGGCTATACGCGTTGGATCATACCCTCTCGGATCAGAGCTGGGAACCTTACCGGCTAGATCGGGATCAGCCAAATATAAGCCTCGCCCGACGGCCGACGCAGCCCAGCTGGCGTACATGTTGCAGCACATCAGGATTTTGGAATGGATCTATGGTCCGTGGTTAGAGAGCTGCGAAATATTCATAGACGAAGGCTGTGTCACGTACCTTCAACAACTTCGCCTGTGTTAGCATGCATTCCTTGAGACAGGTATCTAAGAAATCTACGTGGTCCTGCATCAGTTCATCCACGGTCCGGTTAGCCTGCTTGGTACCGTTCACGGTCACTTCGGATCCCTGCGCATCGGCGCCGTTCACTCGGTCCATCAGGTTCTGCCAGTTGGGCTCGATCACCTCCGCGGTGCAAAAGTACAGCAGTTGCTGGACAAAGATGAGCATCTTCGAGCGCAGGCTCCACGCCCGGCGCTTCCACACTTCCAGTCGCCGGTCCGTGGATCTATGTCGCCAGCTGGTAGCCTTGCTCTGGTCGAGCCAGCAACCAACAAGGAGGTTCTCATGGTGGCGGAGAGATAGAAGGTGTCGGAAGATGAGCTGGTATCGGAGCACAGTCTTGCGACTGATGACAAGGGAAAGGGGGAAGGGGACTGAATAGTCCAATTCCAGGGCCTCGAACCCGATGATGTTTTTATCATCCTCGACATGCGATTGGGGCACCTGCATCCCTGCCTCAGGGTTGTCTTGATCGATCCCAGAGACGCTCACCACCTGCATCAGCCATTTCGTAAGGCCGATTTTATTCATCTGGACCTTCACATCCTCCTTGAATGGATCCTGGGCCGCGATGCTGCCTGGTTGCCGAAGCACCAGGTCGAGAAGTGATTGCAGCTTGGACTCGTTGACCACATGGGCGGGTTTGCGCAGTTCGGGTCCGCTAATCTCGAGGAAGAAGGAAAAGAAGTCGGAGCGGTCGAGGAAAAAGTAGTGTTTGAGAGAACGGAAGCGAGTAGTGAGAGAATTTTTGGTGAGTAGGAGGTTTAATAACGATGCGTTGGCATAGGTATAGGCGGCGTTCACGTTGTCCAGAAATCGAGGATCATCGAGGGTGTTGGGCACATCCTTAACCTCTTTGCTCACATCGACGCCACCGCATTCTCGGACGACATTCAGGTATTTTCCAGCCAGGAGGACCTTGTCGCGCACAATGTCCAGTTGAGGCGGGACCTCATTGTCGCGGATCGTGTAGCGCTTCTCCCAGTATTCGTCCGTATAATCCTCTTCGAGCTTCTCCCGCTTGATCCACTTCTGCTCCTTGACAAGGAACTCGGCGTGAGGGTCTTTAATACCGCCATGATGTAACCACTCGTTGAGCATCTTCATATATGGTCGGCTCGCATCACGAAGCAGCCGCTCTAAAAGGGCCTTGGATGTCGGATCCCCGGAGTACGTGGCCAATCGCTCCGTAAGGAGCCGTAGGACATTGCCACCCTTGCATATTTTCTTGCTGGACATGGCGCCGGGAATCAGATCACCGCCTTCTTTGAGCTGCTCGAGAATGTTATCCACGTCGTCAAAGTCATCGATCGACTCGTCAAGGTCTTGATCCAAGAGCCCATTTCGACGGAGCAATTCCTGGCCCAGGGAATATAGTTGAGCGAGACATTGGCTCGTTGGCATGGTATGTAGGCGAAGCAGCTGCAGAGTGAAGCTGGGATTGTTAAGAAGCTCGCTTTCAAGCTGAGCAATGAGAATCAGGTAGTCCTTTAGGATTTTGCGGATGGCAGCACACAAAGCATGGCTGACTGCCCCGAATTCCGCACGACTTTGGACCTCCACAAATGCTTCTAGTGCGCTGTAATGCGTCGCCATCTTCAACATCGACAAGGTGAGGTCTCTCAGGGTAGGATCTAATCCCGAAGGTAGCTGAAATTCGGACCCAGTCAACCGGTCTTTTTCGACCGCAGGGTCGTAGTTACTAGGATAGTGAATGTACTGGCCTTCAAACCCCATAAACACGAACAACAAATCGTCCAGCAACGCTTTCTCTTGCGCATCAACGGAAAGTTCTCGGAGGGGGGTGGGCTTGAGTGACTGAGGCAGCGTGGAGGCCAAGGGGGCAACCGATACTCGTGTCGCCAAAGGCGCGGTGGAATGAGGCATCAAGGAGGCATGAGGGTTCCAGGGTACTATGATACCACAGTCAGTCAGCATTTTCGATTTCGGAGGATAGTGTTGTATAAACACCGAGGGGTATGGTTGCGGACCTTCCTCCGGTTCCTTCTCCGGGTTTCGAGCTTGCGGTGATGCATTTTCCACCTGCATACCCCTTTTTGACCTTGATCTCTCCCATTCCCCTCTGTTTCCAGCGCCGGAAGACTCCTTGACCGGATTTCTAGTTCGAGTCTGCGACCTTTCTTTCGAGTGGATCGTCATGCGTTCGGCGCGCTTCTCGCTGTTTGGCTTCTGCAGCTCGCGAGGCACCTTGTTCCTTTGGCTAGACGTGCTACCCCGGTGGTCTGGATTTTCCGACTGCGAGGGGGAGGCGCCGGTGCGCAGGGCGTGTCGTTCAGCATCGCCGACGCGATTGGACGCAACGCGGGGTCGTGGAGCGTTCATGTGGCTGGCGCGACGGTCATTGACGGACATGGTCCCGCGAGATGAAACGAACCGGGGCCGATCATGCAGTATGGACCGAAATGAGGGGAAATAGGCCGCGGGGGGTTGAGGGAGAAAGGGCAATTCGGGAGGGAAGCAAGTATACTTAGACTGCGTCACGTCGCGGAGCAGCGAAACTCGGCGGGTAAGGCCGTCGATGCCTGACGGCCTGAGGCGGCGTCTCCGCCAGGCACTCAGCGGACTTGCGTAGACGACGGGAGCTTCGCCCGAGCTTCCCAAGAACAAGCTGCCCACACCTCCTTCGTTCTCTTCACTTCAACTCGCTCTCACCCCCGTCATTGTCACCCGAACCGCTTTCTTTACCCTCCAGAATAATCTGTGAACCGTCCTTGTACCCCCTAGACCGCCAACATGTTCATCGCGCGATCGGAATACGGTAAGCTTCATGACGACCTCTCCCCTCCAATGCGGTCGAGCCTATCTAACAACGCTGCTCGACAGACCGTGGTATCAAGTACGACCCCTGACCTTTGTCTAACACCTACCGCAAACTCTTGTCGCTATTCGGTTTTCTGACAATGAATGTCTTACAGCACCTTCTCTCCGGAGGGGCGTTTGTTCCAAGTCGAATACTCTCTGGAAGCTATCAAACTGGGCTCAACAGCGATCGGTGTACGTTTTCCCATCCGTTCCAGCATCCCGGTTTGGGTCTGGGATGATTGCTATGCAACTCTTTCGGATCCCACCCCAGAATTCTCCCGCCACGCCTTCTAACCCCGACAACAGGTCGCAACATCAGAGGGTGTCATCCTGGGTGTTGAGAAGCGTGTCACATCCACCCTTCTCGAGGCTTCTTCCGTCGAAAAGATTGTCGAGATCGACCAGCACATTGGTTGTGCCATGTCTGGTTTGCAGGCTGATGCCCGTAACCTGGTCGAGCATGCTCGTGTCGAGTGCCAGAACCACGCCTTCCACTACGCCGAACCGCTGAGAGTCGAGAGCTGCACCCAGGCTATCTGTGACCTGGCCCTGCGATTCGGAGAGACTGGTGACGATGAGGAGAGTGTCATGAGTCGACCTTTCGGTGTGGCTTTGTTAATCGCGGGCTTTGATGAGGATGGCCCTCAGCTGTACGTTGGCTCCTTCACCTTTGTTCTTCCCTCCCCTTCCCCCCGTCCCCTGCGAATTTACCTATTATATTATTTTACTAATCCACATTTCCCTCTAGATATCACGCCGAGCCGTCCGGTACGTTCTACCGATACGATGCGAAGGCCATTGGATCCGGAAGCGAGGGCGCGCAGGCGGAATTGCAGAATGAATACCACCGCTCTCTGACGCTCACCGAGGCCGAAACGCTGGTCCTGAAGACACTGAAGCAGGTCATGGAGGAGAAGCTGGATGCAAAGAATGTGCAACTGGCCAGTGTGACCAAGGAGAAGGGCTTCCGCATCTACAACGACGAAGAAATGGGCAGCGCGGTTGCGCGACTGGGCGAGAATCAATGAGCGAGGAATGAAACTTATACGCAAGATTTGTGACAGGCTGATGTGAAATGCTCGGGACTAGTTCGTCCTGGTAAAGGTCGTGTATCTGTTTTGGCATCAAATAGAAAATTACAATGGCCTCATTTAATGATTTAACTTTTTCATTCAGTTGGACTTTTGGTGTTGCAGGTTTTTTTAACAAATTTCCCCGCGGACGAATGCAGCTAACAGTGGCTTATATGTACAACAGGATATACTATATGTGACTAGGTAACCGCGATGGCCTACCGGATCTTGTACACGCAGGGCTTAAGGGCCGCAGCCTCATCCTCAGGCGACATGGTGGCAGCTTGCGACGGTTTCTCAATGAATCTCTTCTTGCCCGGACCGGGTTTGGTTCCGCCGATAGAGGCATGCTTGCCCTTGGCAGGCGCACCGCCCTGCTTGATGAATTCCATTTTCACAAACATCTTGTTCGACTTGTCCACGGTCTCGGACTTGAGAATGAAACCCCGACTCCGGAAAACCTCGACAAAAGTCGTGATGTCGGTCTCGTCGTCATTCTTGGGTTGGGCGTCCTCGGCAAACACATCGGCATCATCCACATCCGATCCGTCGTCGTCGCCATCTTGCTTCTTCTTCAGCTTCTTCTTCTCCGACTTGCTGAGCGGCTTTCGAGCGCCGATTTGCGCCTTCTTCCGGTTCACTTTGCCGAAACGACTCTTGACCTCACTGACCCAGCACTCTCCCTTGCCGTCACTGCGCAGCACCCGCCACGCTTCTTCCACAAAAGACACCCAGTTGGTTCCCATGAGACTGAGACAGAAGATGGCCACGTCGACGGAACCATCTTCGACAGGCAAGTTGGAGACATCAGCCTTGGTGATGAGCGATCCCTCAGGAGCGTGGAGGTCGTAACTTGAAAGCTTCAGGTTCAACTTCTTCGCCGAAGGGATCAAGGCGCGAGCGAGCTGGGCATCACCGCAGCCAAGATCAGCAATCGTGCACGCTCCGTTCGGTCGCCGAGGCAAGGGCTGAGGTCCTCTGCTCTTGTTGTCTGGCTTGCTTCCCCTCTTGGGGGGCGATCCTTTGCCTCGGCTGCGGATGGCAGCAATATACCCGTCGACCGGGTTGGACGGCCAGGACTCTTTCACCTGACGCGAGAAACCGGCGTGGTATTCGTCAAACAGCTCAGGATTGGAGGTGAAGAGCTCCAGTGCCTGTGTTGAGGGAGTGGTATAGAGAGTTTCGTTCAGGTGGCGGAAACGGGACGAAATGAGTTTCTGGCGCATGGCTTGCTGAAGAGGCGTGAGGATAGCCTCGGTCTTAGGGGGAGCCACAGGAAGAGAGCTCGCCACTGCGGAAGTGTTATCAGAGACGACCTTATCTTCTTCTCCATTGGCCTGCTGCTCATCCTTGTTTTTGTTCTTTTTCTGCCTCTTGTTTGCTTTCTTTCCCTTATCCGCGCCAGCTTCGTTATTGGCGGCAGGCTGAGCCTCCTTATCCTGATCGTGCTTGGGCTCTTTCTTATCTTGCTGCTTTGCCGGGCTCTGGGGCTTTCCTCCCTGCGGCTTCTGGTCCTGCTTCTGCTTCTTGTCGCCCTTCACGGCATCCTTGGGGCCTTGCTTCCCATTCTTAGGTGTAGGTTTCTGGCCTTCGATGTGCCGACGGAACATCTGATCGACATTTCCCTTGGTGACATGGTCCTCTCTCTTTCGTTTGTTGGATTTATCATTAGGTTTATTCGACCCATTGGCCTGCTGCGCCTTCTGACTGGGCTGTTCGGATTGCTGCGCGAGGCCGGAGCTGGAGACCGACCAACCTGGAACGGCGAACATGATGTCGAGATGTTGTCTGACGATTGGCTCCTGTTGCTATTTTTAAGCAACTCGGAAGACGGCTCGTAGGATGCAAACGACCACAAAAAATTGAATAAAATGGAAAGCCACTTCCACCACGTCGAAAGCCTCGGGTTGTCGCCAGCGAAAAAATTCAGGCCAAGGCGGGCTTCCATGGGAAATTTCAGCCCGTGGTCGCTTTCTGCCGGATCTATCCGTGGGCGGTCAGCCTGTGCTGACGGCTGGCCTTTTCGTTGGTCGGGAGTTGCTTACCGACTTCTCTGCCATCTACAACCAGTGCCTACTTGGTAGCTTACGGCTGGAGCTACACGAGCTCGTTTGCTTCCAGTCTCCTATTTTTATCTCCTCTGTCATCGGTCGACGAAAATGAAAATCAATGGGAAAAAGGAATCATCTCATGGCTGCAGGCCCCTTTTCTTGCAGAACAAAGTGGCAAACGTCAGACTGACGGAGCTAAAACATACTAGGTATCCTTGGCCTCTCAGAATGGAGTCGAATGATCAGAAGACGCCGTCTACAGATGCATCTGTCCATCGCAAACTCTAAAGTACTTGCGAGAGCAAAGCGAGAGTCCAGACCGACAAACTCAGATGGCAAACCTCGCATCGGATCCAGACATCCAGACCCAGCAACCCACCGAGTCGGAGCCGAAAACAAAGGAACCGTGGGGAAATTGGGACTTCTGGCCGCCGACTGTAGGCCAATCAGGGATCATCCTCGGGCCAGTCTGGGCCTAAAAGCATTGTAATTTTGGTGCGACGAACACACCATCGTTCCCAGTCCCCCGCCTGCTAAGCCTCGCAATGGCTTTTTCATAAAGTCCTCGTCATTCCCCCGTTAATTTCGGTGGACCTGCTCCGCGCGATGGAATCTTGTCTCGACTGAGGTGGTTCCTGATCGACTGCGATGGGAAACCCAAATCTTATCAGTGGCCCCGGGGAGGTTCTGGGTCCCGACACTGATGTCTCCGCTCCGGACCGTCAACAACAAGAGCCAGGTCCGGCAGCGAAGAGTGCTGCGGCCCCGAAGATTCCCAAGAAACGCACCAAAACGGGATGTCTAAGTAAGTTGAGTTATGGGTTTGAGTTGAGTTCTGCCGAACCGAAACATCCGTTGACCAAACGCTTCAAAATATACAGCCTGTCGGCAGCGACGTATCAAATGCGGGGAAGAGAAACCTATCTGCAGCAATTGTATTAAATCGAAGCGTGAATGCAAGGGATACGCTCAACGCTTGATTTTCAAGAATCCGCTTGGAATTTCCGGTTCTTCCGATTCTCAGGCGTCTAACACTCAAATTCCGTCGGTGCCTGCCACCCTACCGCTCCCGAGCGGCTGCGATGCTCCCGCATTCTCTCAACAGAGACCACCCGGCTCGCACCATCCTGTCTTGGCTCCAAGACCATCTGCTCTGCCCACATTAGAGCAGACGCATTTATCGGCAGCTTTTGCGCCGCAACAAGGTGGTTCCCCGGAGGCCGACGCAGTGCCCTTGTATTATTCTCCGGCCCGCAATTATGGCTCTTCCATACCCAACCCTTCGACTACGCAAAGAACACCAGTTTCGTTGGCAGGTTATCACGAACCATCGCGAGAACTACCAGCGAATTTCGATGGGACCTACCAGCAGCAGGCTAACCTACCGCCCCTTTCAGCTCAACGGAATACTAGGGCCAGTGAGGGAACCGGTGGCTGGGTTTCTTCCTACTGCACTCATAGTTCGTACGATGAACACCAAAGCAACCCCGTAGGAGGACCAAGAGTTCCCGGGTATTCACAGGTGAAGAGCGAACTACCCTTTCAGGATATTATCTTTGTACAAGAACACTAATGAAATCGTAGAGCTCGGACACCGCACCACAACCAGGCTTTCCACAACTGGAGACAAATCAAGCACAGCAACAGTTACATGGCTACCAATCAATATCTGCGTCACTGTCGCCCTCCCAGTATGACGAAGAAGGTGATGATTACTATGACGTCGAGTCGGATGAGGAGTTGGAAGACCCAACAACCGCCGAAAACTTCAACCAGTTAAGTCTGATCATGGCCTCTGCGAACCGGGATCAACGGCAGCTTCGTTCTTTTACCACCTATTTAAACGAGCCGAACCTCCTCGCCTCGTATCTCCCTACTTTGGGATCGTCACCTTTAAACAATCCCAAAACAGCTAGAATTTTCCTCCACTTCATCCATTCCACGGGGCCTACCTTGTCAGTCTTCGAGCGACATCCGGTTGATCCTTCTACTATGTTTGGTGCACCTGTGTCGCCGGCACAGCAAGGTTTGTGGACGTACACATTACCTTTCAAAGCACTGGAACATCAAGCCTTGCTGCAAACCATTCTTGCCGTCAGCAGTTTGCACATCGCGTATCTACAGCAAGCTCCGCCGACGCTCTCTCTAAGACACTATCACTTTGCACTCAAAAGGGTCGGTGTTGCTGTGGGTTTACCCACGCGCCGTAAACAGGTTGGGACTCTGGCTGCTGCACTGCTCCTAGCATACTACGAGGTCATGAGTGCGGAACATTACCGGTGGAACAGCCACATCGCTGGTTCTGCCCAGTTGGTACGCGAGATTGACTTTGCCAGCATAACTCGCGACCTTCGTGCGCACCGACGCAAAGTAAAGACGCAAAAAAAGCCAAGAGGCCCGGGAATGTCTTTTCAGCAAGCCTTCTTGTTCGGGAGCGCCGCAAACGATGACGACCCATTCTGTGAGAAAGAAAGTAGCATAAGTGAGGACCTCATAGGATCGTTGGTAGGACGAGCAGTCAATTATGATGACTTTGGACAGGTCGAAGATGGCACAGGCAGACCTCGTCAGAAACACTTCACCCGGAAAGATATCGAAGCGTTTCGGATCCAGTGTGATCTCTATTGGTGGTATTGTAAACAGGATATGCTCCAGAGCCTTATCAGTGGCAGTGGATTATTGTAAGTGCTACACACATATGTGGATACTATGGTCTGTGGATTCATGAGCTCACAATAAGGCAGTTTGCCCTTTTCTCAGTGGAACCAGTGCCCTCCCCGTGCTGCACTCGGGCGCTTGGATGCCGTCTATGGATCAGCAGATCACCTGTGGCTCCTTCTGGGTCGATTGACTGATTTTGGACGTCGCGATAGGAAAAGAAAGCTGAAGGCCGCTAAAGCTACCGGTACTGACTGGAAACCTGGTCTGGGGCTCTTCAAATTCATGGCCAGATTCGCGGCGGCGCCTTCAGGTATGCCAAGGGGGCCTCCTCAAAATGCTCCATCGGGCACTCCTGCTGGTGCTCCTTCTCATCCTCCTCCCGGTCCGTCTGGATCTCATGCCCAACCCTCCAACGTCACCGCAGCCCGGCCTGGCCAGCACGGCGGAGGAAGCCCGGAAAGCGGAGGCTCTCCCATGTACGGCATGGTGCCATCTAGCGGGCCGAGACATATTCCCCCTGCCTTCGCCGATACGGCAGCTCGACCAGACCGTCCCACCCGAGGTGTGGAGGACGACGAGTCTGGATCGTATACCGAGGCCGAATCCGAGTGGGAGAGCATTCTGGCCGCGTTCGACACCTTTGCAAATGCAATAGGCCCCCATTTCATGCCGCTGCCGTCCGACAGTGCTCCACCAATCTCCACACCGTTCGGTCCAGCCCTTCAGTACCGCACGCAAACGATTGCGGTAGTGTGGGGATTTTACTATACGGGCCTGATGCTTCTGTATCGACTGCACCCATGCATGCCGCCTGCAATGATGGTCGCAGCGGGCGTAGCGGCGCCGGCAACTGCCAAGTACGCACAGATCGTCGGACAGGTCGCGGCCGGCATCTATTATCCACAGATCCTCAACAGCGAAGTAGGCCGTCTGAGTCCTACGCTCGGTTCCTGCCTGATCGAGATGACCGTGCCTATCTTCTTCGCCGGCGTACAGTACATCGAGGCCGCGCATCGGCAGTGGGTCCTCACTACACTAAACAAGGTTTCCCGTTTAACCGGATGGAGGTCCTCCGACGCCGTCGCCAACGGATGCGAACACGCATGGACGATGGCTGGGAAACAGGGACGGGGCCCTCCGTACCAGCGTCAAGAAAGGAGGGCCTACGAGCCCTCCCCGATCTGGGCGCACGAGCCAGCAAACGACAACCCCGAGAGGCGGTTTGTCACGCTGCCGGAACGACCGCCCTCTAGATGGGCGATGGGTCTCCTAAGTCTAGAAGATGATCTGCTCAATTTGGAGATAGCAGATCGCATGTAGATAGCCAACCACATCGATCGGCAGGGCTCCGCTGGCAGGAGGGATCCGTGGCCATCGGGCTCTGTGGGAATAAGATAGATTCATTCTGATGCCTCGCAAAAAAAGCAAACACGCCGGGAAAGAGAAAATTTCACGGGCCATCTAATCGTAGAGACATAGAGACACGTCCAGATTCGTTATCATCTGATGCAAGGTTATAGACAGGGATTCTAGACCCTGGATGACTCCGTTAGGGGGTCCCAGTTGGGGACGCCGATCGTCATGCAGCGATTCCGAGACCTCAGACCAGGTTTGTTTGTTTGACTTTTTTGCTTTTGTCTGCTGGTGACATGGCTTGCTGCTTCGCATCTGTAACAGCGTCCGCAAGTCACAACATCGCCCATCCGCCATGTGGGGAATCGGGGTTTGGCGACCAGTGACTCGGCCGTAGGGTACACATGGAGGCGTCTCGGGGCGAACACATGGCACCGCAGATCAACGGTCCCCTTGCAGACCGGAACCCGCCTTCCTGAAGCGTCCTTTCACCTTGGACTTGTAAACTCTCCAGGTCGACGGTGACCTGTAGCCAGCGTCGCCTGGGACCACTTGGTCCGAATTCAATCCTCGAGCTGCATCTCCTAGCGTGCTCTAGCTGCGGTAGCGCAGCAGTTGCCTCCTGTCCACCGTCCCCGTCGAGCGTATGGCCACGGCCTTTCGCATACGGCGCATCGGTCTCTTAAGACCAATGCCCAACCGCGCGCGTCCGTGGGGCAGGGGTGGAGATCTTGGTTGACAGGCGGGCATATGCACGGGATTGGGTAGCAGCATCTAGACTGCCAGATCCGCACCGGCTGGGACTGGACCAGAGCGACCAGATGAGTGAGCTGATGCGAGCTGGAAGGATCAGGGTTGGTCTAGGGCCCGAGGAAAGGAAGCGAGACCGATCGGATCGGCGCACACAGAGATTCGGGGCAACCAAAGGGCCAGAGAGCCAGAGGGAGGGTTGACGAAGCCAAAGTAGAGCGACGATCCGTGGCGAATGGCTAAGAATAACGAGGCGTTGCTTACCAGTCATTTCGTTACGCCGCCGCTGGTGGCGCCCGCCCTCGTCCGGCCAATTTTACCGTATCGCGGCGTCCCTCGACGTCATTTTGCCTGCTGCTCGTTCAGGCAGCGTTTTTTACTGCTTTGGACGGCTTCTCTCCATATTCTCTTCTTATATCCCCTCCGTCTCAGCGCTCTTCCGGTCCTCTTCCTCTGTGTCTCCCCCCATCCCAATTCTCCACTGTCTCTCGTCTCTCCTTCGTCTCCCTAGCCCTCAGTATCCACGGTTCTACTCCCCCACCACCAACGGCCCGTCCAAGTCAGCCGCTGTCGTCACCCACGGTTCACTCCAAAGTCATCCATTCTTCCTGGAAGTCACCCGGCACATGTCTCGATACGACGACTATCGCCGCTCTACCGGCCACCTGGAGCCTGACTCCGACCGCTGGGACGCCGACCGTTTCTCTCGTGAGCGTCGCGAACGTCTACATTCGCGCGGCCCCCCCGTGCTCGAACGACCCCGCCGCGTGGAGGATGACCGCTTCGAATACCGCCTGCAAGAAAATGACCGATATGGCCCTCCTGCCCGCCGGTCGGACAGGTTTTACGAAGATGACCATCTCGTGCATACCTCGGGGCCTCTCGTAACCTACGACCGTCGGCGAGACAGCCCCCCGCCTCGGCCCCGTCTGATGCGACGCCAATCGTCCCTGGACACCTTCGATCGCATCCCCTCGCGCAAGCTCGATGAGTATTACTACCACGAACCCCCTGCGCGCGCGCCCGTCCGACCTCCTCGCGAACCGGATTATTACGAAGAGATCCGGGTCGCGGACCCGGACCATTTCGGCGACGAAGAATTTCATGAGCGCGAGCGCGAGCGCTTCACGGATCGTCCCCGCCGCTCCAGCAGCCGATTCCCAACGCGGGTCGTTGAGGAAGTCGAAATCGAAAGGCCGTACCCTCGGAAGGGCAAGACCAAAATGCCTCGAAAGCTTGTTCACCCCGCGGCCGTTCGTGAATTCGGGTATCCATATGAGGACGAGGTATGTCACACCGCGCCAGATCCCGCTAGTACTTTGGAGACTGACTGGTCTTAACAATAGGGTGATATGGTCATTATCCTGGTCGCACTCTCCAAGGAGCAAATCGACGATGTCATCAGCCGCAGTCGCCAGATGAAGCACCGGACTGATGGTAAGTGACCACGTGCTACCCCTCGAAGGATGTCGCATGAATTGACGGTTCTTCTCAGCACGTATAATACACCCTTCGCCGTCCCCCGTTCGCGAGCGACGTCGCGACAGACCTGTGGAGAAACTCGCCATGGAGCCGTACACCCCCAAGAACCACCACCATACCATGCTCATCGAGCCCGCGTCGTCGTCCGCCGGACACCGATCGCGATCTCGCCGTCCCCGCAACTACGAGCTCTCGGAGAAGCGGCTGACCAGGACCGTCTCGCGCACCCGATCCATTTCGGTGCACGGTCGTCATCGTCGCCGGTCGTCGCCGGTGCGCATTCGCCATGACATGGAGTCTGACCATGTTAACGCCGGGCCGCTGGCCATTATGGTTCGTCCTCGCGACAGCGATGAGGATCTTCGCGAGTTTATGCCGCTGGAGCGACGTGGTCGCGGAGAAGTCATCCGAGATACGGAGTTCATCAATGGCGACGGTGACCTCGAGGAGATCACCGAAGTGAAGAGGGATCGCAAGGGTAAGAATTCCGAGGCCCCTCGGTCATAGATCGCATGTGCTAACCCGAGAATGTCCAGGCCCCAACTCTCGCATCGTCCGGGCCATGATGGCCACCCTGACTTAGAGAGTCAGCCCAGTTGACACATGCTGTGCTTTTTATCTGATGCGTTACGAATGATTGACGGTAATTTGATCTGATAATTTATTTTCGGTCCTTTCATGTCTTCCGTTTTGGTTACTGGTTACTGGGTGTCTACATGTAATATAGCGGATCAGCAGGCCTGTGGTTGTTTCTCTTTCTTTTCTGATTGACTGCGTCTTTCCGCTCTTTCTACATCGCACATAGTACGAGAATGTCTAGTCTAGAATATACCCCTTATCTATTTCTAGTACCTTCTGATATGATCACCGGATGGGAAGTATGAAACGCGGGAGACCTCCGACCAATCAGAGCGACCACGTCACACCGGGTGGCGGTGCGCACGTGTGCGGCGTATAAATGACAGTACCCGTTACGAGGCGGTGGCCTCGACTCCGCGAAGCCAACTTTCCTCCCTAAACAATTCCACGGACTTGCGATTTGAACCTCGAGATCTCCTTCTTTTCGCCCGCATCTCCCAGAGAATCCAGATTGCATTGCTAGCCACCATGGATAAGTTTCAGGCGCTCGGAAAGAACCTGACGTGAGTCCTGTCCTGATAGTTGCCCTGCCGATTTTCTTTCGACTGTGTCCAGTCTCATCTTTCCCCCTCCTTTCCCTTGCTATGACCCCCAAGGCTCCCTCTCCTGCTGACATGTTTCTAACCTCTCATTGCTCTGCGAGATAGTGCGAACTTTTCGCCCTTTGCTGCGCGCACGCAGCAGATGATCAAAGAGCAGCTGGGCCAGGCCGAAGACCGAACCCAACTCCCCGATGAATACATCGAACTCGAGAAGCGCGTGGATGCGCTGAAGCTGGTCCACCAGAAGCTTCTTCAGGTGACGTGAGTTTATGCCCGCTGGGGACAGTTCTCCCCTCGAATTGAATGCCAGACGAATCCAAACCGCTGATTTGTTATATATATCAATAGCTCCCAGTACTCCAACGAAGCTTACGACTACCCACCCAACATCCGTGAATCCTTCAACGACCTCGGCCGCACCATCAGCGAGAAGGTCCAGCTTCTCTCCCAAGCCGCCTCTCCTGCCGAGGCCCAGGCCGCCCTGTCCGCTCCTCCTGTCGACAAGCCCCAGCCCAAAACCTTCAACCACGCCATTGCCCGCGCTTCGCTGTCGGGATCGCAGACGCTCGCGCAGAACACGACCGGCGAGGATCCCCTGTCCTCGGCGCTGGAGAAGTACGCCCTGGCGTCGGAGAAGGTCGGCGAGGCTCGTCTGTCGCAGGACGCTCAGATCCAGTCGCGCTTCTTGGCCGGATGGAACACCACGCTGAACACGAACCTCATGTTTGCGGCCAAGGCCCGGCGCAACGTTGAGAATGCCCGTCTGATGCTGGATTCGGTCAAGGCGAGCAAGAAGGCCCAGGCTCGCGGCGACCTGGACAACTTGAGCGAGGAGGCACGTGCCGAGATCGAGCAGGCCGAGGACGAGTTTGTCGGCCAGACTGAGGAGGCCGTCAGCGTGATGAAAAATGTAAAGTTGCGCCGACAAGTTCGATAATCGCGGAGACCAACCTTGCTGACTATTTTTTGTGTCTTTAGGTCCTCGACACCCCCGAGCCCTTGAGGAACCTGGCGGATCTGATCGCCGCACAGCTGGAATTCCACAAGCGGGCCTATGAGATCCTCAGTGAGCTGGCTCCTGTGGTCGATGGCCTGCAGGTTGAGCAAGAGGTATGATTGACATCCGGCATCGCAGGGGAATTACCACTGACTTGACATAATCCAGGCCAGCTACCGCAAGAGCCGTGAGGGAGCTTAGACTCATAACTCACGTCTCCTTTGATTTCCTTCTGTCCTGCTCCGTTTTGATCTGTCTGTCTGTCTGTCTACCAGCTAGTCTTCGTACGATTTCCCCTGTTGCACTTGTGAAACAGAAGTTCTTATATCCCTGTCTGAGGATGTGTAGTATCGAGCGGTACATTCTCACCTTATCTGCATTTCGTATGGGCTTACTACATACACTTGGCTGGACTTCCAGTCTACGTAAGCCTGAACGTAAGGCAGCGTAATGCATGTAAGACTTGTAAGCCTGGAAGCCCCCCGGAAACCGTAAAGTAACGCACCGCCACAGTGGCAGAATGACAGCCCGGGATGGCAGCCTGAGGCAGCCAGCCACCTAAGCCCGCTCCGCCCGAGCTCCGTGCGGTCACGACTGCATCCCGGCGACCTTCTTGCTTGCTGTAGCTTGTCGAAATACGGACTCCCCTCTTCTCTCTACTGGCTGATTCACCTCATCATTACCTCCCCGATCATCCAACTACGCCCTTTTGACTACCTTCGAATCGACACCGAGCCGGTACCTGACTACTCACTCAACCGTGAACCTTCAATCGATGCGCCTGCGCTAGCTTCCTCCGCTGAGATCGAACATCGCTACAAGTCTAGTCAGACCACGGCATATACAGCAGACCAAGCACCAGACACCGAGAACACAGAAGGCTGGACCTACACCTGTGTCGTCTAAATTGAGACCCCTTGACGATCGTACACCGGAGACCGGAGACCGGAATCGATCCTCAGCGCTACCTACACCTATTCCCTGAGCAGGAAGAGCGGCAGCAGAAGATACATACAAAATGGCCAACGGGTGCGTTTCCTGCCGGTGATTCGGTTCCATCCAGCTGCAATTCAATCCAGCTGAAGTCGAGACACTGATCTATACTTTCTTTCTCTGGACGAGACAAGGGAAACTAGATCATGGGCCGACGAGCAGACTGATTCAGCGGAATATATACCAAAGCTAATGCATTCCTTTACAATCAATAGGTGGAGTCTTGTCATCGGCCTCATCATCATCGTGGTCGCATCCGTCCTCGCCTGGGTGTTTAGTCCTAAGGGGGAGAACCAGACGTGCGTTATTTTCCCCTCCTCCTTCTTTTCCTCCCCGTGCCTCGATGTGATTGTTTCTAGTCTTGGAAATGGATCCCGACCAAGGGGGTTATGACATCTAGAACAATACTAACAACCTTGTCTGCATATAGACTATTCCGCAGCACGCTGATCTTATCGTTCGTGTCGTGCTATCTGATGTGGGGTACGTATCATCGCTCTGTCTCTCCTATATATCATATATTCGTGCGAAACAACCCGACTGGCTTGCTAACTTTTGTTTTCTCCCCGTCTAGCGATCGTCTTCATGGCCCAATGGCATCCTCTTATCACGCCGAAGAGATCGAATATCAGACCCGAGCGAGTACCGCAGTGATCGCTTTGTCTCTCGACTTTGTTTTGGACTTCAGGGATGGAGATTAGAGTGGCTAGGGATGGATAGGATACATCTATTGAGTGGAATTGAGTGAGGGGGTGTTGAAGAGCAGATACAGGTAGAGAGAGGGGACATTCTCTGCTTGGCCTGGATGATGAGCGAGTGCTACTATTATACCTACCATATCTACACCTGTCTGTTGAGGTTTTGACTGTACACCTTTTCTTTATTACATTTTTTCCTGGTATTCATGTATAGTTTATCTAGTGGTTATCTTGTTCTCCAATTGCTGGTTCTCGGTCCTCGTTTATGCCTTTGCAGCGATAGAAAACATATTCTATTATTGGTTTCAATTAAGTATTCCATTGGCCATTAACCAACCCCCACAACCCCCAGAATGACCTTCTGCACCGTCCACCGTGCAAGAAGTCCCGTGACAGCCAACGCCATCGCGCGAAGATAGCCACACCCTAATAAGATATACAGCGCCTCGATATTACTCAGCAGCACCAGATGCGTATCCGCAGCGCCCAGCGACAAGAGCGATCCGACCAATTCGATCAGATTCGCCAGGTAGCTAGTCGGGACCGACGCCGGCATCAGCTGGATCAAACTCTCCAAGAGCGTTGGTGATTCCGATATCCCGGATGTGCTGGCGGCCGAGGCCGTCGCTGCTGGAGTCAGGCCGGTAAGCGCCTGCGTGGGAAAGTCGTGAGAAGAGATCAACTGGCTGGTGCCTTGGCTGTCGGAGTGTGATGTCTCTGATATATTGCTGCTGCTGTTGCTGCCACCACCATCCGGACCCCAGATGACGAGAAGGATCGGAAACAGCTTCACGCAGCTGCTGACGAGGAGGGCGGTGCTGATGGCGGTAGGACTCGCCGGCGAAGGAGGGGGTAGGGGCTGGATGTTTTGCGTGGGAGCGGTGGAGGCACGACGCAGTGGTGGAGGAGGGGGGTAATGCGCTGGCGGTGGAGGGTTCGGATTGTGCTCGTTGCCTGCGGCGGTGGTGTGAGCACCGCTTGTGGACGAAATATCCACGGCCGAAGAATGTGACGCATGGAGCTTAGGCGGGCTCAGCGCCGTTGCAGACGTCGGCGATAACTGCGGTTGAGCGCTGGCAGCCTGCGAAGGGAAAGAAGGGAAGACAGGTGTCGACGGATGAGAGGGTGTGTCGGTCGTGCTGTTGCCACTGCCGCTGCTCTGGGCGGTATGCTCCAGGCCTCGAGGCACCGGGGCGAGTATGGACGCCAGCAACCGGATCGTCAGGTGATGAGCAAGAGTCGCGAGGGCGTTCAGGCTCAGGAAAAAAAAGTATTGGATGACGATGGGTGCGCGCGCCAGGAACGTGGTGGATAGGGTTTGGGTCTTTTCGATGCGTGCCCAGGTCAGGTAGACGTCGAATAGGAGGAGCAGAATGCCGAGGCGAACGATGGAGCGCTGCGTGGTCATGACTGGTTAGTTCCTGACTGTGGATAATCCGAGAAAAGTAGATAGATGCAACTTGCGTCGAATTGGTTGTCGTCTCCTCCGAGTCGGTTGAATAGGAGGTGTCGATATACCTGGGAATTGTTAGACTTATCACAAGACTAAAGCTGAAACACTCCAATGCTCGAGCATACCTGAGGCTTGATCAGAACCAGGTCTATGAAGATGACCACGAAGTCATATTCGACGTATTTGTCGGCGAATCGCTGGCAGCGCGGGCATTGCGTCAGACGCACGCCTTTGCCCAACGACCGGTCATCTGCGCGACTGTAGGTGCTGTACAGATGCGAGACGGGATAGGAGCATTCGATGCAGATGGGCATCGCGTCATTGACCGGGTTTCATCGCAGGCTCCATACCTCGCGAGAATAAGGATGACACTGCGGTTGAGATTCAGGGAGCAGCGCGACGGGCGGAGAAGGAAAGAAGACCGAAGGCGGTGAAGCAAGAAGACTCGCGGTCTACACTCTATAACTGTCCCTAGATAACTAGAACTCCTCGCTATATACAGGGCCGAAAAAAATCAGAGGCACTTTTTTCGCAAACAGAACGAAGCCAAATTTTCACCCGTCAATCGATCACTCCGGTATCGTCGGCCCAGCTGGGCTGGATGGTTCGACACACGCCCTCGTAGTCGCGGAAGCGTTGCGAATTCTCCGGCAGGCCTGGGGTGGTCCAGAACATGGTCCAGTTGGTGTCGGACAGCTTCCACGTTCCCTCGGAGCGCTCGAAATACCACTTGTTCACCGGGTTGTCCTTGCGGCTGCGCCAGCACACCCCCTGAGGAAAGCATGTGCGTACCATGGCATTGAACACAACGTCCGCCACGCCTCCCGCCCCTTGGCTGCGCTTCAGAACGGCAAATTTGTCGAGGTAAGGAACCATGCGAGCCTGGCTCGCCTCACTTCCGTCGTCCTCAACGCCTGGGGGAAGCTCCCAGGTCAAGATAGCACCCCCTTCGTATTCTCCGGCGATGATCAATCCGGCAAGTCGGTCGTTGACCCGGTTCAGGTAGTCCTGGACATCGAGCTTGCGGTTGAAGGAATCTTCGATAAGGCGCACCAGACGTGGCAGATCGATGCTGGGGTCCTCCAGGCTCAATCGAGGGCGATTCTGGGCTGTCCACACCACAGTTCGCGGGTCGGGAATCATGGTAAGTGGCATGCCTCGCTTAACAAACGTCGTGTGTAGACTGGGCGTGAAAATGCTTCCCCGTCCGCCACTGATCGCTTCACGTCTGCTCATCGGCAGAGAAGAGGATAGTAAGGGCTTGTCCGTGAGTAGGCTATGGATTAGCGGGTTCCTTTGTCGCCGAGTGCCGACCGCCGACAAGTTCGGTGCGGCCTGTGGCGATCGGGCTGAATTGGCAACTTCAGCCGGGGAAGTGATGATTCCAGACGATGCCGAGGGTAGCATAGCAAGAGCCTTCTGTGATAGACGCAAATTATGCAGGTGGTCGTCAACAAGACTGCCTCGGATTGGAGTGCGTTTGCTGACGCCGTCTAGGAACTCCGCCCGGGGAGAGACATGCCCCGTTGCCGCCGCCCGCTGGGCTTGAAGTAGCTGGGCTTCAATGTCGTCGAATTCCTGCTCCATGTTGATAAAAACATGGGAGGTCTGCGGGCCACTGTAAGCGGGGATCCCTCCATGAGGATCCAGTAGAATCACTCGATCTAACGAGACCTCCTGCTGTAACCTTTTGATATTCTGGGCCGTAAGCCAGGGGTCTTCATCGGGATGAGGGATGCTTGCCAGGCCGGCAAACTCTTTCGTCAGGGCCAGGAGAGTCTCCTCACCCGACAAAGTCACCGCTCGAGGAACATCCTCCGTGTAGGCAATCGGGGCGATAATGACAATGTGGCCATCCCGCAGAGGGTTCAAAAGGGCCTTCCGCGATAAGACCGTCGGGGTGTCCGGTGTCTTGGAGGGAAGAGTCAAAACCGAATCTAGGTGGGTAGATTTGGAATCCGGCTGTGCATCGACTGCAGAAGCGATGCGGTCTGCTTGGTCGGCAGCGATCTTTCGCGACGCATTCCCATCGTCCATGGTCCCCGGGTCGACCACGACGCAGCAGGCCATGCCAAGGCGATTCAGTTGCGCCAATGTCTTAGCCACTCCGTTGACAACCAAGTCATCCAGCCGCTGAGGCGCCTTGAGTGTGATCAAGGCCAGATGGAGTCGCATCTCCGGTATATCCTGCGGGGGAGGGGTCGGAGTTGAGTCATGTCTGAAGACCGGACTGTCGTAGACCGAGCGCGAAGCACCATAGAACGATCCCAGATTGACACCCGACGGCGACGACAGAGCCGTGGTCTCCTTGCTTTGTTCGATGGTCGGTTGAGGCGGTGGGGTTGGAGAGTGCTGGGCTTTCAGACGAGACAAATACGATTTGGCTTCCCGCTTGGTGGACGCCGAGTTCAGCAGACTGAGGAAGAATTCCTATTGCCGCAATAGCCATTGGGACCGATTAGTGATATGCGCCAGTGTGGATATTGGAGTTGCACGGTCATCGTACACGGTCCAGCAATTTTTCCTTCGCCCGACGGCCTAAACGATCATAGCTTTGGCTGGTGGAAGAAAAGTCGGCGCCCTGGTTGATCGGCCGATCGGCGGAGGACGAGAGAGGGCGACGAGAGTGGTAGTCAATTTTTGCTGCCGGCTGTCCATTGCAGAGGGACACCTGATGCTGCTGCTGCTGCTAGAGAACCAAGAGAACGGGTCAGAGCGAAATCCACACAGTCGAAATAGATTGGGATGCTTCCCAAACCCACCTTCAGCAGCGCGGACTTGGTCCGCGGCCAGTTCAGCGCCCTAGAGCTCATGTTTCATTCCTAACCAAGACAACCGAAGCTGGGACCGAGGAGAAAGACATAGGACGGATGAAGGAATTCGAGTAACTTATACCGGACACCAGGGAAGTTCACGCGGAAACTTGGGCAGCAGCACACAGGCGCGGGTCGGGGAAAGAATGAGTCGATGCGGATAATGACGCACGCCGGGGCGGCCTCTGATTCGGCGCCGATAACGCTGATCGATAACTGGGCCTCCACTCGCTTCTCCCTTCTCCTGGTTCATTCCTATACCTTCGCTAGTGTCCCTCAGCCCTTCCCGGCCTCCAGCACGTTATTCTCCGTCCTCGCCAATCGCTCCGGCGTCGTCTTGAACAGCCGCGGTAGTCCGGTCTCCTCGTACGACGCTGCGTCCACCGTCATCTTCGCAATCCCTTGCGCCGAGAGGAAAATCTGCGGCATCCCATGGCCATTGAACCCGGCGATGATGAGCTGTCCGGGCTTGTGGGGAACAGGGCCGAGGTGTGGCAGCGTGTCGGTCGTATCTCCCATAACTAGTTAAACGTCGGTTAATAGGAGAAAATATGAAAGAAAAAAAAATCAATGAATGCAGGCACGTACTTCCGGTCCAAACACGGTCGGTATACGCCCCCGAGTCCTCCCATCCATGAAACCGCCGCTGCATATAATTGTCAAGGTATCGCACAGCCGATTCCATCACCTTACTGTCGTCCGTGTTATTGTACCAGTCCGTGCGATTGTGGTAGAAGGTTGATTTGGCTCCTCCCACCACAATGCTGCCATCCGGCCGGTGGATCATGTAGTCATAATCCCAGGCGTTGGACCGAAAGGTGTACGAACACTTCTTCGCGTTTTCGGGCGGATTGGGCACGACAATTCGGCTACAGACCCCTCGCACCGGGATGATATGGTCCTTGTACTCGGGGGCCAGGGCGGCGGTATAGGCGTTGCTGGCGAAAATCACCTTCTTGGCTCGGATGGATCCCCGACTGGTTTCAACCGTCCACTTTCCATCCACATCGGGGGATTCCGAAACCCGGTGCACGGGGGTATTTGTTTGAAGATTGGCTCCACCGAGAACGGCGCTTTTCAAGAGGTGCATCACGAGTTTATAGGGCCAGACTCGCCCGGTGCGATAACTAAAGCATCCTCGAGCTCCTTTCACTCCCGAAACCTGTGGTCAATCCCGCGGTGGTCAGGCGAGGTTTGTAGTACAGGAAATTGAGTGATTCTTACGGCTTCTGCAGATTCTGGCGGGCTGAATTCCACTTCCTTCACCCTTGTCGCCCCTTGCGACCAGAGCAAGTCGTATCCGGCCTTGGTTTTGGCGCAATGTTCGTCGTCGAACTGCACGTCGAAGACTCGATCCACATCGAGGTCACATTCGATATTCTCCCGCTCGATGAACGACTGGAGCTCCAGCAGATGTTTCATCTCAAAGTCAGCCACTTCCTCAGCCGCGTCGACTCCGTATTCGGCGGCTAGAATGCCAATCTGGTAGTACGGGTCAGGCTTCAGATGGCCGCCTGCATCGAAGGCCTGGGAGTCAGCGATTTTTGTAACTATTTTACTTCATCTTTCTCGAATCCCGTACCATTACGACCCGTAGCTCCAGAACATGCCTGCCGGGCTTCCAAAACCACGACGGAAATATCCCGGGACAGGGCCTTGCTCTGCTGGAGGCAGTGATACGCCGTGGCTGCACCCGCGAACCCAGCACCAATGATCACGACGTCGCTTTCGTCGGGCAGAGCGTCGGTCGAACGGTGATTATCGAACGGATGGGGTTCTGAGCGCCAAAAAGAAGTCATGCCATGGTCGACAGGAAATGGTTCGGACATCTTGGGGGAGACAGGGCCTTTGGGCAGTTAGTAGCAGATTTGGTGAATTTCGCCTGAACCGAGATGAGAGAAATTCGAATGAAAAGGGCGTCTGGTCGAGGACTTATAAGGCATGAAACAGCCCAAGTGCCACATCACTCCAGCCAATGCGGAGAAGTGGGGGGAACGCTATCAGTCACGGGGATTTGTTGGTGATCCAGTAGTTGCTGGTAGTATATATAGTATAGCATGCCCATCCAGTCACTTTTACTGTTCGAGAGTGGCAGGTTGGGGATTTACGGGGTTGGTTCGGTCTCTAGATACCACCACTCCGGAAATCCACCATCGTCGTGCCTGCAGCACCATGCGAGTGTGAATCTGACATATCAGACGCCCAGATTCCATGAATGGGATGACTTGCAGGGGCGTACAGACCCCCGTCTGGCCCGACCTTATCGGGGCCCCGCGTGTGGTTCCCTGGGAAACCGCTAGTAACCGATACTACAGCAGCCTCGGAAGGTATACTCATGAGTACCTGTAGTTACTACCTGAGAGAAGAGGAAGCACGAAGGTGTATATTCAGGTGTCTCCTTCCCTGTCAGATCCACTCAATGGCAGGCTCCGTCCCTCTTGATCCATCAGCAAAAAGGCTCTGCGTGGCCAGATTCTCCCCTGGATTCCACCGCGAAGAACCAACGCCAACCCGATCTCCCGTTCCAGATCCCCTGGTTTGGTAAGCAAATCATAAGCAGCGATCGCTCCCAGGTGGCTTGCATCTGGATCTGGTAGACTTCGATAGACCAAGACCCTGGAGAAGCAGGACGAGACTCCGCCGTCGCCAATGCCGGTGCGAGGAAGCGTCAGGAAGTGAATCCCGAAGTCTTATCGGCCGCATCGAGCTAAATCGACCCCCACCCTGTCTAGCCTTTCCGAAGATTCGGACCCCTCGAATATTCGACTCTTTTTCATCCTTCTCAAATCCCCTCGGCCAATCCCTTCCTCGCCTCCTGTCCACCCCTGCTCCGATCCGTCTTCTCGCTGCCTTCTGTCGCTGCGATAGTTCTGTGCGCATTTTTCTCGCTTCTGCCCTCCTCGAGTCCTCCGTGCCCTTTTGTGGGGAAATTAAATAACCCGATCTCATTTCCTCACGACCTTCTACCCTCCGTGAAAGGATAATCCCAACGCAGACCATGTCTTCCGAGTCTCCCGATCAGCAATATCAGGAGGCCATTAACGGCCTGAAGCCGTTATCCAACGTGGACCACTCGTTGCCCGCGACTGGCTCCGACCTCTCGCGGTTGAGTGGCCGAGCCGAAATCGCCATCGCCAACGGTCTGTCCATGGACGAGGTGGAAGACGACGAGGAAGAAGAAGTCGACGAAGACTATGTGGCGGTGGATCATGACGACATCAATGAATTCCCCTACTGGTTTCGTCGCCCGCCGGTGCACCATCGCACCCCGTTGGACGAGCTTCATCCCTTCGTCCAGGTCCTGACCGTGTCCAATGTCGATGACTGCGTGGAGGTGGAACAGGCCTTCCCGGAGCAGGAACGCTGCTCCCGAGACAAAGTATGATCCCGGTACATGCCGATCTTAAGGGACGTTCGACTAATCTGCTATCTTCTTTCCAGTTCATCTACCGCCTGAACCGATGTCCGGAACTCTGCCTGGGGCTGTTCACCCTCCCCATTGTGAAGGACGGCGAGCCGAAACCTCGCCCCATTCTGGTCGGCCATGTTATCGCGACTCGAACCTCGACAGAGCTGGTGACCGACAAGTCCATGCAGCTTCCAGCGACCTGGAAGACCGAGCGGTTCGCGGTCGAGGATGGCGAGACCGTCGGCCATGACGAATACGGCAGCACGATTGCGATTCACTCCCTTGCCGTTCGGCCTGAACACCAGGGCAAGCAGGTCGCCAGCACCCTGATGAAGTCGTACATCCAGAGAATCAAGGAGGCGCAAATCGCGGACCGTCTGTCCATCATCACTCATGATCAGCTGGTATCGTTCTACGAGTCGTTCGGCTTCTCGAACCGCGGTCCTAGCAAGTGCCAGTTTGGCGGAGGCGGCTGGGTCGATTTGGTGAGTGATCCCCTGGATCAGCGGCGACAAAAATCATACTGACCGCCACGATAGGTTCTGGAGTTTAGCCACCAGCAGGAATAAGATCTCCATGGGCTGATCCACCTATCTCTTCCTCCCTTCTTTTACCCCCCTTAATACAACTTTATGATTTTTCTTTGCCTTTTTCTCTCTCACACAATTCCCATTCAATGTTTCATGCATGGATGCTTACGTTAATGTTATTACCCCTCCCTGGATTTTGTTTTTTTACGTGGGTTAAGAGAAAAAGCAACGGAGTTCTATTTGGGCTACGATGATTCTGGGACGGAAATGGACGATGAGGATATCCACGGCTGGCGGTTTGGTTCGGTCAAGGCATCTTTGTATCATAGTCCCGCGGTAGTGAATGTACATGAGTTACTACTGTGTTTCTATTGACGTATAGTAAATTGATCATCGTATAATAAGTACTGTAGCGGACTGTAGCACTGTAGAATCACTGTAGAATAACTGCATGCATCGTCTCGGTTACCTAAAAGTTCCCCACATTGACTGCTCACCGCCCGCCAAAACTCTGCCTCCGACCGCCCGGACTTAATATTTTTTTTTTTTTTTTTTTTGTCTTGGGATCTCTCGGTCGCTGAGAGAACGAGTCTTTTTCTTCCTCTCCCATCATCCCCATCTTTCTAACTTGGGATTTTCTTGAGATTCGACCAGCGTCCTTCTCAGGTGCCCATCATGAAGACCACTTGGAAAGACGTATGTCCTTCTCGCCGTGCCCCTCGACGCAATCCAGACTGACCATAGGCTTCTTTTCACCGCTTAGATCGCTCCTGTGCCCACGAGCCAGGAGTTTTTGGATATTGTCCTCAGCCGTACCCAGAGACAGCTGCCGACTCAAATCCGTGCTGGTTTCAAGATCAGTCGTATCAGAGGTATTTTTGCGACCCCCGGAATGCGACAGTCCGCCGATATGGTGGGAATCGATGCCATCGGTGGCCGATGGAATTTCGCCGCTAATACAAAAATTTTCTTTTCTGCCCGTTAGGCTTCTATACTCGTAAGGTCAAATACACCCAGGAGACCTTCTGCGAAAAGTTCCAGGCCATTCTCGATGGATTCCCCCGACTGCAGGATATTCATCCTTTCCGTAAGTTTTTTCTTCGCTCCGGTCGATCGGATTTTCCTCGTTTCGCCCTTCTAATGGCCAACAGACAAGGATTTGATGAACACTCTTTACGATGCCGACCATTTCCGTATCGCGCTCGGCCAGGTTTCCACGGCCAAACACTTGATCGAAACCGTGTCTCGCGACTACGTCCGTCTTATCAAATATGCGCAGTCTCTTTTCCAGTGCAAGCAACTGAAGCGCGCCGCTCTGGGTCGTATGGCCACCATCTGCCGACGTCTCAAAGACCCTCTCGTCTACCTGGAGCAGGTCCGCCAGCATTTGGGCCGTTTGCCCTCCATCGACCCCAACACCCGTACCCTTCTGATCTGCGGGTACCCCAACGTCGGAAAGTCCAGCTTCCTGCGCAGCATCACCCGTGCGGATGTCGACGTTCAGCCCTACGCTTTCACCACGAAGAGTTTGTTCGTCGGTCACTTCGACTACAAGTACCTGCGATTCCAGGCCATCGACACGCCCGGTATTCTGGACCACCCTCTGGAGGAGATGAACACCATTGAAATGCAGTCCATCACCGCCATTGCCCATCTTCGGTCCGCCGTTATGTACTTCATGGATCTCTCCGAGCAGTGTGGCTACTCCGTGGGCGACCAGATCAAGCTGTTCCAGAGCATCAAGCCTCTTTTCGCCAACAAGATCGTGTTCCTCGTCATCAACAAGATTGACGTGCGACGTCCCGAGGACCTCGAACCCGAATATCAGCAGGAGCTTGAGGCCATCCTCAAGGCCGACGACGTCGAGCTGCTGCAGCTGTCCTGCACCACCACCGAGGGTGTGACGAATGTGAAGAACGCCGCTTGCGACAAGCTCCTTGCCGAGCGTGTTGCGCAGAAGCTGAAGTCCGGATCCAACAGCGCCGGTACCCCCGGTGGACGCCTGGGCGACGTTCTGGCCCGTATCCACGTGGCCAAGCCCATGGGTGGGGTGCAGCGCGAGACCTTCATTCCCGACGCCGTGCACTCGCTCAAGAAGTACGACAAGGAAGATCCCGACCGCAAGATGCTGGAGAGGGATATCGAGGAGGAGAACGGCGGTGCCGGTGTCTACAACATCGATCTCAAGAAGACCTACCTGCTGGAGAACGACGAGTGGAAGCACGACAAGATCCCCGAGGTGTGGAACGGCAAGAACGTCTACGACTTTGTGGATCCCGATATCGAGGCGAAGCTGGCCACCCTGGAGGAGGAGGAAGAGAAGCTGCAGGCGGACGGATTCTACGAGTCCGACGACGAAGTGGAGGAGGCCGAGGATGCCGAGCTGCGCATGAAGGCCGACCTGATCCGCGAGAAGCACGCCATGATGCGCAACGAGGCCAAGATGCGCAAGTCGCTGAAGAACCGCGCGGCCATCCCCCGAAGCGCCAAGGCCAAGCGCCTGTCCCAGATGGAGTCCGCGCTGGAGGAAGCCGGTTACGATGTCGACGCCGCCTCCGCCCGTGCTCGCACCCAGAGCCGTGGCCGCCCCGCCACGCGCGGCGAGCCCAACGACGACGCCATGGATGTGGACATGTCGGACCCTCGCCAGGCCATCGCCAAGGCCAAGGGCCGTGCTCGCAGCCAGGCTGCCACGGATCGTCTGCACGACGGTGTGACGGACGAGCTTGCGCGCAGCAAGGCCGATCGTCTGGCCAAGCTGGGCCAGAAGAAGATGAACCGGATGGCAAGAGCTGGAGAAGCCGATCGACACACGACCGCGTCTCTGCCCAAGCATCTGGTAGGTTTCCCCTGGTTTTTACTCCTCTTTGACAATATACTGACAAGTCTAGTTCGCCGGCAAACGAACCATCGGCAAGACCCAACGTCGGTAAACGGCCTCGGGCCCATGATGCGACGAAGTCTGCCTTTAATATCTTTCATCATCATCGTATACAGTTATCGGTCATGAACTGGGTGTCTTCACAAAAGAAAAAGGCGTCGGGTGTTGTGTTTGTTTCCTTTCTTTTGTTTCTCACGGTCTCTGGATGACACAATTCCGCGTAAATACCTGGCAGAGGAGCTTGACCTTTTGCTACTTTTTATTTAGCTATTCTGACGTTCTGCTTGATGTTGATATGTCTGTCTCTGCAATGAAAACGCCGAGGTCCACTAGAAGATCATTTGCAAGCTTCCGTAGATGCAACGATGGCATTATATTATATATTATATATTATGAGTGTGGTAAGTGTTGTCGGAGAAGCTCATCTGGTAATTGATCTCATCACTTTCTCATGTCCCTCACCGTCTTCATGAACTTTGTCTTGATCTTCGTCATCATTATCTTCGGCTTCTCCTTCAAGTTCGTCTTCGTTGTCTCGTTGGTCTCCTCTGTCTTGGATGTGGTTTCAGTCTTGGACTTCGAATCATCCGTAGTAGTTGGTTTCTGCGTCTCAGTGGTCTCCTCGGGTTTTTTGGGTGGTGTGATCTCTGTTATTTCATCTTCCTTTTTCTGTCGCATTGCCGCCTCTTGTTCCTGTCTGTATATTTTGTCTTGTTCTATCCTCTGTCGTTTTATTTCCTCCTCTTCTTCCTCTTCCTTTTTCTTTGTATCGTCGTGAGTCTTGTCGTGGTCCTGCTCAGCACCCTTCTCAGCTTCATCGTCTGCAATCCCTCTCACGTATATCTTGCTGCTGTCCTTTTGAGGATCGTCGTCCTTCAGCTCTTCCTGATCCGTGGTATTCTGGACCAAGGCCTTCGCAATGCCGTTTGTCAATATGTCGTTGTGCGCCTGTCTTCTCCTGCCGCGAGAATCGCTCTCAAGGGGAACTATATATCATGACAATCACCAAATTAGCCATCGCTCTACCGACCCTGATACCTCACCCCCTCCCAGCTCGAACTGCAGCCCAAACCCACGAGAAGAAAGACACAAAACATACAGAAATAATCCCCGGGCTCTAAAACAACATCATGCACGCGGTCACCATCCCCATTCCCATCCCCCTTCCCCTGCACAGGAAGAGGAACCACTTCATGAACGCTCTGCTCGGCAAGATTTTCATAATGGTTATGGCGAGCGTGATGATTCTTCCCAGCAACGTCAAAGTCATACGTGAAGTCGTTGCTGGCGTCGGAGTTGAAGATGGAATTGAGGGAGTGGGAGAGAGAGGAACCGTCGAAGTCCATTTTCGAGCGCTGGGTGATATGGCCAAGGGCCAGACGATCACACATACGGTTAACGGTGTTTGTTGGAATGGGATGCTAGGACAGGGGGGGGGGAGAGAAGGGCTTTATAACATCCCTGGGAGTGTTGACGGAGCGGTGCCATGGTTGGGGGACGTTGATGGGATCAATATTACATCGGAAGAGCTCATGGGCGGAATTGGAGGGAGAGTGCGTCATGGGTCTGGTTTGCTGGGGGTGTTGGGAAGAGGTCTAGATCAGATATCATCCAACGTGAATGTTATTGGTGGGTGGTGCCTTCTGTGCCTGACGTAGAAGCCTTCTCTCTCCATCACCTTCATCTCTATACTCCTTCGGAATTCATCTCCGCATTTCTCGCTCATTGACCCAGCTCATTATTCTCTACTTCATTCAAAATTATTGAAGCATTTATAACTTATCTCCTGCTCAAGAGCGACACAGCACAGACTAGTCTAGGTGAGGGATCAACAGAACCCCTCTGACGTCTAACCTCTAACCCCAAAGACAGAGTAACCTACCACCAAGTCCAACCTAAGGAAGCCCCTCAACTCAAGCCAGCATTACCAAAATCAAACGCGAAACCCAACCCTCCACACCAACTCCGATGACATCTTCCAAGCGCTCTAAGGATTCCGACTCCTCCGACACCGAACCCAAGAGCCCTTCCAAGAAGTCCTGCGCTCGAACCGAAGGCCCCGAAAGCATCAAGGATGCGTTGGAGGCTGTCAGGTACAGAGAACCGATCCAGAGAGGAGAAATAGGCGAGCAGCAATATCTGAAGGAGAGGATCGAAGAAGCAAGGAAGAATCTGGAATTGCTAAGCGACCTGCAAGATATGCTCCTACTCCAAGAACCGGCTGCTGAGATACTCGAGACCATGCAAGGATCAACCGGAGAGAACGACAGGAATGGACATGGTCTGAAGACGGTCGCAGGCAATGCTTTTGAGAAATTTAGGGAAACGTAGGCGCCGAGACTTTTCTTTTTCTTTTCTTTTCTTCTCTTTTTCTTTTTTCGGCTCCACTGGTGATTGATCTGCAAAAGATGCTCTCTGTCTTGCAACGTGCTAATATCTTTCTCCCCCCTTTCAGATTTGCTATTCCATAATCTACTTCCATTCTATTGTGATTTCTATTTAATTTGACCTATTTCTCTGCTTTACATCTCCGGTCTCCAAGCGCAGGATGCATGCTAATTCATCCTCAAGAACCTACAAGTGCTGTTGTCTGGTCTGAAGGCCGCTCATCCGGAATCTGATTCATATTCAGAGTGTCTATAATCCGGAAATTGGCGACTCATGTACTCTTACAGACTATTATAAGTAGGCTCTATTGTACTTGCCTGAATATTGTACCTTAGGTCATCAATACTTGGAATGAGAGATCATCTATGCTCAACACATGATTGCGCCTACCAAAAGAAGGATTCATGGAACAAAATGACGATGATGCATTCCCTGAACAATGAAGATAATTCTCGTTAAAACACAAATGATAGATGCCACCTGGCAATGATTCAACCCGGTTTCCGCAGGAACCCTTCTATCTTGAACGCCCTCGTGCGACAGAATATTGCCAACCCGCAACCCAGAGACAGAAATACAAGACCTCATTCAGACGACTAACGCGGCACTGATCTGTCGAAGAATGGCGATCAAAACTCGCAACTGTGCTTCTATATCTCGGTGTGCTTGCACCGTCACCAAACCGTATATGCCCAGGATAGCTTGAACGCGAAGATAAGAATCGACTCCAGTATCCGAATTTATCAAGACATCTGATAAGCTATTTAGGTATCCCCCTGAGGATCGGATTTAAGGCGGGGCTCTCGAGCAATCGAGCCGCGGCGGCGCTGTCATTCTCCATCTTCGTCGACATAGATATCGTGGCGGAAAGCTTCTCCAAGAGCAAGTTGATTCTCGGAAGAATACGGTGTGCTCTGACGGGGCTTTGTCCTTGAATCCTATCGACCGTTTTCAACAGACTGCTGACCAAGCGCCCCAAATCCGGGCTATCTAGGGACGAGGCACAACCGAGTACCAGAAATCCATACATCCTGCTCCACCCCACTGGACATTGCGAATCGATAATCCCACGTCGTAGACGTAGTAGTTTATCGGGGGCGATATTACGGAGCTGGAGGTCTGGCCATATCCTTATAATTCCGGCGGCGAGCTTGTGGGCATTCTCCAGGGTGAGCTCAATCTCCGACCTGGGGGTCATGAAGTGTTCCAAAAGAACGATGCCTGGGTCCTTGAGGGGCTCTAGTTCGTCGGTGTGAGACTTGACACGAGCCCATTCATCAGCAGATAGGTTGGGATACGACTTTAGCAAGGTGTCTAATTCTTCCAAATCCAGAAAAGCAGGCGCATTCTGCGAATCGACTGGAGCTCTCGCGCCACCCTCCATCATTTCCTGGATTTATATTTCGAAAGCCCGAGATTCAGACGCTCGAATGATATGTTACTTAGGCCTTGTGAATAGTAAATGATCTATGACAGCAGTTTGTCAGTATGCTTTCTCTTCATCGGTGGTTTGATTTCCATAGATTCAACTGATTAGTTACTTACTGCGACAGAAGGATGTGAAGTACGAATGATGAGAAGATAAAGGTTCGGAGTAAATATTGGAAGTGGGAAAAGACTTGAGGAAGAAGGCAGAGGAGATCTTTATATACGGCATCTTCCTTTTTGAAAGAAGAAGTGCTACAACCAAGTCGCAAACGTTAATGTGGAATGAATATGAGACATCCGGCGATTGTGATATGCAATCTCAATTATCTCAGACTAAACGTTTCTTGAACAAAGAATACCAGCAACAAGAAAATCCTTGCGTTATTCTACCTAGCTTTCTTGTACAGGAGTAAACAGGCTCCGGGGAAAACAGGATCGGGGTGATCAGAGAGATCAAGAACCAGTTCACAACATTGTTCCTAATCTACTCTCCCTAATGGTGGTTTCTTTCTGCCCCTAGTCCATCGTCGAAGATGGCATCCATTGAAAATTCCAAGTCCAATTGGCTGAGGTGGCCACTCCAATGGAGGTGGCGCGATATGGCACGGGATAGATTTCCGCACCCAAAGATACGGACCAAAGTAATTAGCATGATGCTCTATTGCCGAACGCGGGGTGTTGTTTTTGCTTTCGGGGGATTGGGCCCTGTAGTTATCCATCTACACGGACTGAAGCGTAAACCTAACGGTCACGTTGTTTGATCTCATCCATAATGAATCTCTGGCTATTGCAAAAGCTAAGCATTCTACGTGTTTGCCACCTCTCCTGAATCTTGGGCAGCCTTTGCCTTCAGGGGCAGCAGAGACCCACCAATTACTCCGTAAGTCTTATCTGGGAGAAGAAAAGCTGCATCCTACATCGACACGTGACCACCCCAACCCTGACGGCAAGATCCATTATGCAATCGAATCGAATTGCTCAAGCTAGCTATCTACAATTAATAAAGAACGAGTCCCGCGATGCAAATTCCCAACCCCTGAGAATAAAGAAAAACGCCACGAAAAGAAAACTATCGTAGACCCGTAGCTTCTGCGTGATCTCACATCAAAGCGTCAACGCATAAAGAGAGGAATGGATCATTATGGACAGAAAGTTGATAGTTGAGTTGTTTCCCCATCACACCGAGTGAAAATGCATGGATTGGATATCAAAAAGAAAAAGAAAAGTGTTACAACACCTCCGTCAAAAGCCCAGCCTCCGTTGGAGAGAGAGTGAGGGGGGAAAGGGGGGAGAGACCCAGCTCTAGGCTTGTCTGTTACCCCTTTACTCCCGGATCTCGGTGGGCTCGCTGTGCTCGACCTGACCGGCGTGTTCGCCCTTGGGAGTTCCAGGGGGGCCGTGCATGTCCTCGACAACACCCTCGGGAGGAGTCCAGTTGGCGCTCTTCCAGGGGGTCACGTGCAGCACGTACATGGTGTCGACCTCCTCGAGGGTGCGACCCTGGGTCTCGTTGACGAAGAAGAACACGATGAAGACACCGGCCAAGCAGCAGCCGGCGAAGACGTAGCCGTAGGCGAAGTCAATGGCGCCGGAGATGAAGGGGGTGAAGAAGGAGATGAGGAAGTTCCAGGTCCAGTTCGCGGCGGTAGCAACACCAATGCTCGTAGCACGATAGCGAGAAGGATACATCTCAGAGCACACACTCCACACAATAGGTCCCCACGTGGTGGAGAAGCCGACGATGAAGAAGCAGGTGAAAACAATCATGGCAGTACCGGCTTGGGGAGTGTTCTGAGGGTTTGCAACATCGAGGGCGAAGTGGCCGACGGAGGCCCAGATCATGAAACAAATGAACATCCAGGCGGCACCGACCATCAGACTGTTACGACGGCCGAAGTGCTCGACGACGTACAGACCAGGCAGGGTCATACCGAAGTTGACAGCACCGAGAATGATCTGGGTGACGTAGCTGTTGTCGAGACCGGTGGAGGTAAAGAGACTGTTTCCGTAGTAGAAGATGAAGTTGGCACCGGTGAGCTGCTGGAGGGACTGCAGGGCGATTCCGAGCAGAGTACGGTAAAGCATACGAGGACCAGTGAAGACCTCGTACCAGGGGGCAACTCCGGCGGCGCGCTCCTCGTCGAGCTTGTCCTTCATATCCTTCATCTCCTGGACGACACAGCGGTGGTTGGGGCCCACGCCGTAGAGCTTGCACATGACACTGCGGGCCTCCTCGACACGGCCATTGCGGTAGGCATAACGGGGGGACTCGGGAAGGAAGATACTTCCGATACCCAGGATCAGAGGCCAGGCGAAACCAATGCCCATGGTGATTCGCCAGGAGGCAGTCGACTGGATGGACTCGGTACCGAAGTTGATCAGGTAGGAGATGAAGATACCGAAGGCCACGAAGAGCTGGAAGGCACTGACCATGGCACCACGGACCTGACGAGGAGCAGATTCACTCTGGTACATGGGGACCACGCTAGACAGGGCACCAACACCCAGACCAGCGACCAGACGACCGACGGCGACCTGGTACCACTTGTCATCGGTGGCCATCTGGACGATGATGCCGACCATGTGGATGATAGACCAGAGAGTCATGGAGTACTTGCGTCCGAAGCGATCAGCGATAGGGGCGGCAACTAGAGCACCAATCATGGTACCAATGCAAAGCTTTTCGGCAGGTTAGTCGGATGACTGGGATAGCTAGTCAGATGGATCAATGGGGTGAAACCTACCAGACCGACAATCAGACCGTTACGAACGTTGTCGAAGACATACTCGCCATTGGGCTGCTTCTCAGCAAAACGCATCTTGAAATCATCCATAGTAGTGAAACCGGAGATTTGACCTGTGCCACGTCAGACTCTGCCCTACCCTCCCATGACTCCTGAAGATGTAACGTACCAGTGGAGTAACCGAAGATGAAACCACCCATGGAGACGACGATACCCAGCATGAACGACCGCCATGTCAGATACTTGACGGGAGAGTCATCGATGGTGAGGTTGTCCTTCTCGATGGTTGAATTGGTTCTGGCAGGAGTGGAAGCACTCGAATGCTCCTGCTCAGCAGCCTGAGGCTTGAGCCGGCCCATAAGATCAGAAACACCCATATTGTCGATTGGATTCCCGAACAATTGAATCCTATGAGATGGGACTGATGAAAGGGATTAGGGGAAGTAAGGGGGGAAGAGAAGTGAATGGAGAGAAAAGAAGAATCCCGGAGACACCGGGGGGCCCGTGGAGTGATATATAGACCGCCGCAGGGAATTTGGCCTAGGACGATGTCATAGTGCGGGATCAGGAAATTATTTTCGAAAATTCAAACCAGACTAAGAATAATATGAGCGAAATGAAGACCTGGACGCTCCATCCGTCGGCAATTGGCCTCCATCCCACCACGCAGGGATTGGAGGGCCGGAGGAACCCCATTCTCGGGGTAGGACCATGGCAAGAAAAACGGGGGCCCAGATCTCAAGGGCCCGATGGCAGACCAACGAGGGCCGATAGTCCGGAGCTAAAGGCCGGAGTGCTTCTTGGACGTTCGAGAGAGAAGCCTGGGGTGGGGAGACGGTGGAGAAATGGCCTGGAGAGAGACCGGCAGCAACAGAGCGAATGGGGGGCGAATGTCGTCGCCGTCTCGTAGCGACTTCGTGCATGTTGACTAGTCAGGCAATCCATCCATTATCGTGACGGATGGATGATGGTTTTTCCATTGTTTTTTTCTTTTCTTTTTTTTTTTTTGGTGGTTTGTCACGCGCTTGGCGAGGGAGCACAGACTGATTGGGTTGGAATTCTTCGGCGAGTTTGTGACGGTTACACGGAGATATCACGGAATCTACTTGACAGCTGCGATCATGGGTTTTCTGTAGAACTGCTTGTATTGACTTTTCTATCACTAACTAAACTTGGACGCGGATATGGCCGTGTCTGGCCACCTACAGGAGACATGGTGACGCCCATCAACATCACCATATCCAGATCCATGTCCAGGTCCATTTCAGGCTCTCGGCGTGGAATTTGCCACTCAACAGCTGGCAGCAGTTCGCAGGTTGTCACCAACGGACAGCAGCGGAGATTTAGCGGCGTTCGAACAGGCGATCCACTGCAACAGTTGATGATTTTTGCTAAACAAAGAACTCTTAACGAGATCCACTCAATTTGCGCAGTCCGTTAGATTTTTTTGTGTTAATTTTTTTTTTAGTTCTCAGGGGACGAAGAGAAGTCGGCTGAGAAAAAAAAAAAAAAAAAAAAACCCTCTGACGGTCTCTCGTAGCTAGGTTTCCGACGCCGAGAGGCGCGGCAGATCATTCCAAGTGGATCCGACCAGAGAACGATTCGGTTGGCGATCTCAGGCACGGGCAGACTGCAACAGGCCCAAGAAAGTCCAAGAAAGTGTAACCTTCGGCAAGCGAGGTGGTGGGAGGCCACCTGGTGAGGCCAAAACCCAAGAAAGAAGCAAGGGGGGAAGGGTGACTGCGAACATGATCTTTTATAAAACTCTTTCGGAGGCATCTAGTCCGCAGGAAAAGATAAGGAGGCCCGAATTATCGGCACACCGAGTCGGAATCGGGATCGTCTGGCCATCGGTATACCGATTCGGCCACCCACCGGCCGTCTCGCACTACGAGGAAAACTCTACCATCCCGTTTGAAGCTCACCGAGAGGTGGATCGCTGGTTCCGGTATCTCTAGCGTGTGTGGCCGGTCCACTGGCAGAGTTTTTCTGCGTTGGCTCTATCTCGCTATGTAAGAGAATCGCTAGTGCCGTTGACGTAGGCACGGTCGAGATCCTGTCCATCCAACCATGTCTCACCATTCCCTGCGACCGGCTCCAGTTCGGAACTTCACCGGTCAACTAACCTGGTCGGCCCTGGTTTTCTTGACCATTTCGGGCCCCGGTGAAAGCAAATTTGATTCGAGTTGGTCGGCATGCCGGAGAAGTGAGACGGGATCAGCGCCCAGTCTAGCGAAAAACTCTTCACCGGGCCATCGCTGATTCGGGTCGATCGGCACTGCAGCGGCTCCCTTTCGGTTGGCCACCGTGGTATGATGCTCGCATCGTCGGTCATGCAACAGACACAGCAACAACAGGCAAGGAAGATGCCGTGCCTTGCGTTGAAGTATTGCTAGGATATACAGAATGATCGATCTCATGGTCTCATTCGACTGGAGATATCTCGGCCATGCAGACTGCAGGTGACGTCGGAAATAATAACCTGGTCGGACGGGCAGGACCGAGGATGTCCCGTGTAACAGACGGGACCTGGCGATTAGACTCGGAGTAACCACGGAGGATTACTATTAATCAGAGGGCCAGAAAAATTAACAACCTGGGCTACGGAAAAGCCGATGTCTCACCATCAGTCCCGATTTCATAATAGAAACAAGCCTCCTGGTCCTTGCTTCTCTACTCTGCAGTCTGCAGTCCTACGTTTTACAGTCCCTATCTCGTGACTGGCCGCATTATCCATCGGAGAGTATGTTGTAGACTGTAGAGTCTGTAGGGTAGTCCAGCAGACAAGTGTTACCGTTGCATAATACTGGTGCCGATGTAGGACCGTAGAAGCATAAGGCCAAAGCAAGCTTCTCACCATCGATAGTGGCGTCACCTGTCCAATTTATGGTCCAAGTTAATGTTGCATGCGTTGCAAGGACATTGCCTGCGTCGATTATTGTTATCATGATTACGACAAGAATAGCTTCGCTGTGATCCCTGGTCGCTCATAACTATCCTTATCAGTGTTCACTGTTCATTAACTCGGAAACCACTGGTTGTCTTCCGAGTACAGGTCCAGGCAATCCTCCAGTCACTACTAACTACTGCAAGAGACGAGTCTAGCGAATTGCTCATAGCACGCCATCCAAATAACGAGACCAGGTCCCGGCCCACCGCGTTCTTATCAGGAGACTGTCCTCTGGCCTGTCCTGCTTTCGGTTCCGACAGCGGGCAATCATGACAATGACAAGGGTCATAATGGCAATGGCAACGATTCACGCACCATTTTCTCTAGCTGCCTCGGGTTTCACTGGATTGAGATGAAAAAGTACAACTGGAAAACGGACTCGGAAAACCCCGAGGGTAAAAGTCAATGAATGTAAAAAGCTCACTGTACTGCGTATGATCGCATTAATTTCATAAGCTCTTGCTGACATCAGGTTCATGAAGCTAGCTCCATTGTAGTAAGTAGTATTACGCCAATCATCTGGCTCAAAGTTCGCACGCGTCGCAAAGAATATCAGCGCCCAAAAAGTCAACTCCACTGATTTCGCCATACGCAACGGTTCTTCGCCCAGGTCGTCGACGGTCTAGACTTTGCACATCTCAAGATGACCACGCGACCCCCCGGTATCTGCACATCACTCCTCATGCTAAACATAGTTCAAAGCAGTCGATCCTAAATCAGGTGCTCTTCTTGCCCTTCTCCCGCTCAGCCTTACGCAGGGCCCGCTTGCGGATCGACTCGTGCATTCCGCGGTTCTGACCCAGAACCAACTTGCCCATGGTGCCGGTGACGCAGGTCAGGAACCAGGCCATCAGTCCGTGGCTCCAGTAGGGGGACGAGCTGTACGCATATGTGGGGGATCCACCGTTGCGACCAATCTTAGACAGAACCGCCTTCACGAACGTCCGGGGGTTGGGGATCGTAGCGCTGCTCCGACGGATCTTCGACATCGCCGAGGTGATCAGGTACGCCTGCACAAGCTCAACCGTGATGCCGTGCTGTTCGAGCTCCGAGCCGAGCGCCGAGGACCACTGCTGCAGGAAGGCCTTGCTGCCGGAGTAGGTCGCAAGGAGGGGCGTAGGAAGCAGGCCACCGAAGGATCCCATGGTCAGGACCAATCCCCGCTTGCGCTGGACCATACCGGGCACGACCAGCTGAGTAGTCCGCAGGGTGCCGAGGCAGTTGATCGTCACGATGTCCGTCAGCTCATCCTCCGGGGTCAAGGCGAAAGGAGTGGGGATGTCGTGGCTCTTTCCGACGTTGTTCACAAGCACAGCCACATCCAGCTCATCCACCAAGGCCTTGAGCTTCTCAAAGTCGCTGTCCTGGTTGCGGGCGTAATCCATCGCCAGGGTCTTGGTCTGCACGGACGGGTATTGGGACGTGATCTCATCACCCAGAGTGGTCAATTTCGAGGCAGTTCGGGAGACGAGAAGGATGTTGAAGCCATCGCGGGCAAGCTGGAGAGCGAATTCCTTGCCCAGTCCATCGGAGGCACCTGTAATCACGGCCCAGCTACCTTTAGGTCCAAAGGAGCGGAGCTGAATATATCATGGTCAATGCTCGGAACCTTTCAAACGATTTACCCCCCTGTTGATCACTTACCGGCTTTCCGGGAAGCACAAACAAACTCAGAAGAACCCGGACGAAGAGCAAAGCTCTCGAGACGATGAACAAGCTCCCGGCCGCAAGGAGGACCGAGGCACCCACCGTCTGCCAACCGGGGGCCACATTGAGCTGCCACTTAGACAAGCAGGAAGTGTATTTCGCAACAAGATCCATTGTTCTTTCTTGATCCCGTCAACCGGATAGTTGGAGCTCAAGGCTGGGGTTTGGCGGGGAGGGAGAGAGCAACGAACGGCGACGCGGAGAAATTCGGCGGGAAGTTGGTGTTGTGCCAAGAACGGACCTCGGCCCAGCAAAGCAAGCAAACATTCATTCAACCTTCACCTCCGCTTCCCCCAAGGTCCCAACCATCACCTCAACCACTTCCCCCTGTCATCCCGGCACAATGTCCGCTCTTCAAGCTTGTCTCGCTGCTCCTAAATCTTGTCTACCTCCATTCGACGGCTACCTGCCCAAATGGCTCTTCTTGGTACGTGACGCCGGAGTATTGCTTGTCTACTGGGGCCACGCTAATGATGCTACCATCTTCAGGTCTCGGTGGTCTCCGCCGTGAACAGTCTGCAGGCCTACAAGTCTGATGCCTATTCTGCGCAGCTCTACAATGCCAGAACCGCGTCCGGTCAGAGCAGCACCAACCCTCTTTCGTCGCGCACCTTCGGGACCTGGACGTTCGTGTCCGCCGTGGTTCGCATGTACGCTGCCTACAACATCAACAACTCCGTTTCGTACGACCTAGCGATCTGGACCTTTGGCATCGCTTTGCTACACTTTGTCGGCGAGTGGTTGGGCTTCGGAACGGCCGAGCTCAAGGGTCGCTTCGTCAGCCCCCTGATCGTCGCCTCGTCCACTCTCGCGTGGATGTTGACGCAACGGGAGAGCTATCTCTCGCTTTAAATTGTGCATTGAACCTCCGAGGGAAGGGACTGTATACATTTGCAATGGGTTCTTAATATTTAATGACCAGGAATGCTCGGGATATACCCCGCTATTGCTCACAAACGAATAATCATTCTGCTCAAGATGCAAATCATCCTACTACTACATGTTACACTGCGATCGGGCTCAACCGTCCATCTTCTTTCTATACAACTCTCCTCCGCAACCCCGTAGTCTGGCAGCGGCTTGTTCCGGGGTGATGTCACGCTGGGGTTCGCCCATCATCTCATATCTACAATGGGTCAGCAATCTGCGGGGCAGATATATAGATAACAGGGACGACTTACCCAACCAAGAACTTGCGCACGGTGGCGCTGCGCAGCAGGGGAGGATAGAAGTGCAGGTGCAGGTAGGACGACTCGACCTCTTCTTCCGTACCGTCGAGCGGCGCCTGGTGGATACCCATGCTGTATGGGAAGTGAGTCTCGAACAGGTTGTCGTATCGCCGGGTGATCTCGGCAATGGCTTCAGCCAGCTGACCCTTCTCCTCAGCGTTCAAGTCGACCAGTGCGCGCTTGTGCTTCTTGCTAACAATCATGGTCTCGAACGGCCAGATGGCCCACCAGGGGCAGACAACCAGAAACGCATCATTCTCGAACACCACGCGCTCTTTCTTCTCGCTTTCCAGGGCCGCATAATCCTCCAGCATGTGCTTGCCTCCACGCTCCTTGCGATACTTCTTCAACTGCTCCAGTTCCATCGCTGGCTCCTCGGGCAGCGAGCTGGTGGTCCACACCTGGCCGTGCGGGTGAGGGTTCGAGCATCCCATGGCCGCTCCCTTGTTTTCGAAGATCTGCATATACCGATATTGCTCCTTGGGCTTGGTCAGGTCAGCGGTAGGGGAGTTGGGCGGCAGGGTCGTGGGAGGTGCGATGGCAGCCAACGGCGAGTTGGGCGACAGATGGGCCGTATAGATTTCGGTCCAGGCGTCAATGACGGGGGCGATCTCCGCCGCCGACAGATCGGCCAGGGTGAGGTTATGGGCTGCCGAGAAGGTGAGCACATAGCACTTTCCGGTCACCGGCTCCGCCTGCAGGAAGAACGACTCCCGATCTGTATCACGTTAGGACCATGCCTCACTACATGTCTTTGTTGAGCGGAAAAGCCGTACCATCGCTCTTCTCGGCGGTATAGGGCGCCTGCTCCTCCTTGACTGCGCTGTAGTCGTTCACGAAGACAAAGGTCTTCTCATACTTGGGGTTGGAATCTCCCTGCGCACGCTTGTTTCCAGGGCACAGGTAGCAGGCGGGATCGTAACTAGGCAGGGTTGTCTTGGAGGCACTCTCCTGGGCTCCTCTGTTTGCGTGAAAATGTCAGCCTGTGGTCTCTTGCATCATGCAATCTGCATAGGCAGCTTTTGAAAAGATTTCTATTCAACTTACTGCCAAGGACGCTTGGTGCGGTGGGGAGACACCAGGACGGAAGAACCCCGGAGAGGATTGAATCTCCGATGGGAGATGTCGTCAAGGATGCTTTCAACCATTGCGACAGATCAAATTCGAGTCCGCTGCAGATAGACAGGCCCGCACGACGTGAAACCAAGGATGTGTAACGAGGGAAATTGAGGAAAAATCGAAGAGAGAAAAAAAGCAGGGAAAAGTGACGGCGCAATGGCGGGGCAACAGTCAACGGAGTCGCGGGGTCTCCGGACTGCCACTCGCGTGGCCTGATTGGACAGACCCTTTCGGGCCCTTTCGGTACCGAAACCACGGGGAAGCGAACGTCGGCTGCGTGCGCTCGGATAATTCTGCTGATGCCGGGGTTGACAGTAGCATTGTAGGTATCTTCTTCAGTCATCTCTCCTAGGAGAATACTGTGGAAGAATGCTGTAGCATATCTATGCTCCGTCGTATCCCCTGGAGTCATGAAAAGCATCATACCCCGAACAGAAGATATACTTTGGTCCCTTTCCTGGGCCGAATCGGGTAAAAAGACAACGGTGAGTCAGCAGGGATTTTGCCGGGCCACACCGGCTGCCCGAGTCATCCCCGGCCCGACGCTGACGTCAGTTGTGTCCTGAGGTGTCCACGGGGTCTTATCAGTCAAACATCCGGGGAATCGTGTTGATCTACATCGACGTCTGGGACGTCTTCCATGAGCCCGGACCGCACCAGTCCCTCAATTCCCTTTGTATATCCACTAAATGAAGAGAAATATACCATCTAGACCTTCAGAATGAGCACCACCACTCCTCCAGACCCCTCTTCCGCCCTGCATCTCTACTCCCTCCCTAACGAGGTATATATAACCCCCCAAATCTCATCAATCCCCTACAAATCAAACCCATCATCCCAACTCTCCTTCTTATAACCCACAGGTCTTCGTTCAAATCCTCACCCCGTTCTCCATGTGCGCCCTCCTCCGCCTGGCCACTATCTCGCACCGCTTCCACGCCCTCGTCCTCCGCATCCTGCACTACCGCCTCCTCACATCCGCCTCGCTGCGCGAGTACAAGCTCATTCTCGAGTGCTTCCATCCCAGCTCCAAGCTCATCGAGCCGCACGTCTTCTGTCAGTACCTCGGCACCGACGGGCTCAGCGACCGGCACGAGGGCGCGGGCTCGTTGTATGAGAATGTCGATCCCGCGCAGCGTCTGGGGCGGCTGACAGCGCTGTATTCGAGATTTCGGCCCGAGAGGGCCGTCGATGAGAGGATTAGTGGGATGGGATTGGTTATTTCGGGTGGGTTTGTCTTTTCTTTCCGTTCCTTCGTCTTACTACCAGGGAATACAATATACACATATATATATTTAGTGTTCGTCGTAACCATTGTTCGATTACTAACTGGCAATCCTCAGATTCCGATGCTCAATCAGCACAAGACAGGTTGACCGTCACGCGAAATGTCAATCTGGAAACGTTCGAGGAGTTCTCGCAGCTCTGCGTCGTCGTGAACATCGTCAAGGTCATGCCGGGGACGCACCTTCTGCTGAGCGCGAATGACGTCGTGGACGGGGTTGCCCGGCTGTTTCGGGAGTGGTTGAAGGAACAGGAACTAAATCATTGCGCTGCTCATGACGAGGAAGAAGACGATGAGCTCGACTCTAATGCAGCTGACGCTGACGCTAAAAACAAGGCTCGGTCTTCTCCCATGCTCTGGGTCGATCAGGGCCAGAATGTCGGTCTGAAGGTCAGAGTGCGCAAGAAGAGACATCTGACTGCTGGCTTTCCGTTGCTGATTCATCGGGACGAGGAGGTGTTGACGAGCTACGAGGTGGACATTGAAGGTGTGTTTCATCCTTGTGGCTGGGTATTTGCGAGGCCGGGCTGATGATGTGGATTTAGAATTGCATGTACGGACGACGCGGTTACTACTGACTATGGAGAAGTCGCAGAAAGAGCAGCAGAATTACAGCCAGGCGGTGATCTTTACTAGAGGGATATGATGACTCCGTCAGGTAAACTAGACCGGAGACATACTACTATGTATAGGGGTGAAAACCCTCTTATCGACTATCTGAACATCGTATTTGCTACAACTCATAAACTACTATACTATGTACAGTCCCGCCCACTAGAGGAGAGCTAATGTTCGGACAGCCAAACCCGTCAGCCAGGGAAAAGATTGGAAGGAGGCTCGCGTAGAGGGGGTGTAACTATAAACATAATCCATGTCTAGTGCGGTTGACTTTCTTTGTCTGCTTGGCCTCCAAACTACCCGGGGTTCCAATCCTGTGATTTACGTGGCACAATTCACGCCCTACGAGGGTCAACAGAGTGAGCCAGTAAGAATCTTCTTTTTGATCCGTATTCAAATGCGCCCAGGCAGTGTTAAACATGCATCGCCGCCCAGGACTAGGACATACGATATGTATTCCATAGCATAGAGGCTTCGTTGAGAAACAGGAACCAATCAATACATAACTAAAACCAAGGAAATAAAAATTGAATTTCAGACCAACAGATCGCAATTGCAAAAGTATGTACTTCATTCGACCTGATCACTGCCCCTCCGGCGCCTTCGCCATCAGCTCCTCGAACTCCTTAATAGTATTCACCCCCTTTGGCATTCCATTAGGCATCAACCCCTGCTCATCCATCAGCTTCTCCCTCTCCCGCATCGCCTCCTGCCATGACTCGCGCGCCTCCATGCGCTTCTGCCACGCCTGCACATTCGGATGCGGCGCCAGAGGGTCCTCGCCCTCGGGAGTCAGAAGCGTCATATTGACTCTAGCATTCCACGGCAAGAACGCCAGGTCCGCAAAGGTGCATTTCTCGCCGACGAGCCACGTGCGGCCTTCTAATGCGGTGTTCAACACCCCCAGGATGCGGTGGACTTCACTGACGTATCGCTCCATGGCGGAGGGGAGTCTCTCGTGGTGGAGAACGTTGAACCTAGCGTGTGTTAGTCCTTGTCCTTTCGGTCATAGAGGAGAGAGACCGGGCAAGATACCCTACCATCCGCATTGCCCAAAGTACGGGCCTTGTCCGCTCATCTGAAAGTGAAGCCACTGGTTCAGGATATGTTTCTCCTTCAGGGAGGCGTAGGTGAGCTTGTGCTCGGTATCGTAGACCTCCTCGAGATACTGCAGGATGGCACCGGACTCCCAGAGGGTCACGTCGGTGTTGGGATCCACAATGGCTGTTGCTTTCTAGTCAGCCCTGGCGACATCGGGTTGCTGCGGTGGCAGGGAGGATAGACAAACCTGGGACTCGCCCGTTGGGGTTGATGTTGATGAATGGCGGCTTCTTGACGTCTTCGAACCGGAACGAGTGGATCTCATAGGGCACGCCCAATTCTTTCATGACGGTGATGACCTGCATCGGCGTCAGTGGTGAGCAGGTCGGAGCAGATGCTCTATTATCCACGCACCTTCCATGAGTTCGGGCCGGGGGCTGGACGTAGTTAGCTTGTCTGTGGCACTTGGGAGAAAAAGTACGAATTCAGTGCGAAGTAGGCACACTGTTTACAGGTACGTACGTGTCAACCAGACTGTGATTGGCTTCGTCATATTGGGAGCGGTGGTTGCAATGAGCAGAGGGTTGCGGGTGAGGTTTGGACGGGAGGACAGGAATGCGAAGGGCTCTTTATATAATATAGAATCAAGCCATGACGGAGGTATCTGGAGTACATTCCTCTCAGCCTTGGACATCCAAGAAATCAAATTGATGACTAGGAGCACTTAGTGCTTACGGCGCAGGACAGGATCCTGTACGATCCCAGTCCTTATCGATCCGTTGTCTCCAAGGGTCCAATAGGGACCAATTGGAACCTATACTCGTCCAACAGGTTCACCACGAGAAACTCAGACAGCCCAGGTATGTCCCCACCGGAAGCCCTGCGCCTTGGAGGGTCGCGCGATATACCAATCACGGCGGCTCTCGTGGTAAGCTCATAATAGATCATGTTATTAGTCGGCCGTACTGTTCGATATACAAACGATCAGTTCTCATAAGGCAGCCCCGACTCCTGCCTGATTGCCCCATACACCCCCGCCAGATCCCCCTTCTCGCCCTTCTCAGCCTTCACCCGCTTCAAATACTCATCCGTGACCTCGACGCTCCTCAGCCGAACGCCCGCCTGCCCCGCCACATCCGCCGCATGGCCCAGATCCTTGCGCGCCAGATCGACCGCAAACAACGGCTCCCCGCGCCGCCAATAATCCCCCTCGATCATGCGGTCCGCATACTTGGCAAACGGGCCAGGGAGGAAGGTATGCACCCAATTCCGATAAGCCTGGACGCCGAGGCCGGACTTCTCGGCGGCCACCAGCCCCTCGGCAATGGACTCGACGGTGTTCAGGATGAACGTGTTGCCCAGGATCTTGAGCGTCGTAGCGGCGCCGACGTCGTCGCCGGGCATGTCCAGCGTCGCTTTGGCCGTGACGCCGTCGAAGAAGGGCGTCAGGCGCGCGATCGACGCCGCGGATCCGGCGGGGACCACGATCATCTGTCCTGCGTCTGCGGCGTTCGGGGCCCCGAAGACCGGACAGGCGACGAAGGCGGCACTGCGTTGTGTCAGGGCGGTGTGGATGCGGCGCGAGGTGTCCGGGTGCACGGTGGAGCAGTCGACGATGAGTTTCGAGGTCAGATCGAGCGACGAGTCGGAGAGGAGGGTGGTGATGATCTGGTCGAGGGCGGCGTCGTCGCCGACGCAGATGAAGCTGATGGTGGAGGCGCGGACGGCATCAGAGAGGGATTGCGCGACGGTGGCTTTGTTGGGGCCCAGCGATTCGGCAAAGGTGCTGGCTTTGGAGGCTGTGCGGTTGTATACGATCAGGGGGGAGGATTGAGGGCCTTTGTGGGCGATGTTGCGGCTCATGCCCTGGTCTTTTGTTAGTAGGGAACGGAATAGATGGTTGAATGGGTCTTACGCGGCCAATGTTACCCAGGCCTATCCAGGCAATGCGTTCGGAAGACATGGTAGTGAATTATGGGGGATGTGGTCCTGTAGCCTCAGTTGAATTGCGGAAGATGGGAAGTCAAAGATGATATCACCCCGACTTAACCCGGTGTCCCACAGCGACAGCCTGTATTCCCCCACATCCCACCATCTCCACCACTCATCATCTCCGACCATCTCCACACGCTTTCTTCCATCATGGAGCCTGCCGAGGATCCGATTGGCCGACCCCTTGTGGCAATCAAGAAGAAACCATCTTTTTCGGAAACGGTGGTGCAGCTGCCCACAGCTTCGTCAACTGTAAGCGGGTCATCCGTGCTTCCACAGGGCGGGAAGTCTACGAAGTCACATGGGATGGCCAGCCGGCGATTGCAAAATGTTGGAACGAGGACTGGGTTCGCAGGTTAGTACAATAAGGTCAATCCGCCAGCATGGTCTACCCAATAAGACTGACTCAATCTACCACAGCTATATGAATGAGGCCGCCGTGTACGAATGACTTGACCATCAACGCCCTGAAGGATATGATGTCTTCGCGTCTCTCCTCTCTCACGGAGTCATCTCATGCTCCTCGATCTTCCCGAAAGGGTACATACTCATCATTACAAAGGTCGAAGGGGAAGTGCTCCTGAACCAATGGGACATGTTGTCGGCCACAGAAGCAGCCCATGCCCGCAACCAAATACGCCGTGCCATCGCAGTTCTCCGAAGGATTCCAGCTCTCTGCACCGATGCTGGCAAACACAACATCCTATACTCGCGCAAAACACAGGCGGTGACGATGATTGACTTTGAACGGGCTAGACCGTGTGACGAAATCTATTTAGCGAGTCAGGACCCGGAAATGTATGACATATTTGACGACGGACCAGAGGCATAGAGAAGAAACCATCACGGAGGGTAGATCAGTTTCAAGCCTGGTGGAGTTTAGATACTAATGTCTGTTTTGCTTAACTTTTATTTCTTTCATTCTCCAAAGCCAACAGATAGTGTAGACTAGACCTCCAGAAAAGAAACAAAAAAAAAAAAACATTTTAAGCAGTAAACTAGAGATCCAAAAGCCCGCCCATAGTATATTGACATCTCCAGCACACGAATACAATCTCGATCTACACACCCTGCGCACTCACTGCCTGGTCAGCGAGACACTGGACTTATTCTCGTCTTTCTGGCTTCGAATCAAATCAACAATCTTCTCGCAGGCAATCGTGCGGCCCTCTCCCTCCAGCTGCGTCACCACTTTCTTGGCTCGATCTGCCATGCCGATGGACTCCTCGCTCGCCAGCACGCGAATCAGCGCTTTCCCCAGGTCCACTCCCTTCACGGCTGGAGCAGTATTGCGATTGCCCCAGACTCCAATACCCCGGAACTCCGCACGATGCGCAAAGTCGTAGGTGTCGAACCACGTAGGCAGGACGATTTGAGGAACCCCAGCCCTGAACATGAAGAGAACAACGTCAGCAAACATATCACAGATTAGAGCAAACCGGAATAACCCACCTCACAGCCTCATGATACGAGTTCGACCCCCCATGATGAATCATGCATTTGACCTGACCACTCAGCAGCACGCAGATCGGCTCCACGCTCAACCACGACTCGATCCGCACGCGATTCCCCTCAATCGCCTCCCTCAGACAATCCAGCGCCGACTCCTGACGCTCTCCCCGCCGCTTCAACTTCCACAGGATCTGCACGTCCCTCCGCTTGTCCAGCAGCATGCGGAATCCCTCGGCGAACTGGCGTTCCTGCTCCGGACTGCACGTCACGTGGGATCCCATGTTGACCAGGACGGTGGGACGCAGGGACAGCCACGCCGCGAGCTGCGGACTCTCCTGCGCGATGGGGGCACACGGACGCACGATGGGCCCGCAGAGGGTGAAGTTCTGCGGGACGAAGCAGGGGAAGTCCGCGGCGGGGGTGGTGACCAGGAGATAGGGGGTTTTGTCACCCGGGGGGCTGGCGAAGAGGGGGTTTGGGCCGGGGATGCCGTGCTTGTTTCGATAATCGCGCAGCTTGCGGACGCGCTGGTTGCCCATGATGATCAGGGCGATCTTGATGGTGAGGAAGATGTTGAGCGGGATTAGGTACCAGGGTACGGGGTAGGGGTATCCCGAGCAGAGACTGATTGATGTGAGCTTCTTACGGAGCAGTAGACAAAAGCAAATAGACAACAGGAGATGAACTGGGGAAAATGAAGCTCTCACACTGGGTATTTCCACAGATTCGCCAGCCACGGCTGAGGAGCCAGATCCTTCGCGGTATTCGGGCTCAGCACGACGTGCGGCCACCGCAACACGCGACATGCGTCCAGACCGATGACGAACAGGGGGTCGAGGACGACCATGGCGGGCCGAACCTTCTTGATGATATCTACGCAGTCGCGATAGATAGCGACGAACTGAGAACCATCCCACGGGTTCATCAGCATCGGGATAAATTGATTGAACGCCTGGCTGGCCCCGCGAAACCCGATCTGATGATAGTCGAAATGGTCCAGGAAGACGGGAGTATGGCTATACACGTCGACCATGGATGGACCGTTGATTGGGTGAAAGGTAGCGGTGGTGGTGGCCGAGGCGAGCATCTTGGCTCGCTCGTTGAGGATGTCGACGTCTGGGGCGAGACTGGGAAAGGATGCGATGTGGACGCTGTAGGACGGGCGAAGGAGGAACTCGTGGGCTACGGCCAGGATGATACTTGCTTGGCCCAGTTCGCAGTTGGTGAAGAAGAGGATGGACGAGTTCTCCATGATGCTGGTTGTTGGGTTGAATATGGTAAGGGGAAGGGGGTATCAGGTATCAAGAGAACTTAAAAACGCACTATGGACGAGGTAGGAGAAGAGAAGGTCAAACAGTCAAGAACATGTGCCAGAAGATTCAAAGAAAAAAAAAATGAGGATAGAAGAGGAAGAGGGGGAGGGAGATGAACGAAACGGGATGAAACTACAAGGCCAGTCACACAGGAAAGTTCCCTTAAAGCAGTGGATATAGTTTGACCTAGTTGGACAGGAGTTACGCAGAGGCGCGCTTAGACGTCGGTGATTACCATTATGATTTTCTCGACAGTCGTCGAGTCTCTATACAAACTCTATATGCAATGGTGGTGATTGCCCACCGCTGTACAGTACTTTTTGGCCGTCCAACCCTGATCTCATCGCTCATGCAGAGGATAAGCCCTAGGTGCTTGGCGGGGATCTCCTCTATTTCTTCCTCCGTCCACTGATCGCCGAGTTCCGCGTATTGACCCGGTCAATATCATACGGATTCTCCTCATATTGCGTTGCCGTTCGAGCCAACGACCGTCCCGAACGAGCTGACTGTCTACTGGCTCGAGAAGCCCGTCGTTCCATGACACCCTCCGACTGGATTGTCGAGAGACTATCCGTATCGCTATCGCTGGATTCATCAGGCTCTTCCTGCCCGGCCTGCTCTCCAGGGCCCGCCTTCTTCTCCTCGGTGGGCTGGGCAGCACGCGCAGGCTTGTTCTGCATTTCTGCGAGACGCTGCATGAACGCCTCTGACTCGGCAGCATAAACGCACTTCTTGCGAATCCCCGCGCCATACCAGTAAAAGAGAAATGGGAAGGGCGCGCAAGCGAGGGCCAGGAACGCGGGGATTGACGACGCCCAGTGGATGCCCAGGTTATTATACATGTAGGTGGTGAAGAGAGGGAAGGCCATGCCAAAGAGCGATCGTAAGGACGAGTTCGCCGCCAGCACGGAGGCCGCGAAGATAGTATAGGCGTCGATCAGGTAGTTGAAGACACTGAGGAAGACGAGCACCTCGCCAAATCCGAAGGGGACGCCGGCAGCGACGGAGGCCATCCAGTGGACGGAAGGGGAGTTGGTCCAGGCGAACCAGAACAGTCCGATGGGCAGAGCGATACCCCCGACGATACTGGGAGGCAGTCGAACCTCCGGGGCCAGTCGCCCCGTGGTTTGTCGGCATAATTTGGCGTAATGCAGGTTGTCAGGAATCGTGTAGAGCACGGCGAGCACCATTCCAACCAAAACGCCCATGAAGGCCAGGCCTCCAACACCCTCGCTCCAGCCACGACCCTCCTGGTAGACAATCGGGAAGGCGGCGAACAGCATGTACAAGGTTCCGTAGATGATGGCCATATAGATGCAGAACAGGAGAACAATCGGCTCTCGAAAGAGGAGCTGCCAGGGCCGCGAGAGCGCCGTTGAGAGCGTTTTTGTTAGCGGCACTCGGCCGCGCTCAATATCTAGCTTGCTGCGATAGACTCCTCCGTTCAGCTCTGATAATTTGGCGGCCCTTCGACGCAGAAGAACGGGAGCATATGTCTCGGGCAAAAAGAAGCAGACCGAAAGCCACACGACACCCGAAAACGCAGCCATGAAACCTTCGACCCAGCGCCATCCGGCTCCAGAGCCCAAGAACCCCCCGATGACCGGTCCGACAGTCGGCCCACACAACGGCGCTGCAGCAAACAGGCTGATGGCAATGCCTCGTTGCGCCGCAGGGAAAAGGTCACTGATACTCCCGCCACCGTTTCCAAAGGCCGACGAGCCGGAGAAACCCGCCAGGAACCGCAGGATAATCAGCGTCTGGATGTTCTGGGCACCCGCCGCGCCGGCATTGAACGCCGTCATGAGAAAGTACGTGATGGTGAATATATGCCGACGACCGAAAGTTTCACTCATGGGCGCCCAGATTAGAGGTCCGAAGGCAAAGCCCAGCACGAACAGCGAGATGCCCAGGATGGCGACTTCTTGCTCACAGCCGAAATCCTCGACGATCTGGGTCATTCCGCCCGAGTAGGCAGACGAGACCAGAGCAGTGGTAAGCGTGATGAACGAGACCAGGAACGTGTAGGACCATTTCCGAACAGCCCCGAAGTTCATGGGGTTGCGAGGGTCGTTGGGGATCCAGATGACCACGTACGGGTCTTCCTCGGTGCCGGAGCCATCATATGGGTAGTTCGCGATTTCCTGCGTAACCACCTTCTGGTCGAACACCAGCCGGAAGCAGTTGATGCGCGATGGCAGAGTCGCCTCGCCAGCGACGGAGCCAGTCATGCCTGCCGGGGGTTGGTGGTACGACGGTGAATCGCTGCTGTCCTCCAGTGTCAGCTTAGGACTCGTTCAGAAGGCGCAAAAATGGCTCGATGCAAAAATGGCTCGGAGATCGTCGTTCTGGTGGCACAGTGTGATAGTATGACCCACCTCAGGTTGATTCTATCGACCAAAAACGGTAGAAATTAGAGCATTAAGTCTCTGTTTGGCTTGTGCACCGTGGCAAAAGGAGGTCGTTGGCCCGGGGAAGTCGTAGATCGCGGGATATTTTTCTCTTAGCGACTCCCGAACAAACGTTACATGTAAAAGCCCAAGACGGAAAAGCAGTGATAATAAACGAGGGTCTGATATTATTACGAAGGGTCAATCTGGGCCAGCCGAGTTGAAAAGCGAGCAAAAAATCGGCATTGACAGCCGAGAATGCCTCGGTTAGAGTGGCAGAGATCCAGGTCCGAATACACCAGCGAGAAAAAAAAAAAAATGAAACCGGCCAACAGAGGGAAAACAGTGCACTGCCGACCTGAACGCTTATCAAAGGGACTTCTCATTCGCGAACCACGACGGTCGGCCCGGATTTAGCATCTCTTAGCATTCTTTAGCCTGGGCTCCACTCTCTCTTGGCCTGCAAAGCTTGACAAATCGTGTTTCCGGTTCTCAGGCAATCGGGGCGACGGCGATGCATCTTTGGATTAGATTGCATAGAAAGTTCAGTTCTGACGCAGCCAGAATCTTGTCCGATCTGCCAATCTCCCCCCGGTCTTAATACGGGGGAGAGTGACATTGGAATGTTGACTCCTGGACCCTGGGACGGCGGCGGACTAGTTGGTTACAAGCATTCTTGGCAGACGAAAATCCAACGTCGTACTCCAGACTGGTCAGTGGTGACACAGACTGCGATAAGCCAACGAAAGACTTCCATCGTCGCCTCTGCATTACACGGGGTGGTTATGACTGGATTGTCTGCATTGCTGTACGCATATGCAAGCAAGATAGGGCATGCGGGCATCACGAGGTCGGAACGAAGATGCCGAAGTGGATCCGTAAGACTCGTCGAAAGGGAATCCCCCGTGCTGAGGCGGAGGGGCCGCGTGTTTGGAATCCTACGTGTAGTCATACTATATATGATTATGAGATCATATACAAGTGGGTTATTCGGCTGGGGATTTTTATATCCTTGACAAAGTACGGAGGATGTTGCAACCTCAGGCATCTATCGGCCTGCCTAATGCGGTTAGTGCACGTGGTCCACTGCGGGCCCCCAACGGAGTATACGCAGTTCATATCCCAAGGCTATAGTCTTATAATCCAGCCAGGAGAGCAATTCACAGTACTGCGTAGGACTGTTTGACTTCATTTTCACTTCTTTGTTTCTACTTCTGATTCACTCTATATATCCTTCAAATTCACTTTCTACCAGAGGGAAGGTTCTGCCTACAGATCCATATCCTAATCTCTTTCACTCTCTCATCTCCTACTTCATTCTTTCCTATCTCCCACTCCTTTCTCCTCTTCATCTCCCACTACTATCTCTGCCACTTGCTCATTTCTTAGACTTTCCTTTGTTGTTGGCTTCTCAAGCTTTACAGCGTTACCGTTGTCCTTCATCTAGCTTACGACCTTATCTTTGTGGCCTTTCTCAAGCTGCTTTTAGCAGTGCCTCAAAAGATGACCACTGCTAAAGCCGTTATCTTCACCAGCAATGATTCTGTCAAGCTGGGAATTTTGTCCCTCGTTCTGAGAGAAAAATACTGAAATAAAACCCACTCCGTTGATCTCAAGGATGATGACGAGCCGGATTTGTCAACAGGCTTGTTTATCATATAAACGGCTTTAGAGTATGACAAGAGTGATACAGGGCTAACAGCGGCACAACGTTCTTTTACGCTGTTTGACTTGGTAATGTTGTATTCCTCCACCGAAAGCTGAGAAAAACTATTGCATTTGTCTGGTGAACTGGCCTTTGCCAATTTAGCGACTGACACGGTCGTTACTATCGAAATCCCAATAGGGACATACTCAATCTTTTGAACAGCCAGCGACAAGACCATTGTCCTCCTGTTCTCTGGTGGCCAGTTTCAACTGAACGAAATACCTCCGTGACACCGCCACCGCCATCGAGGCCGAGGGAAAGCAAGAGATGACTGCTCTGCCATCGCAGGGCTGCACCGTGAAATCGACAGTGTTCAATGAGTCAATCACTCTGGCAATCTGACCCCCACGCTGCTCTTGCTAACCCAGGTTGTGCGTCAGCTTGGGATTGATACTTTCCACACTGAACTTCTAGATAAAAGGTTGGTACAATTACAGCACTTCCTCATGGGGTGCTCATCGCGAGGCCGGCATCTATCCTCAATCTTCCTCTACTCAAGGAGAGCTCGGTCGTTTTCAAGTTGAACGATACGGAATCCCAGCACGTCCTCAAAGCCATAAACAAGTTCGTGAGAGCAAGATTCCACTCTCACTCGAGCTCGGATAAGGCAGGCAGAGACGGTGAAAGCCTTAATCCTTTGGGGCATGCTGTTCGTGCCCAACGCTTGACAGCTCATCCTCTCCTCCCGTCTGAGCACAACTTCGAAGGGGTCGAAGGAAGATTCAACCCTTACATAGATGATGGTGTCAACGAAAACATCATTAGAATCATTGAGGCTCAAGGCGGCATCAGTATCGAGTCAAGGAATAAATGGTTGGCACGGCTTGACGCCCAAAATACGGAGACCCTGATGAAGTCAACCAGAATACACACCTTTCTCGAGGTATGGGACAGAGCTAGGAACTCATAGCTCAACGAAAAGATTATTATTTTTAGTTCCTATTGAAAGTTTTTGGACATACTCGTTGTGGTTCTCAAGAGACAGACAGAGGGGGGTTATCAGTCTCCATTTTAACGGGACTCTGGATAACAGAAAAAAAAAGAGTCTATCAAAGAAGATTTCATGATCAGCAACTCATCATCACCACTGTTAATTACTACCGGATGCGATAGTACTGGGATTAACCTCTAGTCCGCGTCAGTTATTATACAGATGGAGCCGTGGTGGAACCACAACCATAAGAAACAAGCATATGCGAGGTGCTTCCGGATGGGGCAGACAAAGGAGGTGAAGGTCTTTAAGATACTCACTGAAAACGTGCGATTGACAGATACTTGCACATCTCTTCGGCCGGAGAAACCTGGTTACACTCGGTGACGCATCCTCGACCGCAATCTGGCCGCGAGGTTTCACACTCACAGGAATGAGTTGCTGAGGCTTGTCATTTCAGAGACTGACATCGACGTGACAACCATAATGAACGTCCAGGAGCTTGTGAAGCGCGAATGGAAACCCAATGCCATCATCAATGAGGCCTCTTTCTTTCGCGACCCCGGGTTCTTCCACGCCTTTTCGGTTCTGGAGAATGTCAATCGAGCTCTGCTCGTAGGAGACCACAAGCAGCTTTCTCCGCCCACGTTCCCACCAGAGGGAGAACGCATGTGAGCTCAGTCTGCATTCGAACGACTTTTTCTCGCGAGTTGTCCAAACTCTCTCCAGAATGAACAATATCGACGTCGTCACCGTCTCTACATGCCAACTTCAGATGCCTACTATGATGGCCAAGTAGCCTCGGCTCGTGCTCAATGCTCGAGAAATATTGTTCGGCTGTACGATAGTACAGTTCCTTTGAAGTAGAACAAAAGAACCTGGTATCTTAAAAATAAGGTCCGGTTTATTAATTATGTGGGGATACAGACAAAAGTACCTGCTCATCAATCTACAACGCTGGCGAAGCCGAGATTACTATACAGCTTACTACACAGATTCTGCGCTACATCCCAGACATGTTGGTAATCTCACCATACCGCGCACAGGTGACTTTAACCGCCAACAAGTAGGAGATACTATACTCTGATACTGCGAAGAAGCTTCGGTTCCAGACAATCGATAGCGTCCAGGGCGCAAAGGGAGACATTTTCATTGTTATGCTTAACATAAGCAAAGGCACTGCGTGATGCTTGCGCTCCTCCAGACGCACAAATGTCATGAGCTCAAGGGCCAGACATGGCGTGTATTTCATTGGCAACTAAAGCATAATATACTTTCAAGAACTCCAGTTGCACTACAAGAATATTACTGATATTTAGCGCTTCGTCGCAAATGGAGAAAGAGGTGGAATATTCTTGATTTAAGTGACTCTTTTACACTTGCCAATGTACTTTACCGGAGCGAAAGACAAAATTCTCTCTTTTCTTTTGTCACTCTTTATCCTGTTATACTGTTACAATGCATTTGTCACGTCTGGTGACAAACCATTTGCTTATGATTGAAGGAAGCGAGGGATTTCCTGAGAGAAGAGAACAGTGGTATTTGAGGGGGATCATACAGTGCAATGCAGGCTAGTTTCAATCAAGAAGCTTTGGGAGAAGAGATTTCCTCAGTCGTCTGGTTAGGATCAATGAATTAAAATTAATGTGAGCCCCTTGTTTTATAACTGGCGAGCAAAGCACCTAAATTCCCTTTAGTGGACAAATATCTCTACCGTTGTAGTCAAGCATGACAATTCTACAAGGGAAAAAAGCAATCATTTCATCCAATCGACAACCCATAAGTGTCATATCTAGCTGCTGTTCGTGGTCCACAAACACCTACCGAAAGGTGCCAGCGCAATGGGAATCATATTTGCTTCTAATCGATCATTCATCTATCCGGTCATCATCCGAAGTATCCTCCCACGCCAACCCCGGGTCCGGGCATTGCTTTTTACCCGCTAGTCCTCCCAGAATCATTTCTTTGGACATATCATAGTACGAATCCCAGAAGCTAATGCGTCCCAGAAGCCCCTCACAATAGGGAAGACCCCACGAGCTGATGTCCTCATCGTAGAGATCACTCACGATCTGCTCCAGACGGGGGTACATATCCACGTAGACCATCTCGAACGCCGCGTAGGGATAGCCATCTCGCATGGCCAGAACGACCGGGTCTGCGATATGCACCGCATCGCCCAGTACCAGATCGCGGACTTCCAGCATATCTTTCAGCGTCATTGAGTTGATGCGTTGCTGCCTTGCCTCCGGGCCCAGAAGGGCCAGTCCCCATAGCTGGTACACGCCGCGAATGTAACGAATGCGTTCGGAGCGCGACAGATGGCGTGGGCGAGGGTTTCGTACCACCAGTTCATTTTCTAGATCGAAGTATTAGCGGAGACTCGAGACGTTGTTTGCTCCTGTCCGCCTTGTGGGGGGGATGGATTCGAAAGAGACTTGGTTTTACCTTTGACGCGACGGATATGATGTTTTTCAAGGTCTGCCACGGAGTTCTCCCCGACCGCGGCGTTGCTGATCAACTGAAGGACCTCCGGGTGGGAGAGGTGTGTGGCACTGACCGGGGGCCCTCCCTGGGCAGCCAGCAGCAGGCGGGCAAGTTTGCGACAGGGTGCGGTCCGTGGGGCAACTTGGCGATAGATGGTGTAAGCAAAATCGACCCATACTTGGCGATGGCGACGACAGGTGGCCGCAAACCTGGCGACGTCTGAGAAGGACAGAAGGGCACCGAAAATCAACCCGATCAACTCGGCCGGAAGACGGGCCAAGGGAGAGGGGGTTGACATGATGAGAAATGCAGGGGGATGGAGGAGCGAAGGAAGGGACGAAGAAGGAGCCGGTTGGACTGAGGCATTTTAAGATGCTGGAGAACGGAATCCATCGGGGCGATCTTGGCTCCCGCAGGGGTCGGGCCGGTGGGGACTGACGGTCTTTCGGACTGAGAATCAATCGCAGGGCTGACCCTATCCCACTCGAATGGTTACATTGCTCAAAAGGGGCCAAACTCAGGGTCCCTGCGCACAGGGATCTCCAGGGCGTGGGCGCATCAGCCTCGTTCCGTTCAGGACTAACAAGCATGAACTAATGCGTGCCTAGAGAGCACTGCCATCTTCCGAGTTTCATTTGCACCCCTGGGGAAGGAACTGCTTCAAATTCTAGAAAGTGCCCAATGACAATCCCTGCAATTGGAGCTCCCAAGTTGGTAATACAAGGCTGTAGGCCTGGGCACATGGTCTTCCGCGATATCTTGCGGTGCTATGCATCGATAGATCATGGTCATCTCTTTGCATTGCCTGGAAAATACTCGGTTGCTGCTAGGTTTAGGTTGATTCATCGCCCTGGACGTTTCACCTGTCGGTCCTGAATCTGCTAGAGCTATTAGTATGCTATCCAGGCGGGAGTAGACATGCAAGACCGGGGTGGGAGCATGTATATATAGAGTGATAGGTTCTGCCTCGATATGGACCTTTGCAATTCAAATCAGTCAACTTTCCTTGCGTCAGTCTTTACTTATCTCTCTTTTCTTTTGTCACTCATTATTTAGTCACTCTCTTTATCCTGTTATCCAGTTACAATGCGTTTGTCACGTCTGGTGACAACCCAGGTGGCACTATGCCTGCTCTGCTTGTTCCTTCTGTCGGCCTTCATGCCCACCTCTGCTCTGCCGGGACGTGGTAAAGGCATCGGCAGCCATCGTTCCTCCAGCGGCAGTAGAAGCAGCAGCCATAGCACCACCAGCGACAAGAAGCACGGGCTTGGCAGTCTTTTTTCCAGTGGTGATAAGAAAGATGACAAAAAGGACAAGTCAACCTCTGGCAAGGGTCGTAAGCCTGGCTCTTCCCCGGGTCGTCAAGGAAAGGATGATAGCCGAGGTCGTGGCTCTTCTCGTGGTTCCTCTCGTGGATCTAACCGGGGATCTTCGCGTGGCTCAAGTCACAGCAACCCTTTCTCTGACAGGTTCGATCTTGACAATCCCTTCTCCGACGCTCACGCTGCTGGGGACATTTTCGCTGTTGAAGACGGTCCGACTAAGGACAAGAAGCCCGGAATCGGCGTGGAGTTTGAGTCCAGCGGCGTTAAATTCGCCAATCCACAGTGCAACGACAAGGAGACATTCAAAATGAAAGGCTTGCATGTCGATGGCCGAGAAAGCAAGCGAGAAAAGGACTGGGCCTTGACCGTGGATACCACTGACGCAATTGGAGGCCATTCAAAGGGAAGAAGGGGGCTGAGACTGTCACCATCGGCAAGGCCAAACAAAAGCATTGCCAAAAATGGACTGTGGAGAAGCCAGCAAACGAAGGTGCGATTGCTAATATTGGTTGGCAGTACCAGGTTACAGTCCCGATGCCATTGGGAGCTATCCATGATTTGTTTCGCAAGGCTCGCTCCGGCGAGAACACTCCCCTGTTGCCGGGAACGAAGATGGCGTCGAAGGGGCGAATGATCTGGGTCAACAAGAACTTCTTCCAGGCCAACCCGGAGGGTAACAGCCCCGACCAGATCACCCCCGATGCAATGGGATTTCTATCCTTGGTAGTCTCTTACGCCAAGAACGCGGAAACAAGAAATCCGGAAGAAAGTCCCAAGATGCTGACGCCAATTATGCCGCGCACCGATTTCGCCAGCATCTATAATGACGTAAAGTCTGATATTAAAGGTGACCTATATAAGCTGGTCTCGGTCCTGCTCTGTTATAAAAATGACGAAGGAGACGAAGTCGAGTGAGTTTCCATTTGTTGGTGTGGGAATGAGTGCTTAACAAATGACTCGGACAGATTCGACAGCATGGCGTGTGACGGCGATGCGAAGAACCCCAAGCCCAAGAAGAGCATGGACGAAACTACCGAGCTCCACCTGAAGGGTGAGAACCCTGAAACCGAGCGGCCAGAGGAACACCGCGTGCGACTGAAGGAGTGGATGAACGGGCTGCCGAGAGGCCAGGATATCTTGGCCAGGGGAGATGCTGTTATTGATGGACAGGTTGGTGGATTGAAGTCAGCTCATGAGGAGGTCTACCGTGACTCCAAGCGATTGGTGCCACTGTTCGAATTTCGGAATCTCGGATCTGTCCAAGCCTCCGGCTTCAAGAGGTTGGTTGAGAAGATTGAGGATGCCGTCTTGGACTACCACAAACGGTTTTAGAGCTCACAACAAGGGGATAAGTTGCTTTCGTTTCGGGATAACATTTTTCTATTGTCTGCCTTTTGGACGGGTTGACGCTGTGTAACAGCGCAACAGCGTCTGCTCTGTTTGGACTACCGTTATTTTCTTTCTAGCTACTCCATCGACCTGAGTAGCGTATTGTATTGACTACAATATGATTTAGCATTCAATGAACAGTTCATGAGGGGATTGAACCCGAGTGATTAGTCCAACTCACAGCATATACCTTTTGATATTAGTTGAAAACCGATCCCTGCTAAGAGCCCCAGCTCGGGGATTCTTTATCTCTTTTCGGAAAGTATTTCCCATCTCGCTGAGCACCAACATGCCAAGGATGTCACCATACGCAGTAGAATGCTAGTTGCCGCGATGATCTTAGTTAGCCGGAGCAGATTCTTGCGTTTCTTCAGGCCTCATCTCACCAACCGAATGACCTGTCATCTAGCACGAATCCACCTCCTTCTCCGGATTCGAGACTCGGCCTCTTTGCCGGCGGATATCGCGCCCTGGAAGCCCATCGACCCTGGTGTCGCCGGAGGTTGCAAGAGGAAGAAGCGACGGCTCAGGCACCAGGGCCGTCGAACCTTGTGGCACGTGGCCCAGCACGAGACCGCAATTCGGACTGTCATCGCGCCACCTTCTCCATCCCGGATCTCTCGGACGGATCTCATCGCGGGTTCTGCGCCATCGAGATCCCGTCGCCTTCATTGGACGGGAGAAGCGTCATTTCTCCCTAGCAGCTGTCGGTCTGGTCGGTTATCCAGCGTCGTGATGAAGATGGTTGAGCTGGTCCAGTCGTCGCACCACACATCGTGGGCAAATCTGGCCCCGAAAGACCCGGAGGTGAAGGGTGCGCGCCATCGGAGTCCAGAACATGGTAGGCGGATATGGGTTTTGTGGACTTTGCCAATGCCATCCCCATCCACTACTACGGAGTATGTGTGGACCTATGTCGGGCACGTGTGTCTCTCGTGCCTTCTACGGAGTACACCCCAGACAGATGCGAAAAGAAAAGGTGTGGAGGGGCCACGCATTGTCCAAAGTCCCGAGAAGAGACCGTCCGAAAGATCCCCCCCGCGAAGGAACCATGGGATGTCATCCCAATTTCCAGTTGCATTAAAAATATGAAACCGAACCCGAACCTTGGGATTACCCGAGCTAATCCGTTATCTCCAACTGAGAGGGAGGGGATCTGTCAGTGTCTCAGGTGTGGACCACACAAAACTTAAACTATTTTTTCGCCATCTGAAAGGTCTGTTTCTAATTGTGGCGAGGGAGGTTTGTCGAGAATGGCTGGCTGGGGGGGAAGCTTGTGCAGCCGACAGAAAGCCGTCTCTCTCCCGACCTTTTTTTTTTATTATTTTTTTTTATTATTATTTTTTTTTTAATACTATTGCACTCTCGCTGCAAAGACTCTCCACATTGCGCTGTTCAGCCAAGGTGGCTCGAAGGTTCTCTTTATCCACTACGGCTCAGCCGTTGGACAGAGCTTCCTTCACGCGACTATTTCCCGGGAGGGTTCCCTGTCGATCGGGCGAATATATTGGCTAAACTGTTAGTAATAGTCCTGAAGATCAAGCCGGGGAGATCACGGAGGTCTCTTCTAGACCGTGTCCGGCACACGAAAAAGATGAGCCATTGCATTGAGTGGAGCGTGGAGATGAGTGAATCACCCTCGCCCCTCCCACCATGAAGTTCATGAACCCCATCGAAGTCGAAGCTTGCGACCGTGATTGACATCCGATAGTCCGTCCCGAGAGGAGGATCACCCGCACCCCGCTATCCAATCATTTGGCCGCGAAGTGCGCGGGTCCAGCATTACTGGATCGGAGCTTGGGTTGCCCTGTCGGGCATCCGGATCTACATATCTCAGCCATCACACCGTGTGGCAGGTTTCATTGTGTCACGGATCGCACATTCGACGATGTTTCGAATTTCGCTTTGTTGATGGCGGAATTCTTGCCCCTCGGGAAATTCGTTCTCCATCCCACCATACTTTCCTCCCTGGGTGCGTGGCCCAGATGGCGTGCTGATGATGACAGCGCATCTAGGAGAAACTACCAGATGTACGGAGTACCACCACTCCAACTATCTCCATCATGGCTTGGTGATTCTCCACAACGCCCATGGCGGTGACAGCAGGAACCATGAAACATCTTCTAGACCCCTACCAGACAAAAAAAAATTGGCTTCCGGGTCCACCAACTAGTGGCGGCTTCCCTTCCCTTCCTTCAGGGGGGTCGTTCCCCTTCCGGCCATCTGTATCTGACCTCGGCTACGAAATTGGGAGTATCGCGAGATTCCATTCTTTGATTGCTCAAGGCCACGTCAACGTTGACAAAACCAACCCAAAGGGGGGAGTGCTTCGCTCGCCTCCCATATCGTCATCCGTCACTATTTGGGAGACAATCTTCATGCCACTTGAAAATGGATGACCAGCCTTAACATACAAGGGGAGAAAATTTCACAGGCCTTGGACACAGGAGCAGATCATGTGGGGATGATTATGATGCGTTACCCTGAGAAAAGGTAGCTGTGTAGATCGGGGCGACGATAAGCTGAGCTTATTGGCATTGTGTGGTGCCGGACATGGAATAACGCTCGGCCATGCAAGGGGTATTGGAGGGCATCGTCATCCCTATAGCTTGGTTCGGAGCCCGTGCTGCCCAGCGGGTGTCCTTCGCTGTATCCACCAATGCGTGATGACCCATCTGATTTAGGGCCCATTTTGCCTTTGGAGATCAAAAAAATAAGGAGCTTGGGTCAAAAAAAAAAAAAAAAAAAAAAAAAGCAAGGGCCAACATACCAGAACTATCCATCTGTATGGACGCGCGTTGTCTGCCAAAATCAGGGCAAATTATCATCATGATCATCTACGACGGGGATTTTTTTTTTCATGAACAATTGTTTTTTTTTCTTCCTGCCTACGGTTCATTTACTTATTTCTACGACCATGGCTGCCATCTTTTGGTCTCTATCATCTCATCCTTTCCTCTTGAATCTTCATTCCACTAGTCTTTCCCTCTTTTTGTGGTAGCCATGTCACCACAAACCACCCACGATTCGGCGGTTTCTTTGCCTACCTCTTATCTGAGCGACGCGGAGAAGAAGGACGTCCATGTTGAGGCCGCATCGATCAGGCCAACTGATAGCAGTGATGCCGAATTGGGCGAGTCGTCTCAGGATGAAGACGACAAACTCGTCCATTGGGATGGTCCCAATGATCCCGAGAATCCCATGAACTGGACGAGTTTCCGGAAATGGTTGACCATTGCCTTGATTTCCATAAGCAGTTACAATGTGTAAGCAGACCTGTCACTCCTGATCTTCATGGTGGCGAGCATGTCATGCTAACCATTCTCAGCTCCCTGGTGTCCACAATCTTCTCGCCGGCTGTGCCGGCTGTCCAGGAAGAATTCAACAACCACGATGATTCCATTTCTTCTCTTATGGTCTCTGTCTATGTCATGGGAGCTGCCATTGGCCCTCTCATCCTGACACCCATCACCGAAATGAGCGGAAGGCTGCCAATGACCCACGCGGCAAACTTTCTTTTCTTGGCTGCGGACATTGTCTGCGCTGCCAGCGTCAACATGCCGATGTTGATTGTCTCTCGACTATTCATGGGTATGGCTAGTTCAGTCCCAGTAACTGTGGGAGGCGGCTTCGTTAGCGATATGATGAAGATGGATGAACGGGGAACCGCCATGACGATCTGGACTGTGGGGCCTCTGCTGGGTTTTGTGACTGGCCCTATCTTTGGAGGTTATATGGTCCAAAACGTTGGATGGCGATGGACCGTCTGGCTTGAAGCCATTGTGGTAAGCCTTTGCTCCGTCTGTCAATCAACATTATCCAAAGCTAATATGATTGCACAGGGCGCAATCGTTGCAATCGCGTCTCTATTCCTGCTCCGTGAGACGTACGCGCCAACTATCCTTCAGAAGAAGGCCATGAAGCTGCAAAAGGAGACTGGTTTCCACTACCGTACCAAGTACGAGACTGGTCAAACTGCCTGTCAGATGCTGCGGGTTTCTCTTACCCGTCCAATCAAATTCCTCTTCCTGTCGCCCATCGTCATGATCGTGTCTCTGTACAGTGCTGTCACCTACAGCTACATGTATATTCTCTTCACGACCTTCACTGAGATGTTTGAGTCCATGTACAACTTCACCCCTGGCGAGGCCGGTCTCGGCTACCTTGGCATCGGTCTGGGTTTCACTCTAGGCCAGATCACGGTTGGCTACTTCTCGGATCGCTACGTCCGGCGACAAGAGAAGATTCACGGCAAGATGAGGCCCGAGGACCGTCTGCCGCCCCTCGTCGTGGGATGCTGTCTGGTCCCCATCGGTCTTCTCTGGTACGGTTGGTCTGCCGAGTACCACACGCACTGGATTGTTCCTATCATGGGTACCTTCTTTCTGGGCATCGGCATCTACTACGTGCATCTGGTGACGCAGGTGTACCTGGTGGACGCATACACTCTGTACGCCGCCAGCGCCGTCTCGGCGGAACTTTGTCTCCGGTCGATCTTCGGCGCCACCATCCCCCTTGCCGGCACCCATCTGTACAACAATTTTGGAATGGGCTGGGGCAACAGCCTCCTCGCTTTCATCGCGGCCGCCTTTGCACCCACCACGGTCTTCCTGCTGAAGTACGGCGAGAGCATCCGGACCAACCCGAAATTCCGTCCCAACATGAACTAATCTCTCTTCTTCCGAACAACTTTTTCGTCTAATTCCATTTTCTATTTTCTTTTTCGTTGTCACGACATCCAAAAAGATCACTGCATTACAAGCGTTTGGGTAGGCGTTCAGGAACCGACATGACTATCATCGAGCGTTTTCTTCTTCCACTTGGAAAGTATGCACTCATAAATGCGGGTATACACGGGTTAATCTTTCGAAAAGAATGGATGGGATGATATTCCGGGGTTTCATTTATTTTTCCTGTATATAGACTTTTACCATTCCAGGTGAACTGGCTTTACTTGGCGTTGACTTTAGACAAGTGAGCGAGAATATGAGATTTCAAAGATCAAGACATCACCATTCCACCCCACGTAACTCAACACTACAAAGGCAATCACAGAAAGAAGAAAAAGAAGTTGACACATACACCAAACCCTCCAAGGGATAAGTCCAGCCAAACACCCCGCAGATCCCAATCAGAAGCTCCTTCTAAAGCCCATACTCGGCAGACTACGTCATCCTCGGAATCCAGGACACCCACATACCAGAGCAAAATTAAAGAAATAAGCAAAGATCCGAGGAATGCGAATGCGTGTCGTGCCTAACCCTAAGGCCAAAAAGCCAGGTGCCAAGCGCCCTTCGCCAAGGAAAGGGGGGAAAGATGGTAAAAGAAAGGGGTTCAGCAACCGAGTTCCAGAAGCTGCAATGCTTACTCCGATAGATGCATGCAGCCAGGAAGCCCTGCAGGGCAACCCGCCCTGCATGAAAACGGACCGGAGCTTGTGCAACGGCGTGCGTCAGCCTCGCTCCACTCGAGCATTCCAGCCTTGTGTGGGATTTTGATTTTGGGCCTGAAACTATGCGTGATGAGATCGGCGGCGCTCCTTGTAGGGCGAGGGGTTCGTGATTACGTCGTTTGCTCCGCGGAGGAATATCGGGGATCGGTATGACGTGGGGGCTTTTTTCTTTCTTTCTTCTTTGTTTTTTGGCGTTTTGTTTCTCGGGGTGAGTTGGGTCGTGTCTATTTGTCATGGATTTTCTTTTATTGTTCGTTTGTCAAGGAGGGAGCATTTGGTGTCCAAGTTCACAGCCAATATATGCATGTTCTGAACTACAATACCCACAACTTCCCTTAGCTAGTACATACTATAAATATCCATCGGAAGATACCCAACACTAGTTGACAGTGGCAAATCCATGAACAACTGGTCTAGAATCTATGCGACAGGTAAACAGGGTTCTAGATCAGGGATCGGAGCAATATGCCATGTACTTTCGGATAGTATGCTGTCTACCATATATATGTATGTACTGTGTTTAATTCCACCCAGTCCTTTCCCTCGTAGATTGCTTCCCCAGGTACTATCCATGTGTAGGGATAGCATTTCCACGGAGATACGGAGAAGCTACAGACTGAATACATCCAATTGATAGTGAGTGGGTCGATGCGACTAGTGCCGGCCAAGCTTTGTGGCTTTACTTGTTTGCTTTGAGCTGCAATCTTACTCTGTAGATTTGGATTATAAGACATGGACCAGTCTTCACGACTCGGGCCCATGGGATTCCGCGGGATTAGATATAACCTCCTGGATTAGATATAGCCCACTGGAGCTTTTAGAGCAAAGTGTCTCCTAATAGTTCCTCTTCATGAAGAGATAAGAGAAGGGAGATACGTTGACTGATTCGGCTTACTCGACTAGCTCTTATCGAGACGCTGTTCTTTGAGCAAATCGGCCATTATATGGTCCTCCAGACTACTGCATGTTCAACCAAGTTCAAGACGCACACATACTACTCATCCTCATAGATCCGAATCGTACCATGAAGCTTTTCATCCCAGCATCTCCCTATCCTCGCCAAGACTCACCCAACCATCCAACCACCCACCCAGTTCTACGACCCCTTGCATTCCTCCCCCTGCGCTTGTCTCGTGCACCACCATCACGATCCTCACCACCACGTACCTACGACCTATCTACACCACCATGGACGCCATATTCATCTCCAACGCCAAATAAATCAATGTCATACTCTTCATCCTCACAAACCCCTCTTCCTAATCCCCGTAGAACCCCATGCTCCCCAAACAAACCCCCATCCCCCATACCAAACCCAATCAACCCCTTGACCAGGAATGAAGGGGCAAGAAAGAACCAAGGGGCAACTGAGACTCAGCCTCGAGCCCAGCTGATTCGTTGCCACAAGGAGAAAGGCTTCGTCAATTAGTCAGACAGGAAGGCAGGTCGTCGTACGCAGGTACATCTTCCATCTGTTTTTCTCATCCCTTCCGATTCCGTCCTCACCCAGATTCCGTCTCGACAATTCCTCGTGGTCCCAGTATTCAAGCCCTGTCATTTGAGGCTCAAGAGCACGATCTGTGGACGTGTACTAACAACACTTGAGCTGAGTATAGGTCCGTCGCTCGTTGTGCTGGTGCTGGTACTGGTGCTGTGATCGTCTTCTTTCAATCGTGACCTTTCGTATATATCACCATGAAGATCTCCACGGGTGTCGTCGCTCTTTTCGTCTCGGCTGTTGTCGCTGCGCCGGTTCCTGTATGTCATGGACATTCCCTGGTTCCCTGTTCGATATACCGAAGAAGAGAATTCACCTACTAACTACTGGATGCAGACCACAGGCGAAACCAAACAGCCCGTGCGCCGCTTCGAAGCAGACAGTCTCGTGTCCGCGCTGCTGAACCCCAAGGCGTTTACCAAGGACATCGACTTTTCGCTGCTGGGCATTGACAAGGAGGACCTGCCGAATACTTTGGGATTTCGTTGATTGGGAGGAGTTGGGTTGAGTTTGCTAGGACGGGTTGAATGATATGATGGAGGCGGTTTGTAATTTCACGTTCATATGAGTTGTATCCAGAAGGGAGGGTTACTTTGCACCCGGATTCTGTGCAGGAGATTAGGTTGAATTATGTATTGTGAGGGTTCCTTCGAATCTGTCAGGTGAATAATGTATTTTGAAATTCGTCAGTCGTGACTAACTACCTAGCTTCATGGCTAATAGTAGGCTTTTTGCTAGTGATATTTCGTTCTCGTAACACGTTGAAAAGAAGATCTCGTCTGATCCGATCGCCGTAAACCAAAGCACCCCTTCATCAAAAGAAAGGCTGAAAACAAGACAACATCAAAGGAATGGCTGGGTATCCGTAATTATTCGTAGCCGATGGGCATGGTCGTTGCAAAGCATCAAGAGTAGCGCAGAAAAAAAAAATACAAAGAACAAAGGCATCAATCTTCCATATAATCGTCGACCTCCACGCGGGTGCCTAGGGCCTGCTTGCCCTCTTTTATCATGGCCTGAAGCTGTCGATTCAGGCGGCGAAGGCTAGCGTCCTCTTCGCGTTCAATCCGGCGTCTCTGGGCCATGTACCGCTGGGTTTCCACCGACACGGGGGTCTCCCTGGGTTTGGCGGGCGAGGAGAAGTGGGCTGTTGGGAGACCCGAAGAAGACGGAGCGGACATGAGGGTCCTGTTCCCCGACTGTCGACGTCGCATCAGTCCGGAGCCAGCGCGACGATGAGGTTGGGCTCGACGTTTGCGAGACGACGATGCGGCATCGTCGACGTAGTCGGCAGGTTGATCTCGTGAGGACACCATCACCCAGTTCTGTCGAAGTTCATCATCCGGATACTCCCCGGGGATCGGCGTCGCGTCTCTTTCGCTCTGCACGGGTGCCGAGGGAAGCATGGCGTCCTGTTTCTCTGTGGGTCCTTGCTCGACCGTCATGGCGTATCCTTGACCCCCGCCGGCATAGAATCCTCGAAACGCCCCCGACCAGCAAAATCCCCAGACTTTGCCTACTACGCCCAGCACTGCGCGCGTCCAGCGTACGGGAGCGGGCTGAGACAGAAATCCGGTGTTGTAGTCATCCTGCTCGCCGTAGTCGCCGGCAAAAGCGATCTTCTCATTCGCAGCGGGCGCAACGGGCGGCGAGGTGTGAGGATCCCGACGGCTGCGTTTGCGACGGACCTCGCTGACTTCAGCTAGGGACTCGACACTGCCATCGAAGGGACGCGGATAGTCCTTGTAGCGATTTGGGCGATAGCAGTCAGCCTCGGAGGTGAGATCGTCGGACCCCAGGTGGGACAAGGAGGGATGGTAGCCGTCCGGAGAACTGAGAGGAGTGGCGCTGATGAGGTCGGTGGAGGAATCAGTCCAAGCCCGAGCGCCGGACTCATAGTAGCGACATCTTTTGCGCGAGGGGATGGAAATGGAGCGATAGAGAGCCGACGAGGCGGAGGAAGTCGTGGGGGCAAAGATTTGCGAAGGAGGCCCGGTGAGATCGAGTTGGGGAGGGATCGGAGATTCGACAAACAAGGGCATTTGGGAAATATGCAGGGCACTTTTATTTATTTTCGGATTTTCTTCTGCTTATTTTCTTGATTTGTGGAGGGAAGGGGGAAAAGGAGAGGATGGACAGGGAATAAAAAAAATTAAGAAGGAAGAAAGAAAAGAGGAGGTTGGAGAAAAGACGGCAGGTGATCTCATCGACTCTCCGCATTTGCCTTCACTCCCTCCGGAGTAGTATACCTATGCCTACTATGCCTACTATGCCTGGTTCTCCAGTGATTCACTACAACTTCTGACTCCTCCAGGTCACTCCAGCGGCCTCCAATCCCTCCTCGCCATCCACCAGCACGCACCAGCCTTCGTGTCCGCGCCCTCCGTCGCCCGCAATGACCGCCTCAAAGTGACTGCGCGCAAAGTTCAGCACCGCCTCGTCAAAAGTGCCCGGCTGCAGCCAGACTGCCGGGATCCCGACCGAATGAGCCTCCTGGAGGAGAGGCAGCGTCACGCCGGGAGGTGTCACCACCGACAGCGACGTCTGCGATGGGCCCGACAGCGCCGCGGGAGATGCGACCGTCGCGTAGGTCTGCGAGGGCAGTTGGATGGAGGCCGCACGAGGGTTCAGTGGGGTGACGGGAAGCGAGTGCTGATGATACCAGGCCAGAACTGCCGTAGACATAGTGAGTTCGATCGTTCGATCGTTCTATAGTTCTGATGCGACAACCTACTCTTGTAGCCGAACTTGTTGGCGTCATTGCTGGCTCCGGCGACCGCAAACTGCGGGGAGGAGAAGAAGCGCTTGACGGCGTCCATTATGAGTATTTCGATTGATATTGAGTATTAAATATCTTGTGAGACTATAAAAATGAGAGAGAAAGTCCCAAGATGTACAGGAGAGAAAATGAAAGCAAAGGAAAGTTAGCAAGTCGAGGGAGAGTCAAAGCGGGGAGTCTTTCCGCTCTCCATCTTTCTCCATCTTTCACTTTCTCCCCTTCTCTCTTCCTTATCGCCCTCGCTTTCTATCCATTTAATCCGCCTCCCACAGTCCAATAGATCCCTCTCTCGTCTCCTCTTCTATCGCTCTCGCATGCCCCCTTTCGTCCCCCGCAAGCGTGTCTCCTCCGAGGATCCGCCCAGTGCCAAACGCCAAAATGCGACGCCCAATGTCGAGATCGGCCTGCTCGATGACGACAGCTCCGACTCGTCTCTGAGTGATGCTCCAAGCGACACTCCGAAACCTCCGCAACCCGAAAATGATGAATCAGAAGACGAATCCGACGACGAGGAAGTCGATTGGGAAGATGCCATCGATTCCAACCCTACCGCCACCCCGGCAGCTTTGAATACTCCCGCCCACTTCCAAGACCTCGAGTTAACCCTGGATAAAAACGACGTCCACCTGCCCGGCATTGTAGAGGGGAATAAAGGACCTTCGAAGATTGAGCGCCAGATTCGTATCCAAACCCATCGTCTCCATGTCCAGTTCCTCTTATACCACAATGCCCTGCGCAATGCCTGGGCGAACGACTCCGACGTGCACGAGATTCTGCGTCGCAAGCTGCCCCCGGCGCTTCACAAGGAGGTCAAAAAGTGGCGTGTCGCGTCCGGTCTGGAGCTCCCGGAGAAACCGCCCGAAGACAAGTCCAAAAAGAAGAAGAAGAAGGGAAAGCAACGGCAGGAGTCGGAGCGCGACTGGGGGGAGGGATCTACGCGGTTGGAGCCAGGACAGCCGGATATGAGTCGCGGTGACCCCGTCATCTCTCTGCTCAAGGTGCTGGCCGCCTACTGGAAGAAGCAGTTCAAGATCACCTCCCCGGGATTACGAAAACATGGCTATCAACCCATGTCCCATCTCCAAGCGCAGATCTCTTCCCTGCAAAACGATGATCACGACGCGGAGAGACATGGGGAGCGGGTTCAGGATGTCGCGGAGTTTCGACAGGCGGCTGAACAGATGGAAGGATCGCGAGATCTCGGAGCTCAGCTGTTTACCGCTCTGCTGCGTGCCCTGGACATCGAGGCGCGGCTTGTCGCCAGTCTGCAGCCTCTGGGGTTTGGATGGACCAAATCGGAGACATACACCTCAAAGCCCAAAGCAGAAACAGCTCCAACGACAGAGACCGAGGAAACCGAGGCTGCAGCGGAATCCGAATCCGACAGTGACTTGAAGCCGACACCATCCCGTAATAGCACCAATCCTAAAGGATACGACCAAGATCTACCCTTCCCCATCTATTGGACGGAGGTGGCCTCGCCCGTGACGCACGAGATCATTGCGGTCGACCCTCTCGTGCTCCAAAACGCCGTGGCTTCGAGCCCGGAGTTGCAGGCGGGTTTTGAGCCTCGCGGCGCCAAAGCCGAGAAAGCAAAGCAGGTCATCTGCTACGTGGTAGCTTACTCGTCCGACAAGACGGCCAAGGACGTCACCACGCGGTATCTGCGTCGCCGCACCTGGCCCGGGAAAACGAAGGGATACCGTTTTCCCGTGGAGAAGATCCCCATACACGGCCGAAAAGGGAAGTACTACGAGTACGACTGGTTCCGCCTGACTTTGCGCATCTACGAGCGGGCTCCCAACAAACGAACTGCGGTCGACGATATCGAGGATGCAAAAGACCTCGCTCCCAATCAGCCGGAGAAGAAACCCGCCAAAGAAGGGGACACTCTCCAGAGCCTGCGCGCATCCACCGAATTCGTCCTCGAGCGATTTCTCCGCCGCGAGGAGGCCTTAAAACCTGGCGCCCAGCGCGTCCGGACGTTCACCACGGGGCGTGGCGCCAAAGCCAAAGAAGAGGATGTCTACCGACGGAAAGACGTTGTCAAATGCCTTTCGGCAGAAAGCTGGCACAAAGAAGGTCGACAGGTCAAGAAAGGCGAGATTCCACTGAAACGCGTCCCCATCCGAGCCGTCACCCTCCTCCGCAAACGCGAGGTCGATGAACTCGAGCGTGAGACCGGCGAAAAGCCTAAGCAGGGCCTCTACGCCAAATACCAAACCGAATACATCATCCCGCCCCCCATCCGGGACGGCGTCATCCCCAAGAACGACTACGGCAACATCGACTGCTTCGTGCCCAGCATGGTCCCGCGCGGTGCTGCACACATCCCCTGGCCGGGAACCGTGCGTCTGTGCAAGAAACTAGGCATCGATTACGCCGAGGCCGTAACAGGCTTCGAGTTCGGTTCTAAGATGGCCGTCCCCGTCATCGAGGGCGTCGTGGTAGCTGTTGAGAATGAGGACCTCCTCAAGGACGCCTGGCGTGCCGACGCCGCCGAGAAACGAGAAAAGGAGCGTCGAAAAGCGGAGGCCCGAATCCTGCAAACCTGGCGCAAGTTTCTCTTCGGTCTGCGCATCGCCGAACGCGTTCGGGAAGAATACGGGCAGTCATCTCGAGAATACGAGAAGGACGACTACAATCCATTTACAAGACGACAAGCCGAACGGCCCCCTCCCTCTCCGACCAGAGACTTTGATACACACCCGCAAGAAGAGGCCGATGACGATCCCGCTGATCGGGGCGGTGGCTTCCTCCTACCAGGCGAGGACGATGGAGACGACGGCGGTCTAATTGTTGAAAAGCACCACGAGCATCCGAAATCCAACCCGCCTGTCGATGAGCCAGATCCTGTTCCGGGAGATATGGATGTAGACGAGGATGACGACAACGAGGGTGGATTCGAAAGGGTCGAGATCCCAGACAGCGATACTTCCTCCGTCGAAGAGCTCTCTCCTCCGCCACAATCACCTTCGGACGATAATCTCGACTCCGATCCGGAGGTCCAGTTCACCGGGTCAAGAACCAGACGGGCACAGAAGCAGGCGCCGGAACCGCCTTCTACTCGCCGACGCACTCGAAATATGACGCGGCGGTAATCAATAGCGTGGTTTTCTGTATCATATTCATTTAATATGGTTTTTTCTTGACTCTTCCGTGTTTACGATAGCTGGCATTTGTTCTATCAACTCATGATTCCCATCTTGCCCACGAGCTTATCGCACCGTCCCTTCGGGCGCCTTGGTCAACATCTCTGCACCGTTATCGTCCGTAGGCACACATCGCAGCTCTAGATCTCCGCGGTAAATGACGTCTCGAATCCAATGCATTTGGATGCCGATGTGCTTTCCGCGTGCATGCAACTGCGCGTTTGGGGCTAGCTTCATAACCGGTTGGTAATCCGTATAAATAATCATGAGTCGTACGTTGCCAGAGACGAGAAATGCAACCACACTGGTTATCTTCAGCTCTTTATGGCCAACAGCTGATAGCGGCATACTCAGCTTCACACGTAGAAGGTCTGCCCGTTGTTTGAAGCTCTGAAGCCCATGAAACGGGGTCACCAGCGAGTCTAAAGATCTATCCAGTAGTGGATCACGGTTGTCACGGTGCAACCTGGTACCGTGCAGCTGTGTTCTGTTCTGTTCTGTCTTAACTTACACAGATTGATTCCAGGCCTGAACGAGAATATATTATCAATAATGATGGGTCATGCTTTACGTATACCGTAATCAGGCCACACGTGTATGTGCATTTTCTAGTAGAGTATAAACCTGTACAGCGCCGGATAGAAAGAGTCTCTATCAAGTTACGGGGTATTCGACTGTGTCTCCTTCATTAGGATAATTCTCTTTCTTGACCCTTCCGTGTTTACGATAGTTGGCATTTGTTTCTATGTATGTTTCAATGATACACCTAGGGATCTTTGGTGGGTGGCATTTCGGTTCGGTTCCAATATCAAGGCAAGTTTCAGGGTTCCGGACTATGAAATATGGATTCATTACTTACCAGCAATGGATATCCAGGTAATCTGGAAGATAGAATCGAGGAGCTGCTTAACCAACCAAATTGGAACAGGAACGGCTATTCTGGGGGATGGATTCAAAGGTAGACAGTGATGAACGACTCATTCTTGAAGTCTTTCAGAAGCTAGATTAAAGAACAGGAAAGCAAATGGACTACATCGCCTTATTGCGACCAATAGCGCAATTGACAACGAAGTGATTCTATGTCAACCAGAAAACAAAGACAAACACCAAGTTGATGGCTTCTTTAGTTCGTTGTGATGATGACCCTTTGCAGATTCCTGCTTTGATGAAAGATCCCGAAGAACCTTCTGTTCCGTCTTGATGCATAGCAGCTGGGACAAACTTTGCTTTTAGCAGCTATGAAATCTTTTTCTGTTTTCACTTTATGCGTTGACGGAGAGCTCCTTGCGGAATACATTCCTCATGTATCTTGAACTAAATCGTCATCCAAATGGAATTGAATTGGAACTCGTCTCTGGGTCACATGGCTGTATTTCCCTTTCTCCTCCTAAGCTACCCAAACTTCTTCCATTTCATCTATATGACACCTCTCTAGTGTATTGCGGTTGTTAGAAGATCTCGTCGACGCCCTACGTAGGCCCTTTGAGAACGAGGCGGGCATTTCAAAGGATTCCAAGAATGGGACGTGTAGAGAAAGAATTGCGTAGAGGTTCGTCCACTTATTATACCATACTTCTTTTACTAGTAGTAATATTGTTCCCTCAACATAGGGGAAAATTAAAATAGAAGTGCTTAATCCTTAAAGAAAAGCTATTATTCCAAAATATCCGAATCACACTTGCTCCCCGGTACAAGAAGAGCAAGGCAAGAAGTAATCCAACGGCGACGTCTCTTTTGCCTTCAGGTTCAAGGAGAAGCGGGTGGCTGATTACTATACAGGTTGAAAATCATCGACTTCTTGATTTGCGTGGTCAATGCAGTCCTTATACGGGCGTTCCTACCGCCGCCTAAACGAAGGTGACTCAATTCCCATCTCCTCCAAATCTTCCTCATAATCATCTTCCTCCCCATCATCCACTAGATCGAAATCGTCAATCGGGGCAAAATGCACCACGGGAGAATTAATAGGGCTATGCGCCACCCGCGGCCTTGACTTGAACACGCTCGCGTAGTCCGCTTCTTCCTTGAAGAGGTCGTCCTGGGGAGTAGAGGCGCGGCTGATGTCCGGGAAGCGGGCGGCTTGCTTCTGCGGCGTTTCGAACTGGTTGACGGGGAAGGACATGCGCGAGTGTCGAGAGCGCAGGCTCTCGCGAGGTCGAGGGGGTTTGGCGGATGGTGGAGGGAGGAGGGACATGGATTTGCGGGTGCGTTCGACGAGGGTGACTTTGTGGATGGGCGGTTGGGATTCTGGGTCTGGGTCTGTGTCGATAGGGGGCGACGGCGAAGGCGATGGTGAGGGCGAGACTTGGACAGTGGGTGATGCAGGAGGAATTGGGTCTTCCTCAAGGCGAGGGTGAGTTGCCGTGGACGAGGCAGGCTTCTCTGGAGGTGTCGGGTCTCGCGACGGCAGTGAAGACGATGTCTTTTCCGCTAGGTCACCTTCGGCAGAAGAATGAGCGCTTGTTCCGGCGCTGGGTCCACGCAACTGACCTGTGCGTCCAGATGTCCCGTTGATCCGGGCCAGGGCTTCGGTCATGGAGAAGAGAAGGGACCGATCCTCCGCTTTGAGAGAGACACGCTCCACGGGCTGCCGGACAGCTTTGGAGATACTGGCGACAGTAAGTGGCTGGTGGTCCCGAAACGCTAGCGAGGTCCCCTTCGACGTATTGGTAGAATTAATGCGCTCGTGTTTCTGGATGGAACTCCCGTATTGACGCCATCGGTTAAGACGCGCCCGTTGCAGCGAGATACGAGACTCCAAGTCAAGCAGCAGATCCGGGGTGGCGCTCGTGCTGAGATCCTCCACGGTGGACTCGTTAGCTCTGGCCCATGCGGTGCCGAACGGAAGCTCCAAAAACGCATCATTGCTGCTGCGAGCGCCGCCATGGAGCAGTGTGTCAGCCCATTCTTCACTACCGAGCCAGTTGGTCTTGAGCTCTCGCGCTGTCCCGTAAAAGTCGATCTGCTTGTCTGCGAGCATCGGCGGTCCTTCTTCGGCTCGAGAGTCTAGCTGACCCTTCTTCCGGTCCAGCAGCTCGGAGAATTTCTCATGAGTGCTCTGGACACGGCTGCGACGGTCCCCCATCGATCTCAGAGACGCACGATGCGCAATGATGAGAGGCAACATCTGCTGGTACTCCTGACGAGACAGCCCGGAGGCCGTCGACATCTTCATGGCAGGGTTCCGCAGGCCATTATCCGATGACTCGGCCACGGCCTTGCGCAGGACAGTCGTCGAGAACACCGCCAGGATCTCGTCAAATTTCTCCCCTTTGCAGTCATCCAGCATCGATTTCCGCAAGATCGTCTCCCGGCCTAGTTCGCCATTCTTCTTCAGCTCGGACAGCACGCGGAACAGCGCAGCGCGCAGGTTGACCGACTGGAGAGGTTCCAGCGGCGGGAAGAAGGGACGGAGTTTCTGGCGTGGCGGTCAGTTCCGACAATTCATACACGAAGATCCGTAACCATGTAGCATACATCTCGGGCGGTTTCCAAGTCCCAGATCGTCACCAGCTGGTAGAGAGCCCATTCCACGGCCTTGATGCGCTGGCGTTGTTGGGTTTGCGATGTGGGCGATAAGGAGCGAACGGTGATCCCGGGCCAATCATCGCGTTGGTCAAGCTGCAGGAGCTGGATGTTGCGAACAAAGACAGCCAGATGCGATTGGGGGGTCCAATTCAACGCCTTGGGTCTGGGGGGAGCTCTGGACGACTGCATTGTCGGTGGACCCTGATCTATCTCCGAGTGAGTATCCGCTGCGGTGGAGTGCAGGAGGAGCGATGCCTACCGGTAGATATCAGTGTATATGAGCTGGATTGGCATGGAGATGAACCCAGACGACCTCAACAGGAGTCAAACGGCCACGCAGGAAGAAGAGCAGCGCATGGCGACGGTCGACCAACAAGAACAACAGCCTTCCCAATCAGGTGTCGATCAGGCCCGAACAAAGGCGGCGATCGGCCTCACCGCCTCCCGCTTTGGGGCTGCTATCTTTTCCCCCGCAGAAATCCATCGCTGCGTCGGTTTTCTTTCCTTCTTTCCTTCTTCTCTCTCGTCCCTCTCCTCTCCTCTGTCTGTCGTTCGTCCATTGGGCATCCTCGTCCTCTTCTTTCTGTCTCTCCAGGCTCTTTCGACCGTCACTTCAACTTCTCCACCGCCATAATGGGCTCCGAAAACCCCTCCAACCCTCTATGGACCACTCAGTCCGGTAAGACCCTCCTGAGGGGTTTTCCCTGAGACGAGCAAAGAGTACAAATGTACTGATTAAAACCCCAATCTAGTGCTGTCCACCCTCCCCCACCCCCCAGAGGAGAACTCCGCCTCTCCCATTCCCTTCTTCCACCTGCTCGAACGCCTGAAGACCACCAAGCGCGAAGGCTGGCGCCGCTTCGGTATCAACTCCGGCGAATCCATCTCCGACCACATGTATCGCATGTCCATCATGACCATGATGGCGCCGCCGGCGCTGGCCACCCAGCTCAACCTGCCGCACTGCATGAAGATGGCCCTGATCCACGACATGGCGGAGTCGCTGGTCGGCGACATCACGCCCGTCGACAAGGTGGACAAGTCCGAGAAGGCCCGTCGCGAGGCCGACGTGATGAACTACATCTCCAAGAACCTGCTAGGCGGGGTGCCCGGTGGCATGTTGACGGGGCAGGATGTCCTGAGCGTGTTCCAGGAATACGAGGACAACGTCACGCTGGAGGCCAAGTACGTGCACGATATCGACAAGATGGAGCTCCTGCTGCAGATGGTGGAGTACGAGCGCACCCACGGTCTGGATCTGTCGGAGTTCTGCCACGTCGCGGGCCGGGTCCAGCTGCCGGAGATTAAGGAATGGGCGGCCACGGTGTTGCAGGAACGAGAGGCGCTCTGGAAGAGCAAGGCGGAGAAAGATGGACAGGCCTCTGCATAGACGGTGTTCTGGCGCATACAATGTTTGCATGAGACCCATGTGTTGATGGCGTTGACGTTTGATTTTGCGGGTGTTTTCGTTCACCATTGTTTCATACTACGGCGTTGGGTGGCCATTCTAGAGATTAGATACCATCGAGATCCCGATGCGTTGGGTGGGTTGACAGTTCGAGTTATAGAGTCAATCAATTATGTGCAAGTATCGTTATCATGTAGTCATACACCTCCGAATCTATCTCCCTACTCCTGTGTCTAATCTAGGTATGTAAAGAACCAACTCAATCCAGCGCCTCCCTCTCCATCTCGCCCTCCAACATCCTCGCCTCCTCCTCCATCTCCTTCATACTCCTCGGCCTCCTCTCCTCATTATCCACCGCCGGAAACCTCTCCCCTCCTCTCCTCCCCTCCCTCTCCCTCTCCTTCTGTCTAGAAAGTTCAGCACCAACATCCCCCTCCTCCCCATCCAACAACCCATACACCGCATCCGTCCCCCCCAAATGATCCAGATCGGCGCGTTTACGCGGAATCACATGCGCATGGACATGCGGCACGCTCTGTCCCGCATCGACCCCGTCCTGGACTGCGATGTTCAGACTGCTGCCGCCGTAGACGCGCTCGATCATGCGGCCGACGCGCCGCACCGTCTGGAAGAGGTCGCTGGTCTCGGAGGGCGTGAGGTCCGCGACGCGGGGGACGACGCGGCGTGGGGACACAAGCACGTGGCCGGGGAGAATGGGTTTGAGGTTCACGAGGGCGATGGTGAGGGGGGTTTGGTGGAAGACCTGGTGGTTTTCAATTTGTTAGCTAGTGTGGTGTAGAATGGATGGGAGGGGACGCACTTGGGAGGTTACGAGGAAGGGGCCGAAGTGGATCGGGGCGCCTTTCAATGCGGCGGACATGGTGGTGGATTCGGGTAGTGAGGAATTGGAGGACATGTAGTATTGTATGTTGTGAGTGAGTTGGAGAGGTTGAGTGCAGTCTTCAAGGCGGGCGGAGCTCTTCCGCGGAGGTCGGGCGGATTTACAGGTCTCCACTGCCAGGCAGAGCTAGAGACTCCTACTCCATACAGCAATCAACTACGCCGGAATTACTGCTCAAGACCATTAGAAGGTATGGGTATCATTAATCACTGCAGTCGGGACGCAAATCATATATTACATATCAGTACCCTTTCCTCGTCCAAGTCCAACAACGTCATCAAATCAACATCAGGAATGCAAAGCAGGCATGATTATTAAAAGCATAGTACAGGCACATCATTTGACATCAGAAGCGAAAAGAAGAATGGCTGTCAACGTTGATTACGGCTCAGGCCTCTTTGGCCGAGGCCTCGGTTTTGGTCTCCTCCGGCGTTGGCTTTTCGGGCTCCGACTCTGGCTCGGGATTGGCGTTTTCGACAGGAGCAGCGGCCGCGTCCTTGTCCTCCTCTGGCTTCGGTTCCTCGGGAATAGGCTCGGCCGTTTCCTGTTCCTGGCTCTCTGGCGTTTCTTCGGATTTCTTGGGGGCGTCTTCGTCCGCCGGGACCTCGGCAACAGTAACTTGGGACCCATCGGCATCGACGGACGTTTCGTCACTAGGTCCAGGCTGTTCTTCGTTGGCCTCCTGTTGCACAGGGGCCTCAGGCTCGGGCTCTGACTTCTCGGGCTCCGGCTCCGGCTCTAGTTTCTCCTCTGGCTCTTGCTGTTCCGGCTCGGGTTGCTTCGGCTCCTTCTGAGCAGACTCGGTCGCCGCCTGCGGGGACTCTTTCGGGTGCTGCTCGTCGTCTTCGGCGCTTTCGCTGATCGTAGTAACCCGCGAGCTCGTCGACGGGCTATTCTTGTGACGTCGGGTGGTTGCGCCCGTGCTGATGGAGGACGGCTCCATAGCCTCCAGCGAGGTGCTCGAGGATCCGCCGCTATCCTTTCGCAGAATGGTCAATCGACGCCCGTCGGGCTGCTCGGCCGGCTGGTGCGAATCAACCCCCTCGGCTTCGGCAGGGACCGTGTAGTTGTCTTCCGGGATCAGGCTGTACATGTCACAGACGGTCTTGAAGAAGATGTAAAGCCCGTCGTTGCCCTCGACCTGCCAGAACACCTCCCGATGCTGGAACCACGCGTGCGCAAAGATGCGGTAGAGCCGGCGGAAGATATTGGTGAGATGTCTCATGCTGGCTTGCGGTCCGCCGGCCGCCTCCGACCCCAACGTCAACCGGCTAGGGAAATATTTCGGCGACGTGAGAATGGTCGTCGCCCAGTCGAGGGTGTGGCAGCAGTAGTCGATGGCGCAGCAGGACTTGGGCGGATCGTGGACGGCGCAGAGGTATTGCCACTCGGACGCTCGCATCTCCGGGCAGGTCTGAGAGGAGCAGGGAGGGTTCTCGGCGAAGAAGGCGATGATCAGGTTGTTGACCTTCATGGTCAGGAAGCGGCAGAGCTCGTACAGCCAAAGCGACCGGTCGATGCCCTCGGGGGGTTCGGCAAGCTGGATCGCAACATCCCGGTTGATCGGAACGACGGTATCGGTTCCCTCGGGTCGGGTGTAATGGTTGTAGAGCGCCTTCAGGTGTTCCTGGAGTTGGAAAGGGGAATCAAGCTGCGCGGGAGGAAAAAGAGACCAGATCAGCAACTGACGATGCGCAGTCGGACTTTTATTGTTTGTTTACAACTGACCTGCGAGAGGGGGATCAACGGAGGGCCCACTGCCATATCCACCGCTTTGGTCCCCGGACGAATTCTCCGAGTCGAGCCATCGTCGGCACCTTGCGATGCACCCAGATAGTGCTCTACATCCTTCCCAATTGACTCGCCGACCGAAGGCGACTTGGGGCCGATTTGCACCTCGGTGAACGGGGGAGGACTGGGGAGGCGCGGGGAGCTGGGATGAGAAACTCCCGCAGCAGCCATGGTGAGTTCTATAAACAAAAGCTCAAAAAGAAAAGAAAAACGAGTGAAGAAGAAGGGATGAGAAGATGAAAACAATAATAAAGGAGAGACGAGCCGCCGATGCTGGAGCAAAGCGGAGCTGGACTCGGCGCCGGCGGCTTTTAGCTCATGACCGGCGGTGCCCTATGCCCTAGTCGCCCGCTTTGGGGTAACGTCACTCCGCATCCATGGATCTACTTACTCTTAGTTCCTACGTCCTACTATGTTCATCACCTTTCTCTCCAGCCTCTGCATCACCTCCAGAACCGTGGTGTCAGCCACCACTCCCTCCTGCCAGGAAAACGCCAACCCCATCCTGCCGTCTCGCCCCGTCGCCGCGCTGACCTTGACGGCGGGTGAACAGGCACCGGCACACTGGCTAAACAGCAAGCTTTGAATCCTGTATCCGCTCTGGGCCCTGTCGCTCTCCAGAAACCCCACATTACTTAATTCGAAGCCAGCTGCTCGCGGTTTTCCGATCTTGTCGAGAAACCACTGAGCCATGTCCGGAACATGACCGAGATAGCCCAGGGGCATATCAGCGCCCTGTCCTCGAACTGCCCGGTCGATAGTCTCCTTCGTCCTTCTGGCCTCCTGCCACACTGATTCCGAATTCCTTGCGTACTGCTCGTCGAACGTTGCGATGTAGCAGCCCATCGAGCGACTGGTTATCGGCAACGGTAAGATGGAGCGCAAGGACATCGCTGCATCCCCTTGGATTCTCGTATACTCTGCTGGTAGGACATCGAAAAAGGACCTCGCAATCAGAGACATCATCAGTGCGGTTATAGTAGTTTTCTGGTCTCTGCATTGTTTTTTCAGGTCGGCTAATGTCGCCGAGGCGAGCCACATGGAAGAGACCCTCGTGCGGACGGGCAGGCATTGCGGAGCCCCGCTCCATTTTTCCGGGGGGTGGCTGCTAACTTTCTGGCTGGCAAGGTATTGCGGCGAGATCGGCAATTCATGTATTGCCTCTATGTTGGGCAGTAGAGGTGCCTGGGATGCCGCGACGAGAGTAGTGAAAGCGCCTTCCCCTGCCGCGGATAGCTCGTGCTCCAGGTCCTCGTGGAAAACCAGAGCGCTCTTCGTGTCTGCCAGCGCATGATGAAAACAGAAGCATAGAACAAAGCGAGCACGATCGGACGGGTCTTCCAGGACACAAATTCTCCAAAATGGGACGCCTGGCCTGTACAAGAACTGGAGGTTATGTTGGTCCTGCAGCATCTGTTCTAATATGGCTTTATCTTCCGCACATCCTTGGACCTCGCGAGAAGTGACGACTTGGTCAAGGTCAATATGGCTTAAACGAGCAAATCGAGGTTTCGTTGGGATATCCACCGGAACGGCGGACAGGATCGGGTGCTTTTCAATCATCGCAGCAAGGGCACGATACAACACTGGCTTCAGAGGTCTGCCATCTTCCCTCTGGTAGATGGCCGTCACGCAGACATTGAGATAAATGCCTAGATGACTGCGGAAGGCAGAGTACTGCTCTATGGGGCCTGGGTTGGTCAGTTACTATAGAGCGAGGGTGTAGCGATACGATCACTTACCTAAAGGTCGAAGACGAGGCAGGCTATCTTCAGAGTGTTCCATATTCAAACCCAGCACAGTATTTAGGTCTATGCTACCTGTATGATAATCGTGGTCAATGCAGGTGTTTTATAGAACAGTCACTCGGCCCGGTCACCACCGGGTCAGAGAGCCGAGTTAACAAGAGCGGGGGATCCTGCAGTGCGGAGAACAGCAGCCCGGAGATTATGATGCATCAGATCAGCGCCAATAGCATAGACCCAGTCATCTGCTCCGTACTCTGTATCTCCATAGTATCCGTAACCAAGTATTCAATCAACACTTATACTCTAAATCAATACCCCACACCAAACAAGGCGGCACCACCCGAACAGGAAACCGGAGAAGACAAGCAGAAAACCAACTTTCGTTCCCCTCATCGCCATCTTCCCTCTCTCTCCCCAGTTTATCTCTCACGCACTTCTCCTGCAACCCCTGCAACATGATAGACCTAGACGAAGACGCTCCCCCGGAGCTCATCGACATCTCCGAGCTCCCGGAGTCCGAAAGACCCCAGCCCGACACCGCATCGACGTCATCGGATGTCCCCGCGCAAGACCGCGTGCCGATCACGCTTGTAACTGGTAGGTTTTCAACATCGCGGGATGCACGTATAGTTCTGGAATTAGTGGGTGATGGTTGGAACGAATACAAGGGGCAAGGCTAATATCGCTGCTCGGGTCAAGGATATCTGGGAGCCGGCAAAACGACACTCCTGAATTACATCCTGACGGAGAAACATGGCAAGAAGATCGCGGTTATCATGAATGGTTGGTTTTATCTTATCTTCATCTCGATAGAAATGTCACGGCGTCTGATCTTGTGCTAAATGGTCTGTAGAATTCGGAGATTGTAGGTTTCTTCTTCTTCTGTCATCGCTAGCAGTAGTCAAGATGATCCCCGACTAAACTAGACCTTGACTGTCCGTGTCTGCCTCAACAGCATCCGATATCGAAAAGCCCTTGACCGTCAACCAGGACGGCCAGGAAGTCACCGAGTGGATGGAGGTCGGAAACGGATGTATCTGCTGCTCTGTGAAGTACATTCGCTCCCCACCCGTCCCCCCACACCCAAACACACAGCCCTAATCAAAGACAGAGACTCCGGCGTCATGGCCATCGAATCGCTAATGGAACGCCGCGGCACATTCGACTACATCCTGCTGGAGACGACGGGGCTCGCGGACCCAGGGAACCTGGCCCCCATGTTCTGGGTCGACGATAACCTCGGCAGCTCGATCTACCTCGACGGCATCGTGACGCTCGTCGACGCGAAGAATATCCTGCGATTGTTGGACGCGCCGGCGCCTGAAGAGAAAGTGTCGAGTCATGAAGAGGGACAGACTGCGCAGCCCGACGGTGGAAATGACCACGACCACGACCACGACCACGAGCATACCGGGCCGGTGCTCTCCATGGCACACATGCAGATCTCACATGCGGACGTGATTATCCTGAACAAAGCGGATCTCGTGACGCAGGAGGAGCTGGACGCCGTGACGGAGCGAATTCTGGGCATTAACGCCGTCGCGAAGATCCATGTCACGGATCATAGCAAGACGCCGCAGATCGAGGGCGTGGTGCTGGATCTGCATGCATACGACCACCTGGCGAGGTTGGATTTCGGGGAGAAGGGACATAGTCATATTGATCCGGTGAGTCTTTCTTTCTTGCAAGCCATGGGCTATATCAATTCCTAAACCATGGAACTAACTGCAAAGGCCATCTCAACAATCGCCATCACCACGCCCCCCATCTCGCCCGCTCAAGTCCCCAAAGTCGACGCCTGGCTCCAGTCAATCCTCTGGGACTCTACTCTCCCCTCGTCCTCGGTCTCGGGGACTGCATCGTCATCGTCCCCTCATCCAACGGATTTCGACATCCACCGTCTAAAAGGCATCCTCGTCCTAAACGACGAAACGCATCGGATCATCCAAGCCGTGCGCGCGATCTTCGAGATCCAGGACGCCGGTCTGATTGCCGCGAGCGACGACGAGGAGAATAAGAAGACGCAGTGCAAGATCGTGTTGATTGGATTGAGGCTTGGGAAGGAAGCGCAGGTGTGGCAGAGGAGTTTCGAGGAGTTTTTGGCGAATTAGGTCAGGTTAGAGTGAACGTGGATTGGATGTAGAAGATAAAGAACATGGTGATACCAGATGACAAGAGTCCAAGAATCAGCACATAAAAAGAAGACACAATGCAGATAATGCCCAAAAATCATACAATCAATGATATATCCAATTAATACAGCTAAGCTATGAAGAAAATATTATCGACATGAATCCAATATACATGAATAAAACCAACCAATCAGACTAAACAAAATTCCAAACACGCACAAGAACAAAGCAAAATAGAAATATCCATCCAATTCGTAAGTCGTCAAAGTTTAGGCAGAGCAAATCAATCTTTATAGCGTTGAGATCTCAACAATATAGCATGGCAACTCGATCGTTTGCTTCGATTGCTCAAATTGCAGTTCAATCCTCAAGTGAGGAGGGGTGGGTTTGAACCCATGTTTCTTTTAAAGTCAAAGTCAAAAGTAGAAGAAAAAAAAAAAAAACGAAAAGAGAAAAGTCCGAGAGTCACAATTTAACTCCAGTTTCGCCGTTACTCGCGCGGATGCTCGTTTTCGCAAACTGTGAAGCAACGTCAAAGGTACCTGTACAGCGCAGAAATTGTCAAAGGGTATCGCGCAGATCGGGCCCCTATTTGAGAGGACCTGGAAAAAAGAACAAGAATCATGGTGAAAAGACAACGCGACGATTGTTTGAGTCAAGGGCAAATTGCTTTTGGTTTGGTTGAAATTTTGGCTGCTGTCGTAAGATCCTATCGTAAGATCGGTCGGGGGCACATGGTCATACGGATGCGGTGAAGGCTGGGTTGATCGGGAGATGCGAGTCGCTGAGGTTCGAGGTATGTTCTTGGAGTATTTGTCGAGAGTATCCCAAGGCAGATCGGACGGTCAATGGGGAGAATCGATCCGCATGAGTTTCCAGCAATTTTTGCTCCGATTTACTAAAGGCAGGGTTGATCGGGAGCATCGAATGCAACAGGGAAGATACTGAACGCGATGGGCCCGCCCAGTCTTGGTCCCGAATCAATGCATGGCTGAAGTCTGGTCCAGACGCAGAGTATGGATCGGTCGAATGGGTTGCCGCAGACGACAAAGGCGGCGACTCGTCGCATTTCAATTGATTCGTTGAACCGGGTCCCAGGGAGCATGTCGGGTGGCTGCCAACGCCGGCCAGTTCTTGAGACAAAGGGTCGACAGGGAATGGTAAAAGGTCTGCCGATTGATCCACGGAGGGTCTGCGGTAGAGCGAATTCATTTGGACATCAAGGTCGATGTCATTATCGTCCGAAACAAGATCTGGAAGTCTTGGGCCGTCCTCGTAGTCTGTGAGGGGGGGAGCCGAGTCGACGAATCGTGTTAACCGGGTGGACTCAAGAGAGGAGGACGATCGTTCGTCTCCATCGATGCCAATGACATTCATCAAGCCCTCCTTGTTATCGACTTGGCTCTCTGCGCCTCTCACGTCTATCGGTTCAACCGCGCTGTCCCGCCGTTCCGCATCACCGGACCGGTAGTGGTAATCCTCGGGGGCCAGGGGCCTGAGTGCATGGACATCTTCGTCGGTTTGCGGGGTGTATCCATATCCACCGCCTGAAAGTGCTCGGGGCTCCATGGAGTCGTTGGGGGCCGGTCGGGGCTGCAAGAACGCCGAAGGAGTCGTCATGGCGCGAGGGTTGTACCACGGGAAAGCACCGTTGTGCAGCCCGAAGCCAACTCCCATATGTCGGGGCTGCATCATGGGAGCCGGCGGGTCGATGCTCATCCCTGAGTCGCGGGGAAAGAAGTTCAAAAGTTCCTTGGCCGAGAGGCGATGACGGGGCGTCGGGCTCAAACAGATGGACACCAGTCGTCGGTAGTAATCGGGGATGAGTCGGTCCTCGTCCAGGACCAAGGGTCGGGGCTGGCGCTCGGGTTCGTCCTCCTCCATTGCCAAAGCCCACAAGGTCATGCCTAATTGAAAGATATCCGTCTTGACCCCGATGTACATCGAGATGCGCTGGTTGCTTTCGATCTTCGCGGCAATCTCCGGGGGCTCCCATCCCACCGGACACCCCCGGCGGTTGATGTCGATAATTTTGGCGTCGTCGTTGCCGTCCACCACGATGTTCGACAACGTGAAGTCGCCCTGGACGTAACCGGCCTCGTGAATCTCACACAGGCCTTGTACGATCTGCCTGGCCCAGCGCTCGCGTCGTTCCCATGCGATCAAGCCGCGGTTTTCGTACAAAATATCGACCAGAGCCCCTTTCTCGGCGAAACTGATGAGCAAGCCCTTGACCACCTCTTCGTATTCGTCGACCACGACTCCTTCCACCTGCACGACGTTCGGGGTGCCCTGCAATGCGTGAAGCGCGTTAATCTCGTAGAGGAATTCGTCCACCGTGTCCGGACCGGGAATCTCCTTCTTGATGAACGACCTGCCATCCAGGCGCACGTTGTAGACAAAGCCGGACAGATGCGCGTCGAAATGCAGCCGCTGCTCGGGCACGCGTCGAGCCTCCGGTAAGTGGCCGATACACGAGGCCGGCGGGTAGGGGATGATCTCGTTGACGTCCTCGGTGACGTGCACGTGGAGTCGGCCGTCGCGGGTCTCCAGCTTCAGGTTGGTGACGGTGTCGTAGAACTGGATCTCGGGCAGCGACTCGCGGATGGACTCGTAGATGCGGGCACATTTGTCCCGCTGGTAGCGCAATTCCTTCAAGTCCTGCTCGAGGGAATCGGGAGGGGCGCCGCGGTAGTCGCAGGAGATGGTGACGCGGCGCCATCGGTTGGGGGCTTCGGCGTAGGTGACGAAGAATTTTTCACGCTCGGAGCGGTCGCGGAAGTGCATGCTCAGGTTCAGAATCCACCGCTTCTCCAGCTCCATCTCGATGATCTCGTCGGGTGGCTCTTCGGGAACATCCGTCACGTCGGGGCAAGGGTTCCATTCCGAACGGAGATCGGGGTCCTCATTCGTCTCGGGGAGTTCCTCAACCGTGGTCTCGTCCGCGTGGTCGCCACGCCAGGCCACCTCGGGAGCGGATAATCTGGGGTCCACGGCGGGCTGTGGAGACCGGGACCTGCTCCTCTGATGAGAGTGGGAACTAAGCGGGCGCCGGCGGTCGGCGGACACAGCACGACGGGGCTCGGGATTGAGGGGCGCTAGATTGTCTCGACGCTCGGAGTTCTGCCTCTTGAAGGTGGTGGCTCGAGGCAGTCCGACTCCCACCTTGCGCGACAGTCGACGGGTGAGCGTATCGTGCGGTTTGGGGGGAGGCGGAGGAGGAGGAGGGGGATTGGCGTTGGAGGGATTGCTGGAAGCAACGGAGGTGGCGTGAGGGCTGGGAGGATTGTGAGGATTGTGAGGATTGCGTCGTCGCGACGATGGTTGCTGGCTGTTGGGCGAAGGGGCAGAGCCGGCAGGCGGCTGGGAGGAAAAATCGCGATCATCACGGCCCAGCCATCTGCGCAGGCCCAAGCGATGCCACATGCTCTGTTTGGGACGCGGTGGTTCAGTGTGATCCGGGTCCAGCAACAATCCCACGGACCGGTTCGGGCTACAGGAACTGTCTGCGATGGAGACGGCCATCCGGCATGACACGAATGGCAGTTAGTGGCAGCGGTGGTGTGGTTAGTGGTCGAGCGAGGAATGAGTAGGACGCCCCGGCGGCCGAAACAGTGATGTCCATAAGAATTGAGGCGAGATGGACTTTTGTGGGATATGACTCTTTTTTTTTTTTTTTCTGACTCTTTTCTTTTTTTTAGGCCCCTGGGATCAGCAGTGTGGGATTGTGTTTGGCCGGGACTAAACGGTCTGGGGCCCTTTGGCCAGGACGAAGGGGGCGGGGAGTCACGATGAGCGTCAGAAAAGGGGTCTTCCTGGGTTAAGAAGCAGGCAGAAATGCGAGAGATCAAATGAAAGGGAACAAAATAGTGGAAAATTAAACTTTTCTTTGCTTTGCTTTTTTTAGACAAATCAACGGCGGAATTGGACACAGCAACACCCCGTCAATATCGGAGAAGTCGGTGAGTGTTTGAGTTGTTCTTCAGGTTTGACCTCGATAGTCCGGGTTGCACGAGGACCTGGAAGAATGCGGTCAATTGGATGGCATGGCCTGGTCCCGAGGGAAGGGCAGATGATGGGAAAAGAAGAGGCTGGTACAATCCATTAATATTGAATGGACGAATTCACCGCCCCGAGAAAGTCGAAGAGCATCGCCAGAGAAGAGAAAGAAGGACGAAAGTGAACTAAAGAAACGCCCGCTGCACGGCGGCCTGACAGTGCCTGATTCTCAGTCCAGAAGAATGTCAATTGAGTCATCTCCATGACGTATTCCTCCTCAGAGTCGACTCCCTCGAAATGTCTATAAAATGCAAACTCTCTCCCAGCCACCGATTCTCGCCAGTCACCGCAGCGTATCCAGAACCCCAGAGTACAGCGTAACCAAGAGCAAAAAAAAAAAAAAAGAAAAAGAAAAAGAAACACGATATAAATATAAATCAACCATCTCCACTCCTGCAGACGCACAGCCCAATTCCTTCTCGAAGCCCTCGTTTCCTTCCCATGAGGTGGCGCCAGCAGATGCCATCATCCTGGGTATATAACAGCCTCCGTCAATCCCCTGTCACTCCTTATCAAGGCTGTCCCTGTCCAATGTGTATCCCTTGCCTTCCCCCTTCGACCCGAGCGTATCGCTTCACCCGCCAACTCCAATCAGCCACTTGTCACGATGCATCTGGATTTGTCGGGGTGATTCTGTCGGTCCCAACGAACCAGTAACCCACCACGTCCTTATGGAAAGCACATGACGCAAGAGAAGAAACCAGAAAAAAAATAAAATCAAAAGAAACGAAAAAGAAAGAAGAAGAACACCTCCACGATCGACGCGATGGCCCGAGAATTACCGCAGCCAACTAAAAGCTGACGGACGACTAACGGCGGAACTTTCAAAGTGATGCTTCCATAGAACAACTCAACCCTCCGCAGTGCGTCCAATCATCGCCCTCCAGTCCAGTTTGCATGTCCAGTACTCGGTAGGGATGTATCCAGAATGTATCCAGCCTGTGTCTGTCTACGGGGAAGTTCGCTGGTGTGAACACTTTTCCCCCTCGGACTGGTCGCCATATACCTGTCCACCTTGTATCACCCTCATCCTCATTCCTCTTTGTTCGGTTTCACTTTCCTTTTTTTCCCTTTTTTTTCTTTCAAAAACCCTTAGAGCCTTACGCAGTACTCCTTCTCGTCCATGTCCCCGATCCCACAGCGTTGATCCCTGGATACACCGTGGAGAGGAGGGGAACAGCCACCGGATAAACTCCCGACTCCACGTTCTTGATCCGTCGTAGACCAGTGGCATCAATCGCCCCGACACGGACACGGCGGAGCGTTACGGGATTCTCCTAGCCTGTCTCTGTAAGGAAGACTCCCGTTAGAGCTTCGTGCAGATGCAATGCCATCATCAGTCCCTGATCCCATTGTATCGAGGCCGAGGTCCAGGGTCATCGCGATGAGGTGGACTGGACTGGACCCTCCTCCACACCCCATGGGAGGCTATTCTTCAAGAGAACAATGCACGTACCCCTCTCCGCTACCCTCTTTCTTTATTCTTCTCTCTCCTTATCCATGTATCCCGGACAGGACAGCCCTCTGGTCCTGTTCTCGAGCCCCTGCTTCTGTTCGTGTCACCCATGCAGTGCGACCTACAGTGCGCTTCATATCGGGTGAATAGGATTGGGAATCTACTCTCCATTCAGGGCAGTCTTTGACAAGTAGGTAGGTAGATAGGTATCTATCAGTTTCGACATACATGCGCATCCCATCCCTGCATACATCCAACATCCAACATACATACTCGGCCCTCGTCCCTCCGGATCTGGAATATGGTCGACGCCATCCTCTCCCTCTGATTCGACCAGCAGAGAGGGCCAATCCACTCCGATCCCTTCCCTCTGTCAGAAAGATAGACAACGGACGGTTGAGGTGATCGTCCAGATGAATCAATCATGTCTTATATACATACTGACATACATAAAGAGACGATGGAGGGGTTGTGGAGGGGGAGAAGGTTGTAGGTGTAAGTAGTAGGTGTTCCATTGTCCATCATCCCATCCCGTCAATCCATCAATCAAGGCCAGGCCAGGCCAACTCATGCAGTCCCCTTCGTTTTCTTATTCTCAATTTTCCCTTTTTTCGTTTCGTAGAGCGGAGTGGTGGTTGTCTTCTTCTTCTAGTCTTCGTGCTTCTATCGCCCCCTCTTTCCCAGACCGATGGCCCTCATTCTATCCTCCCTTCGCAGTCACATATCCTGGGTAACAAGGCACACGCATTAAATCCCAAGCTGGAAATGAAAAAAAGAACAAGAACCCAATGTTCCAAACCATTTGAGATGTACAAATTAATCCAGACAAAACATAGTAATATAATAAATAAAAAACAAGAAAAAAACTCCGACCATGCTTGCCGCAAAAGTAATGAGAAAGTGAGAGAAAGAAAAAAAAAAAAAAAAAAAAAAAAAAGGAAAACGCCCTGTACGTGACCAAAAAGAAAAATACAAAAGAAGACCATGGTACAGTGATAGGGTGGAAGTTATATACCAAATCAAATCAGGAGGGTTTATCGATATCGACGGAGGGCCAGCGCACTTCAGTCGAGATCGTCCTCGGAGGTTTCATTGGACTTCGCCTTGGGAGCCTTCGCCAGTTGCTTCTGCCAGACCTGGTTGGCCACGCCCTTGTCCAGGTCGGCGAAGAGGATGTCGAACACATCCGAGTACCAGCTTGCCGCATGGCCTTCAATGCCCTTCTTGATGTTCTGTGGTGGAGGAGTTAGTCACGAGAAAAAAACATGAAACAAGACGGTTCGCATCACTTACCTCAGGCAGCTCCAGCCAGTCGGACATGTTGTCCGCTGGGAAGATGATCTTCTTCGCACCAGCACGACGGGCAGCAACCGTCTTCTCCCGGAGACCTCCAATGCGCAACACCTTGCCGGTCACCGTCAGCTCTCCAGTCATGGCGATGGTCGGGTCGAGAGGGTAATCCATTGCCAAGGAAAGGAGAGATGTCGCCATCGTAATGCCAGCAGAGGGGCCTAATCTTGTCAGTTACAGAGCCAGGTGGGGGAACGTAGAAATCAAGGCAGGAAGAAATTGTAAAAGAAAAAAAAAAAACTTACCATCCTTGGGCACAGCACCCTCCGGGCAGTGCATGTGGATTCGCGCCTTCTCAAAGAACTTGTTCTCGGGGAATTGCTTCGCCATAATCGACTTCGCGAACGAATACGCAATCTGGGTGGATTCTTTCATCACATTTTGCAGGTTGCCCGTGATTTCGATACCCGGGCGCGACTCGGGCGTCAAAGCATTCTCCAGGATCGACTCCACGTACAACGCGGCACCTCCCATGCTGGTCCAAGCCAGACCCATCGTCACACCAGGCGGGAAGGTGTCGTACAGGCGGTCGGCGGTAAAGATCGGGGGCCCAACGTAGTCCGTCAGGCTGTCTTTGCCAATGCTGAGCTTGACGCTGTCCGGCACCTTGAGGGCCACTCGGGGCGTTTCGGTCGTCGACTTCTCCGGATCGGCAGGGGCGTTGACCGAGTCGGGGTACTCGGTCTCCTTCTGCGATTCCTCATGCACCGCCTTGCCTTCGTCGGTGAGGGCCTTGTCTTCCGCAAGCACGTCCTCGCCGAGGTCCTTGACGATGTTGAACGCCGCTTTGCGGTAAACCTTCTCGATCTGCTTCTTCAGGTTCCGGACACCACTCTCGCGGCAGTAGGACTTGATGAGCTCCTCGATGGCTTCCTCGGTCAGGTTCACATCGACTTCCTTCAGGCCGGTCAATTCCCGGGCAGCGGGACCAAGGTACCGCTGGGCGATAGCCATTTTCTCGTCCGCGACGTAGCCCGAAAGCTCAATGATCTCCATTCGATCCAAAAGGGGCCGCGGGATCGTATCGGTAACATTGGCCGTGCACACGAAAAGGACCTTGGACAAATCCACGGGGACGTCCATGTAGTGGTCCAAGAACGAAGAGTTTTGCTCGGGGTCGAGAAGTTCCAACAGCGCAGAGGAGGGGTCTCCCTGGTGGCCGCGTCCGATCTTGTCGATTTCGTCAATCAGGACCAAGGGGTTTTCGGTCTGGCATTTCTTCAGGGCCTGGATGATACGTCCGGGAAGAGCGCCAACGTAAGTCCGACGATGACCCTTGATTTCCGCAACATCTGTCAAACCACCGACGGAGAATCGGTAGTACTGTCTGTTCAGAGCCCGGGCGATCGACTTTCCGATACTAGTCTTTCCAACACCAGGCGGGCCGACAAGACAGATGATCTTGCCCTCCACGGTTCCACGAAGCTTGCCGACGGCGATGAACTCCAGGATGCGATCCTTGACGTCCTTCAGACCGTAGTGATCCTCATCCAAGACGGTGGTCGCATGTTGAATTCCAAAGTTCTCCACGCTCTTCTGGCCCCAGGGAATCTGCGTCAGCCAGTCGAGGTAGTTGCGGGTGACGTTGAACTCGGAGGCAGCCGGCTCCAGGTGTGCCAGTTTGTTAATCTCCTCGTCGAAGACCTTCTTGACAGCCTCCGGCATGGCCAACTTCTCGGCCTTCTCCTTGAATTTCTCGACCAACTTATCCTTACCATCGGACTCGATGCCCAGTTCCCTCTTGATGCCCTTCATCTGCTCCATCAACCAATACTCGCGCTGACGCTTCTGAATCTTGGCTTCCACGTCCTTCGAGATCTTGGATTGGAGCTGCGCGTTCATCAGCTCCTTCTTCAGGACCACCAACGCCTTGGGAAGTCGCTCTTCGATGTTCATGATCTCCAGGACTTCCTGCATCTCATGCAGCTCACCTGCAGAGACCGCGGCAGCGAAGTCGGCCAATTTGGCGGGCTCGTCGCTGAGGTTTCCGGGGAACTGGTCGGTGTAGAAGGCCGAGATCTGGTCCCGGAACAGAGGGTTCAGGCTGGCAATCTCCTTGCACACGTTGACAATCTCACTGGTGACAGCACGAATGATGGCGCTCTTCTTGTCGTAGGGCTCTTCGCCCATGTTCTCCACGTTCACCAAGCTGACCGGGTATTTACGGAGGAAGGACGTAGGCTCGTAGTGGTCTTTCGGGGCGAGTTCCGCTGTTCCCTCCTCGAAGCTGGCCACAACATCGCCCCGTTTTTCCGTCGTCTTCTCCTCGGAGGCGGGAGCTTTCGGGGTTTCGGTGGGAGGCAACAAGGAGGAAACCTTGATGCGGCGGTGAGGGTAGAGCACGGCCGTGACGCCGCTGGCTTCCCCGCGGAGAGGGTAGGCAGCCGTAATCTGAGCGAAAACACCGACATCGTAAACTTCATCAAGGTTGTGGATCACATCGCCGTCCGCGTTCTCATCCTTGAAGAGGAAGGCACCCACGTATGGCTGGCCCCGCTTCATCATGTCTTGGATGGCCGCGGCGACGTTCGGGTCTCGGATGGTAATGGCCTTGTAGAAGCCCGGGAACAGCGGACGCTTGGCAATTGGGATGGCCATCACCTGGGGATAGACCTCAGGAACCGACGGCTTCTGTAGAGCTTTCTCGCCGGAGCCCTTCTTGCCCTTCTTGCCTCCATCGTCGTTACCACCGTTGTTCGCGCCACTGGGTCTGGAATCGGACGGGTTGCCACTGGACGGGATCGGCGAAGGGGAATCATTCGAGTTTCCTTTTCCTTCTACCGAATTGTTCTCCTGCTTGGCATCTTCCTCCAGTCCTCGCTGCTCCTTGTCGTTGGCCTGCGCTTTCTCTTTCCTCCGCCCAAATGCCGATGTCGGAGCTCCGGATTCCGACGAGCCTTGCTTGCCTGACTGATCGACTGTCTTTCGTCGGGATTCAGGGGCCCGCTCCACCTCCTTGTCTTCGTCGCCGTCCTTTTGCTCTTTGTGGTCCGGGTCCTCCTTCTCGTCTCCAGGTGGGGGTTTCTCCCGCCGCCGGATGGCGCTGGAGGCAAAGGTGCGAGGGGAGGGAGGGAGGGATCGGAAGAGGTGCGACGAAGCTAGTATCGATCGAGCACCGGCATTCTGTCGAGAGGACGCCAGTAGAGGCCGGAGAATTAATGGACGCGATGCTTTGTGGAGCGCGGCTCTCCAGGGGAGGGTCTGGCCGCGGAGCATGCTCTTGTGTCGGAGGGAGATGGGGGAAATTCGAGAGGGATGGGAATGAGTAGGAGGATGAAATGAAAAGGGAGGAGTAATGAAGAAGTAATAAGGGTCTATAAGCAAGCACAATGCAGCACGAGGGAACCGGACAAAAGTAGGAAGAGGCCGAGACGACCGATGAAGTCGACTGATTGATTACCGAAGCAGCCTTTCATCATCGCCGCGGATCATTGTTTCTCCGGTCGGCAAACTTCGTCGTGCCGGAAGACTCGAAGCTTCTAAGCTTCTCTGGTCATGGCGGTGTCCGGGCAAATCATCTCCTCCGATTTCTGATTCCCAAGCATCTCGTTCCCCGACCATCGCTCTGGTGTTGTGTGCCTGACCGGCTTGGTTGCTCGTCTCTCTTTTGCTTCTTTCACCATGAGCGCTACTTCTGCCGCAATGCCCAAGGCTGCGGCTCTCCCCGCTCGTTTACTCCGGACTTCGCGACGATACTCCAAGCAGAGCCCGACGACGGCGCAGACTCGGGTCTACGCCTCGACACTGTCGTCGATTGACAAACGCCCGCAGGATGTCGTCGGGAATAAGAAACACCCCGTTTTCTCCTCGTCAAGAGTAGGTTTTCTCCTGTTTTAATTTAATTTATTTTTTTCTTTTTATATCCTATACACGACCTCCGAATACCACTTCCAACCCCCGGACATTAACCCCATGCTGATTCTAACCGCATTCATAGATTTTCCATACTACCGCTCCCCTCGCAGCGATTGCCGATCCCTACAGAACCCTCGGCGTAGACAAGGGCGCATCGGCATCCGATATCAAGAAAGCATACTATGGAATGGCCAAGAAATACCACCCGGATACCAACAAGGACCCTAACGCCAAGGAGAAATTTGCAGAGGCTCAGACCGCATACGAACTGCTTTCCGATGCCAAAAAGCGAGAGAACTATGACCGGTTTGGCTCCGCGGCTTTCGACCAGAACGGCGGCTTCGATCCTAGTGCAGCTGGCGGCAACCCGTTTTCTGGTGCAGGAGGTTTCGGTGGCTTCGGTGGCGGCTTCGGAGGTGGTTTCCCGGGCGGTTTCTCGGCGGATATCAACTTTGAGGATCTTTTCGGCGCTTTTACGGGAGGTGCTCGTCGTTCCGGTCGGGGCAGACGCAGCCCATTCCAGGAGGTTCTGGTGGGTGAGGATGTTGAGGTTCAGACCAGCATTTCCTTCATGGAAGCCGCCAAGGGTACATCCAAGGACATCGTCATCAATCCACTCACCGAGTGTGGTACTTGCAAAGGCGACGGGCTGAAGAAGGGCGCCAAGCGCACCCAGTGCCGTCAATGTAACGGCTCTGGAACCCGGGTGCACCTCCTGCAGGGAGGCTTCCAGGTGGCAGCCACTTGCGATGCCTGCGGCGGTGCAGGCATGAATGTCCCTCGAGGATCCGAGTGCAGTCCTTGCAGCGGCAACGGTGTGGTCAGAGACCGGAAGACCATCCAGGTGGACATCCCGGGTGGTGTCGAAGACGGCATGCGATTGCGGGTGGCCGGCGAGGGAGACGCGCCCCCCACGGGAGCGTCGGCCGCGCCTGGCTCTCGCACGCAACGAGGCGATCTCTTCGTCTCCATTCGGGTGTCCCCCGACCATCGCTTCACCCGCTCCGGCTCCGATATTCTTTACACCGCCTCCATTCCTCTGACCACCGCTCTCCTGGGTGGCGAGGCCACCGTGCCGACCTTGGATGGCGAGGTTAAGGTGAAGGTTGCCACCGGTACGGGCACCGGTGACCGCATCACGCTCTCCGGAATGGGAATGAAGAAACTCAGCGGCCGAGCCCGCAGCTTTACCCCCACCGGTGACCTGAGAGTCGAATTCAAGGTGGCCATGCCGAAATACCTGACCGGCAACCAGCGGACCATTCTGGAGGTCCTGGCGGACGAGATGGGTGACAAGACTGCCAAACGAATCATGAATGTTGGACAGGAGAGGTGAGTTTGGGTCCCCGTAATTGAACTGTCGATGCGCAACTGAGAAAGCTAACGATAACCTCCGCCCTTACAGCTCATCTGAAGCCACGTCCGAAGACTCGTCGAAGGACGAGGGCTTCATCAAGTCGGCATGGCACAGGCTCATGAAGCACAAGAAGGCCTCGGAATCCGAAAGCTCGACGGGGGAGTCGGACAAGAAGTCGGAAGGCTCCGACAAGAAAGACGACAAGTCGGGATCGAGCTGAAGGAGTTAGTCAGGAAGTGTGTAATTATTCGTGGGGATTTTTGGAGATATCATAGCGCCGGCGACATAAGGGGTTTTTCTCTGTACGATTTCTGCTTTGGGAGGGTGTCAATAGAGACTGGGATATCCTGGATGTACAGTAGCATGTACCATTAGAAATAGACTCTCTACTTCGCAGCTTTTGTATCATTTTGTCATTATGATCTGTCAATCGTCAATATCTGGTCGCAGTCAGACGGCGACTGTCAGGCGGTTGGCGCCAAAAGCCCATCGACCGCCCGGCAGCCGCGAGAACGAGAACAACTCGTCAGGAACACCTTCGCTTCTCCTTGACCTCCTCCTCCCTTCCCATCGTCACCTTCTCTCTCCTCGGTCGGGAATCGTTCAGCCCGGATTGCTGATTCTCAATCTCACGGCCCAACTAGTGTCTCCACTCTCGGTCGTCATCGCCCGGAACGCATCCGCCTATCGACGACGCCCAATCCTCAGGGAACTTCCTTACCCCACAGCGCTCCATCCCCGATCATCCCTCGTTTCCCCTCCGTTCTCACGCCCGCATTCACGCTCTCTGCTGGATACACCGACATCATAACCCGCCCACTCGGTATCCTGTCGATCCTCGTTCTTTCCGGCTTCTGTGGATGGGAGCTTCCCGCTCCTAGTAACCCCCGACCTGCAAGATGGTTCAGTCGCCTATGATCTCGTGTCCGCTGAAGCAGACCAACGAAATCGATTGGATCCGCCCCCTCAAGGATTACATTCGCCAGAGCTATGGCGAGGACCCCGAGCGCTATGCTCAGGAATGCGCGACTCTCAACCGCTTGCGCCAGGATATGAGAGGTGCGGGGAAGGACAGTGCGACGGGGCGCGACCTGCTCTATCGGTATTACGGACAGCTGGAGCTCTTGGATCTGAGGTTCCCGGTGGACGAGAACCACATCAAGATTTCGTTCACCTGGTGGGTTGCCCTTTTCCCGTGTTGTATACGGACTTCTTTGCGTTGGGGTAACGGTCGCTTATCGATGTGTTTTTTCTATGATTAGGTACGATGCCTTTACTCACAAGTCGACTTCGCAATACTCGCTTGCTTTTGAGAAAGCCTCGATCATTTTCAACATCTCGGCCGTGCTCTCGTGTCATGCCGCCAACCAGAATCGCGCGGAGGATACCGGCCTGAAGACCGCCTATCACTCCTTCCAGGCAGCCGCGGGAATGTTTACCTACATCAACGAGAACTTCCTCCATGCCCCGTCGACCGACCTGAACCGGGAAACCGTCAAGACCCTGATCAACATTTCGCTCGCTCAGGGACAGGAGGTGTTCCTCGAGAAACAAGTGGCGGATCAAAAGAAGGCCGGCTTCCTGGCTAAGCTGGCCGGTCAGGCGGCGTATCTATACTCCCAGGCCGTCGAAGGCATCCAGGAGCATGCCAAGGGTGTCTTTGAGAAGGTCTGGTTGATTGTCACCCAGGCGAAGGCGACGCACATGACCTCGGTCGCATCTTACTACCAGGCCATCGCCGACAGCGAGGCCAATTCTCACGGAGTGGCCATCGCGCGACTGCAGTTGGCAGAAAAGAACTCGACGGCGGCAGTAGGATGGGCCAAGTCGTTCCCCTCCTCCGTTCCTCCGACTTCCAACTTGAGCTCCGAGACCGGGCCAACCCTGATGGACATCATCAAGCACCAGCTGGCTAAGGTGCAGGCGACACTCAATACATTCGTCAAGGACAATGACTTCATCTACCACCAGCCGGTGCCGAATGAGGCGGGGTTGTCTGCCGTCGCCAAGCTGCCCGCGGCTAAAGCCATCCCGGTCAGTGAGCTCTACCAAGGTCAAGATATCCAGCGCATCATTGGGCCGGACATCTTCCAAAAGCTCGTCCCAATGTCTGTCACCGAGACGGCCAGTCTTTACGACGAGGAGAAGGCAAAATTGATCCGAGCGGAGACGGAGCGAGTCGAGACTGCTAATGGAGAAATGGCTGCCAGTCTGGACTACTTGAAGCTGCCCGGAAGCTTAAACATTCTGAAGGGTGGGATGGACCAGGAAATGTCCGTCGATGAGGAGTTCCGGCAGTGGTGCTCGGAACTTGCTGGCCATTCTTCCTTCACCAAAGCGTTCGACAATCTGCAGGACCGCAAGACGGATGTTCTCGCGCAGTTGGACCAGTGCTCGAAGCAGCTCGATCTGGAAGAAAGCGTATGCGAAAAGATGCGCTCGAAATACGGAGCGGACTGGAGTCAACAGCCCAGTGCCCGACTCAACACCACTCTCCGCGGCGACGTTCGTACCTACCGAGACACCGTCAATGAGGCCAGTGCGAGCGACGCTCAACTACTGTCCACCCTGCGGCAGTACGAGTCAGACTTTGACGAAATGCGGTCGGCTGGCGAAACCGACGAGGCCGATGTGCTCTTCCAGCGGGCGATGATCAAGGCCGGCTCCAAGTATGGCAAGAAGAACGGGCACAGCAGCCCGTACTCTGCGACTGCAGAGGGAAGCCTGTTGGATGACGTCTACGACGAGGGCAGTCTCTCCGTGACGGACCAAATTACGCGAGTGGAATCTATTCTTAAGAAATTGAACCTCGTCAAACGAGAGAGATCTCAAGTTTTGAAGGATCTGAAGGATAAAGTAAGTGCCGTTTAGGAGGGGGGGGGGGGAGAATTGTATTGCATGAAGCTAACCGCATGCCAGGTTCACAACGATGACATCTCCAATGTTTTGATCTTGAACAAAAAGTCCATCACTGGGCAGGAAACCCAGCTTTTCGAAGCCGAGTTGGAGAAGTTTCGCCCGCACCAAAACCGACTCCTTCAGGCCAACCACAAGCAGTCTTCACTTATGAAGGAACTCACCAAGATCTACGGCGATCTGCTGCAGGATAAGCGGGTTCGGTCCGAACAGTCGAAATACGAGACCATCACCCGCCAGCGGAACACCGTCATGGCGCGATACAAGAAAATCTACGATGCTTTCAACGGTCTGCGGTCCGGGGTTGTTCAAGCGCAGACCTTCTATACGGAGATGGCCGAGACCGTGGACAGTTTGAAAAAGAACGTCGAGACCTTCATCAACAACCGACGAGCAGAAGGCGCTCAGCTCCTGGGCCAGATTGAGCGTGACAAGGCGAGCGGTGCATCGGAACAGGAGGACCGCGAGCGTGAGAAGCTCCGACAGCTCATGGAGCGCCTATCCACCGAACCGAAGCCATCGTCCGCATCCTCCGGCTCATCAGCCGCTCCATCCAAGGTGCCTGGCAAGGTGCCCGGCAAGGTGAAATCCCCTCCGCCGCCCGTCCAAACTCCTGGATACCCAGGTCCGGGGATTTCGTCCCCGAAGATGTCGCCGCATTACCCGCCCACCGGAAAGCCTCTGTCCCATTCCCCAGCGCCTTACGGGCAATACATGTCTCCTTCCAGCGGCGTGTCCTACGTACCGGGACAGTCATTCCAGCAGGGAGCGGCCGCGCCTCTCTCCGAAGGCTACAACCCGATGGCATACCCTTTCCCTCCATCCGTTTCGCCTCCACCCAATCAACAGTTCTACTCGTCCACTCCCGTCCCATTCGGTAGCTTCAACGGCCCTACGCCCTCGACGACCCCGTCACAGTTCATGCCCCAGGGCTACGTTCCGCCTCCACCACCCCCACGTCCTCAACAGACCTCGTACCCGCCAGCATCGGGCCCATTTCCCTCAGGTCCGGGCGGATACGCCCAGACCCGACCCTACGGTTCGAGCCAGCATCACAAGGCCCAGTCACAGTCCTCGCAGTCCCAAGGCCAACCGGGAACTGGGTCCGGTGATCCCTGGGCCGGCCTGAACGCCTGGAAATGATTATAACTCATCATTATCATGAACAACTTCAAAAGCGGGCGGTCGTGAAAATGAAGTATGATAGACTTTATGTTATGGATTTGAGGGGAAGGTTCTTTGCATTTGGGCGTTGAATCGTTTTACGTTTCTTGGTTCTCAGTTCCAGTTCTTTGGTTTCTCCGATTAATCGTTGGCCTGTCTTTGTGTTGTCTGTTCTGTTTTTAGCTCCTTGCTATTCCTGATTTCTTTCTGGTCTTGCAGAGTATACATTCAGGCTCCCTTAACGTCGATTTCTATCTTTATTGTCTGGTTTCTTTCTATATATGTATGTATCATCTATACCAAGCGAAGTCTTTTCGATTTAGTAACCACCCTGTCCCATTCGATGCCCTAATCAGGAAGATTCACCATCTGCCTTGCGGCGGATTGATGCCGATCGAGAACAAGCACGTAGGACTGGTTATCTACAGCTACAGCGTTGGTATACAATTCCATGGATTCCATGATTGATGGTTAGGTAGTTATTGGGGTTGAAGAAGGCTAAGAAACGGGTCTCGCAGCGGAGTGAAAATAATTATGATTTCTCCACTGTTCTGCTCAATAGCGACTCCGAGCAGGCACCGAACGGCATAAAGAAATACCAAGATAGGTGAAAATAGGCTATATGTATGTACACAAGGACAAATGGTACAGGTACAGATGCAAAGATTCTAGTATAAAATTAGCAGGAGACGTACTCGTCGTAAGAAGCTGCACGTGGACTCAAGAACGCTCGGACTTCCAAGTATACAAAGTAGTTTAAAAGAAACATTAAGAATTGCCGGTCGAGAATTCAACGCTCAAGGCACAGGTGTATAAGGTAGCTAGGTAGGTCTTCGGTGGTGCGAGATTAATCCGCGGAGTTAAGGCAGACTGTAGATGGATATGACGTAACGTGTGGGTTATGACATGCGGCCTTCCGGGAGGAGAGAATACAATGGGTAAGATGGACAGAAGGTGCAAGGTAAATCAGACCAACACCAATGGGTATCATGACAAAGGGGAGAGAGCTTGAATGAGGGAAAGAAGCAGAGGGAGCGAAGTGACCGATCGCCACTGGCAAAAGTGGTCGTTGAGTCGCGAGTCGCGAGTCGGTAGCGCGCATCAAGTACCAAAAAAGAAGTCACTTATGCAAATGCTTAAAAAACTCCGTTAGAAACCGAAAATAGGCGATGGTGCACTTAGTCATCCGCCAGTAGATGTCTCTCGAGGATTGCAGAATTCCAGACGCAAAGAGAGATGGGGAATAAATGAGTGCAGGGGTCATGAAAATGATCAAGGCTGAAACCGCAGTCGAAAATGTCGGCCTCGTCCTTCCTCGCGGACTTTGTACAGGAACCGAGCGATGGCCTCTTGCTCCGCAAGCCCGGCGCTGTTGAAGTGTTTGCGAACGGTCACCGCGAGCTGGTTTTTGCTCACGCGATCCTGACTGCAGATCTGGTTCAGCGCGGTCTTTCGGTCGATGCGGTGGCTCGTCGAGGGTTTCGCGGAGGTGCCATTGAGGCCGCTGGTGCCGGGCTGCAGAGTCTTCTTGGTGGACCCATTCGTTTTGGGCCCTTTGTCGGAATCAGACGAATGGGCTCGCCGGGCAGCGATAGAGGTCGGCGATCGAAGGCCAATTCCTTTGGAGAGTAGGAGGCGGGAGTATTCGCTGTTATAGGCACTGGGGAAGGAGAGTTTGTGGGCGTGTCGGTAGGAATGAAGGATCTCGAGGGGCATCTCGGGCCAATGCATCTGGATGACGAAGGGCAGGATGTCAGCAACCACGTCGCTGTGGACTTGGATGAGAATGAAAGAGAGGGAGCAATGTCGTGACAGGGCAAGTGTTTAAATCTCGCATTGGCACATACCTTGGGCTGGTTGTCCTGTTTGTCACCATCAGCGGGGGCGCTGGTGACATTGGTGGTCTTGGTCTCGCGAGTGGAGGCGGTGCCCACTGCCAACAAGGTGTTGCCTTTCCGGCCTTTCGCCGTCGTCGTCTTCTGCTCTCGAGTCGTGCTGGAGCCTTCGGAGCGAGAGTCGTCCTGAATGGCAGTCGTGCGCTGCCGCGGGGGAGCCATGATGTGCTATAGCGAAACGAATGATGACAAAAAAGGGGGGGAAGTAAATTGATCGGGCCTGGGAGTGGCCCGAACAAGGAAAAGAATGTCAAACTGGAAAACCGAGCGCAATTGTCAACGAAGAGCAGGTATCATGGGGGCGTTTCATGGTGGACAATGAAAAAAACGCATGAAAATGAAGAACCGGGGGCGCCGTCATGAGGCGGCCAGACGCGGCAGAATTGTCGAGGCGCGACATCATCTGCCGCATTGGGTAATATTGCCGAGTGTCGAGGAACCGTGAACAGCTGATGCATCGCCTGATTCTGTACTCATGGAATGGATCTGAGGGATGTTCCAAGTGTTTATTATGAATTGGAGTGCTGTGTATATTTGGATTGACCCTGTCTGGATAACTGCAATCTACAGCGTACGGCGCAGTAGTAGCAAATTCGCATCCAGTGTCAAACTATATATCCGTATGCGAACAATGTCCGATGCCGACATGCTGCTCGTAGCAATTGCTGGCAATATGATTGGCCCAGTAAATGCGACCAGAGGCTTAAGAGTTGCCTGTCTCACTGACATAAGCAAGTTCATACTTTATAGTTATACTGCCCATATATAGGCTTCAAATGGAAATCATTGAACCGGATGTCCTGGCAAACAATGAAGCAGAAGCAGAACTCATTCCGCACGTAGAATACTCCTTACGTATGCTCTGATAGCTCACATAATCAGGGCTATTTTCTTTATATTTTCCATATGCCAACCAAATTCCAACATCAGCGCAGCCTCGTGTCCCGAGCCACATCACAAAGTATAGAGCTTCAGATTACACGACACGGGGCATGAAACACAGATCGTGAACCCAGATCCGTCCAATCCCATCCAGCCAGCCTACGAAACACATCCCAAACACATCAGCGCCCAGGCTGGCCGGTACTACTGCGTATGTATAGGACCTGCCCAGTCTCCTGCCTGAAGAGCCAGCCCAACGCTTATGTCAGCTGCCAAAGATGTCACCGTCGGTGGGCGAGACATGCGGATTAGGGCTAAATCGCACCAATTGTACCGAGCCCTCCGAGTCTCCGTATTCCGGAGTAAACGATCGGAAACAGCGTATGTTTGTGGGGAACAATAACAGGGCAGCCAAGAAAAAGCCACCTGACGTTGGACGGATATCGATTTGTCGAGGAGACCCTCTGGAAGCCGCCTCGCTTATGATACAGTAACAGGGCCAGGCAGGCAGGGTACAGGTGGCTTACGACGATTGTCTCAAAATCAATGCATGGATGGGGTATGTGGCTGATTGCCTCTTCTGACAGATACTACGGAGTAGTAGGGTTGAGGTAGAGGGCCTCTGCCTGTCTGGCGGTATACAGCCCAAGTCCAACACGCATAAGCCATACGGAGTCAGTCAGCCCCCCCGCCAAAGGCACAGGCCACAGACGAGGCTGCAGTAGACAGAGAGGGAGAAAAATTCTGTTTCAGCTGGGGCATTGGGCACACAATGCTCTTGGTCTGGACTTGATGCGAGAAAAAAATTTTCCCATTCTGTTCTGGTGACTCAGAATGGATACAATTTGCTCACCGCTATATTCATTGGGGGCAGATTTGGAGCAATCTGAAGGCCAAGGAAACCAAACGAAGGCGATTCAGAGGAGATCGAGAAGAAAACACACAAGCCGTGCAGCCCTGCAGGGAAACTCTAATCTCCAACGCCAGACAGGGCAGACCAGGATGGCCGGCTCAGCGTCCGGCCAGACTATGCAGACGGGTTGACGGAGACGGAGTCACTACTAGTACTAGCAGCCAAACGGGCAAAGCATTAATAACAGATAAAGGGGAAAAACCAGGGTTGGGTTCGCGGATGGCCTAATCGGTCCATAGGATGGACAAATAGTTACATGATTACCCTTCTGGGTAAGGCAGTCGAATGGCCCGTCCGAGCTCTCGTCCAGTCACGGCGGCCTCAGACCACCACGGGATTCGGGACACACTCGGCAAGCGTCCAGGGCAGGACCAGGGGAAAATGGAGAGGACTCGGGACGGAGATGCCGAGGGTCGAGGGAAGAAATTGCCTCAGCCCGCGGGTTACGGAGTAAGGCCACGGAGGACGGGGCTCCTGCGGTTTAGCGCGAGAAAAAACGAGCCAGAAACCAGTTCACAGCAAGCAGGCGTGATAGAGGAAAAATCTTCACCGAGGCACTCTTGGGGAGTAAAGCAGAAAATTTTCTCCGCAATCCGCCCTGATAAGTGGCAGCGCTGCCCCAGAAGGGGGAAGGAAGGCCCGGCATTCCCCCGAAATCATCCGACGACCGTCTCATTCCTGCAGGCGGTGGTGCTCCGGCTTTTGTTCGTCGAGTTCTGGACCGACTTTTCCGCCGTTTTGACACCCCCGGAATCCATGCGCCCAAATCCAATGCTTATTATCTACCGACCGGATTTATCATCACGGGGGAACACGACACTTTCGACCACATCATCCGTGGTACTTTCTTTCTTTTCCTTTTTCTTCTCGATTTTATTTTTTTCTCTCTATTTTCCCCAATCCCCTGACCCAATGTAAACTCCAAATCATATTGCCTTCCCAACTGATCTGGTAATCACCTCCGCGACGCGGGAGATTGTCATCTAGAAACACGGCAGTGCGCGCCACTAAGGCAGGCCCATGTCTCGACTCCTGGATTAGCTGCAAATCATTACCATGACGCAATCCGGCCATCTTCCGCAACTGTATGATTACGGGTCCCTTTTTTTTTTTTTTTTTTTTTTTTCTCTCTCTCTCTCGTTGCGCCGCCGCCGCCCCCCTCTGCCCTCCAAGGCTCCAACCCTCCAACCCCATCCTGTCTGTCCTGTCCACTTGGCACTTTTTTTTTTCTCTCTCCCCCGGCCCCGCCTTTTTATTTGGTGGCGGTCAGGGGGGCGAGATTCAGCGATGATGGCATAATTCATAGTCATAGTAATCGTCCGTAGTTACTCCGGAGTGTACCAAAAATAATTTCAATGCGACCAAATCAGGGAATAAAATTATGCCTCGGTATTTTTTATTCTATTTGTTTTTGAGGATATTCGTCGCATGGAGCCAGACCTGAAAAACAAAAGCAAGATGGACAGGACCGGAGTCCGTACTCCTACTCTACTCCATCGAATCTAAAAAAAAAATAAACAGTCTGGTTGCCCGTCGATCTTAACTTTGTCGGGGGAGGCCGGTCGTGATCGGGGCATGTGAAGGGGTTGTAGGAGGTACGGCCGTACGCAGGAGGTCCTGGATTTTCACGATCACGAGCGACATCCATCCGACTCGGTACGCCGGATAGCAGGATAGGTAGGTAGCTTTATTCAGTAATCAGTAGTCAGGACCAGGCACGAGGCACCCGTATCTATCCACTTATTTATCCGTAGGAATACCTAGTGCACTATTCGTACTCGTTCATCCCTACTCCGGTCCCAGCCGTACAGTTAGCGCCCGTCCAAGCTCACTGGGAGTGACAAAAAAAACCAGGGGGGAAATTGAAATGAGGAGAAAACCAAGGAAAAAGGAGGGGTAAAATGAAAAGGGGAGCTGGAGAGAGAGAGAGAGCTGAGAAATTAATTTACGACCCTACTAGCTAGCTACCTAGCTAACAGCATGCTACCTTGCGACCTTGCGACCTACCACCGTGACCTTACCACTGTAGGCACAGTCCGAAGAGATCACGGTGAAGCCTGTGGTAGGTGCGATATCGACTATCCATATATAGGATGAGGAGTACGTACGAAATATACTCCGTAGTACTAACGAGGTTGTTAGCTCAGGGGGTAACATAATAATAAAATAATAATAATAATAAAACCCCATCTCCAGGATCCATTCATCGTCCTATCTCCATATTCTATTCCCCCAAGCTCACCCCTCAGGTCAACACTAGTACCTCACTAGATTTCATGGTGCATACATAACCCACGTCCACTATCTAAGCTTGCGAAGTTGCTAATGTACGTAAAGGAACGGTGTGCGGCCGATTGACGATTGAGCGTACAGATCTGTACATTAACTGAGGAGAAGGGGCCTGCCCGAGGCAACCGACCCAAGGTTCTTAAACTTTAAACCTCGATGATAGTCGCGATAATCATGGCTATCAGAGATAGAGCATCATCGGGCTAGTAGGGAGCGAGGGGGGTGGTTATTTTCGCCGAACCTTCCTTTCCGTTTTCCTAGGGAAAGGGAAAAATAAAAATAAAAATAAAAATAACAGGCGACGTGTCATCCATCGGCCAGCACAGGAGCAGCGACCGTGGCGCCAAGCCCCGCTCTCTGCTCTCATTCTTTTTTTTTTCTCCAGTCCCCCAGATGGGAAATCGAATTTTATCTCTGGTCGGAAATGCGGATGAGCTCCGCTCTCCCTGAGTTTGTAACAGACTCGACCGGGCCGGTGGGATCTTTGTCATCATTCGACGCCGGTGTTGTTATCTCATCAGGACGGAGTATACCTTCTGAGCCGAGTAACGAATCTAGACCAGCTATAACTCCAGTGGTATAACCAGGTCGAATGTGATAAATGACATGATATATGGCATGAGGTTCAAGTAACCCGAGAGAGGAACCTCGGGGCGACTACTCCGGATCGGTCGCACAGGGCCGTGGTTTCATGTTAGAGTCACCTCAGGCCATAAAATCCGGATTTTACCTGCGAGGGTATCATTCAGCGCTGGCTGTAACAGCTACCTGCTCCGTATAGGGTAAGATTTTTGCCCGGCAGAGGACCTTTGGGGTGACCATGCTGCTTACCTCATGTCATACTTTTCACGGAGTACATCCTTTCCCCCCTGGATTTACTCCGTATTTGTCCACCCCTCCTTTTTCTCCCCAGATAAAGGGCTATCTTCGACTCCGTATCTCCAGGCTGAACGCCTCGAATAGAGAAAAAGTCCGTCGCTGATAGGGAGCCAGTCTGACCGAATTCCACCAATCGCACGCCGCAGCCTCGGCCGGACTGGGCGCTCCCAGCAATTATCATCTGCTAATTAGAGCGGCCGGATTCCGGAAGCGCGGCCCCGCATAACCTGGGGGCGGCGGCTGTGAAGCCTGTGAATCAGTGATATCAGCGTGGTACGGTTCCTGCCGTCTCATTGGCCCAGACGCTCTGTTCCAGAAGTTTGTGGATCCCCAGATCGCTGGCCTTGGCGCCTTGTGGGGGGGTCTTGCCAGTGCGTGGGCGTAAGAGCGCCCGAGCCGTGGTCCTTACGGCGCAACAGCGACTGCGAATGTGATACCGCCCACGCCGTATCGTAACCGACCCCCGTACCCAGACCGATGTAATTAATCGACCGGAGGGCTTGAGCGACTAACTACTCGGTGGGATGAACCCTGCCCAGTGGATAAGCATTCCTTGTGCATTTAATTTAAAAACAGCTTTCTCGGTCCCCTGTCCTGGCAGCTCGTGCTTGAGAGCTCTCGGACCAGGGGGTCTCCGGCTGGATATGAATTATGGAGATTGGTAATTTTGCCTCCTCGGAGTCCTGAGAAAAGACTTTCCCCAGATTCCGTCCCCGCATAGACCTGCCAAGCATCACGAATGTGACCACTGTTGTCGCGGCGCTTATAGACGGGGAGGGAAGATAAGGGATCGAATTGGACGCTCGTATATCGGCCAATTTGGACCATCTCCCAAGAATCGCCTGCACCCAGTTGCTCCCAGCTGAGGCGGAGGCGCAGGCGAGGGCGCGATTCCTCCGCAGCGAAGATCGGACTGATTTTGTGTTAGGTCAGCAAGGCAACGCAATTGGCGACGGATTTGGCGTTCGAGGGGGGCCTCGAGACGGAAACAGGCTCTCAGTGGCCGCGTCGCATTGTCAACATTCCTCCCCCAAGCACGTCATGACACCGTACACCTGAGCGACACTTGTCCCCAAGAAAATAGTCGCAACGCATTGTTGCTTCAGCCCAGCTGTGTGTAGTACAGGCCCATCTTTAGTAACAGTCTGAACCGTCGCGGACCGGGCGGTTCTTCTATGACTGGCTTCTGGAGATCTGTGCAACCGCATTTTTGGATCACCGACACGGTTGCAGCGCGAGAGAACGGGGGAAGGAATGAATATAAAGAACTGGAACGAAGTCAAGGGTAGCTTCAGCCGGAGGGGAAAATTACCGATACCAGATTATAACGTGTTTACAACCCTGTCGCAAGGTTGCCAAGTCAATGTATTTCCATGCTTTGAGCACCTCGATTTCCTCGCTCATGCTCATGCGCTTAGATCACACCTCTGCACCGGTCGGTTTCAAGGGTTGCAACCCGGTTCTGCAGTTAGAAGGTATCGACTGGGTAGGGTTACTTGGATGCTGGAAAAACCGAAACACGGCGTGAACTTTTCTTCTCTTTTCCTACCAATCAGTTGAGATTGATCCAAGTCCACCACCCTCAGCAGAAAAGCCATAAAAAAAGAAACGGGCAGGAGCGCACGCGTACGGTGAGGGTTGTCTGACACCCTCCGCCTGGCGCAGGGCGTATAACGTAGCAGAATGGAGCATTACCCCACACTGGAGAATCAGACAACACCACACCGAGTGGTTAGTCAATCATGATCGCTCTTCCCCTCTTCGATGCATGCCCTAGATGCTTGTCGATTGGTCTCGACGTGATCAACCTCAGCGTACAGATAGCCCTATCTTTCTCAGATGCGAGACCGGGCGATTGTATGATCAGAACGGGTTCAACCGCTGTGGATTGAAGCACCGGCGATGTCGGACCGGGTGCTATGATGAGGGCTACATTTCTTGGGGTAGTTGATGTGACGACAAAAAGAAAATAAAAAAAAGAAAACAAAAAAAAAGGAAGGAGGGAAAAAAAAAGAAAAGAAAGCCACTAAAATGATGTGCACGAGTGCTCCGTATCGAAATGGGAAATGATTCTGCCCTAGGGGTACGACGACCGCAGAATTTTTCATGAACTGATTCCGGCTCTTGACTCGAGCGATAGAATATCTCGTTAGTAAGAGCTGGGGATCTCATTATCTCAAAGTGGGGTTATTTCGGCAGGAAGAAGTTAGAAGAGCACATCCTTGACCTTGGGGATCAACCAGATACGGATAAACGGCTTCCAGGGGACTTGGCGCCAGGGTGATCCTCAACCGAAAAAGTAACCAGAAAACCGAAAAGTTTGCTGCTTGACCTTCAACCCTCACTCTTCAGCTTTCCTGCTGATGGGATGATCCCCGACAGAATGGGAATAGCACACTTGCCTGCAACCGGAGACCGACCGGGTAGGATGCGAATTTGGACTCTCTGGCTAACTTGCTAAATCGGAGTGTAGATCATTGGGATCATCGCGGGGAAGATCTTCAGCCAACAACCCCAAATCTACCGCCCCTTCTGACAGTCGCCAGTTTCGAGGGGGCTGGTTGGAAAGAAGGGGGGAGAAGAAGAAGGAAACTAGAAGTCACCAGGAAGACAGACAGCAGATGTCACCTGCTGGCTCCATTTGACTTTCTTTCCCCCTCCGTTAGGTAAAGAAAAGAGTAACTACTAAGGCAGGTAACGTAAACATTAATTGTAAATGGCACATTGGCAACCATTAATGCCGCAAAAGAAAATCCCTCTCTTCACGTAATGGAAGTCGATGAGAGAATTCTTTCCAAGGCATTTGATAATGGCTACTCCCGGACGATTGCTATGACTATTAGGATTGTGTGATGTCTAATGCCAATGGGGTGAGCCGATCCTTCTCGGGCTGGATTCTTCCGTCCCATTCGGGCCCGTGACAGGCCCTGCCCTGACGACATCCACCGGACAGAATTAGGAAATTAGGAGCTGAGAATACCACCAGAAATGGATAATGCATAAAACAAAAATAATAAAAAATTGTGACAAGTGCCCCTCCCCCTGAGCGCCTAATAAAGACCTGCCACGGAGTCGCTGGCAGGGGAATGTTTTAGGCTGAAACCCAGGGCAGGCTGTACATTACCTACCTGACTACGGCGTAGGCGTACGGCTTACGTACTGGCGGTGGTACCTGCGTGCCAACTCCAGACTGGTGTTCCCCATTTTTCCCACTAACTCCAGTCTTGGGGGTTCAACTCGCGACGAGGAAGTCCTGGCGATATCTCGGCAATCGCTCCGGCACCAGCTGTCCGCCTTTCCATACGGTGTACAGTACCAGTCCGCGGAATGATGACTCTGCATGACACCTACCTAGTCTCCAGGTATGTCTATCATAGATTCATCCGACAATTCCCCAGAGTGTGCCACCCTCAGCCATCATTACCCCTCTGGGTAAGATGGAATGATCCAAAGCGGCGTGCGCATGTATCTCGGTGGTCCGCCCAGAGGCCTCGCTGCTGCGTATGTACGGTACTTTTGCACCTCTTATCTGGCCGATCTCATTAGCTGCCCTCCCCGGTTCCCACCCCTCCTCCAATTTTCTTGGTACTTCCTACGCCATCGTTCAAGGAGGGTGTCGCGCGAACTACTAACCGCCCAAAGGCCAAGGTCACAATGCGACATCTGCTGATCACAGCACCCAGGCGGTCGAATTTATCCTATCAGGGCAGGGCGAGCCGCCACGATATCACGTACTCGGTCCGCCAAGTGGGGACGCCTCGCTCCATCCCCTTGGGGTTTCTCTGAGATAACGTCAACCAAGCCTGCGGTGGACTGGGGACACCCACTTTGGGGTCGATACGGCCGTTTTCATCTCCTGCCCCCCCCCGGCCCTCGCAAATGAGCCATGCACATTGGCAAAAGGCACGGCCAAATTAGAATCGGATTCGTACCGCTCGGTGCTATCAGCAGCCCCTCCGTCCGATGATTTCATCTGCTTATACGGGGCTGCCCACCAATTGTTACGCTCCCCCGGTCCCCTCGGGGTTATCTGTGATCTACCACTAAAAAGTCAGTCAAGACGGCACTGTGCATATGTTTCCCATTTCCCTGGATCTGTGAGACGCGGTCTAGTCTCGGTCCCTTCTGTCCTACAATACCATTCAGTTTCGATTATATTTAGGAATACGTGATCCCATCCCCAAACTTACGGCGGATGGCCTCGAATGTCCAACCCTTGCATATTGGAAGTTTAACCCCCCATCGACCCCGACTGGATTCGCCATGATCGCGATTTCGGATACCTAATACCTAATACCTAATACCTAGGAGCAAAGCGACCACGCTGCGACATCACGTAACCGATTGCGGAACGTCATTCCTCGATGAGGATTCGTGGCGGTCCTCCAAACAAATCAATAATATGACATATTATGTTGGGGCTGGCTGGGCTTTGCCGAGCCCCGTATCTCCGTATCTTTCTTTATCCCCCCGGGTTCATCGAGAACTCGTTTAATTTACTCCGGACTTCCCCAAGGAAGAAAATAAAATCAAAAAGAAAAAACCAGTCCGTAAGGATGAAAATGGCATGATCGATCTCGACGGGGGATCCTTTACTATTTGGTTGCTGGGAATGCAGCACAATGGCTTATTTTCTGGGGGGAAATCATTCCGGGCACTGCATTAGTAGGCGGTGGATCTGGGGGATTGCGGAGTTCATTTCCCGATTTCCCCTTGATTAGCCGTGACGTTATTTATTGAATGTTATTTTATTTTATTTTATTCTGTCCGATATTCGTGACGGCGGTCCAGAGTCATGATTAGTGATGAGAGCCATCATTACGCAAGCCTACTTCTTTGTCCAATTGCCAGTGCCTGGCCCGATGAAACAATGCAGGGCGGTCTTGGAGGGGTTGTCGGCGGCAGGGTCCAAGGTTCCATCGGGGGAGGCCCTTTAGTAACGGGTATTAGTCGGGCGTGGAGGGAGATTTGTCAACGTGAAGGTAAAAAACAAATCGATTCGACCGGCTAATTGGAGCTGGCAGCCTTAGCAGACGCCCAGTTGCCACACCTCATCGCCGGGGTGAAAGGAATCTGCCTGCTCTACCTAGGCAATCTTCCCGCTCTAGACTCCCGCGTTGCCCGATGCGGGTTTCTGAAAGAACGTGAAAACCTAGGGGATCGATGATGATGCTATCGCGTTCCTTGGGTCCTCATAAAGACTGTCTGGTCGACAGGAATGTGTGTGACTCATTAACCATCAGCCCGGGCAGTCTTTAAAGCCTTAAAATGTGGTCTCTTGCCGTCACCCGCATTGGGTCGCATCCCGGGTTATTTTCGTGGACTCCAGGCCAGCCAGTGGTTTTGCAGCGACAGCCTCATCGGACATTCTCGACCGATGATGAATGATGAAGTATTGGATCTCGCCCATCGTATGACTTTTTGGCACCCGCGCGGCCTGCCCTGCATCGACCGCCGATGATCGACGCAATCCGTCACACCGGGGATTGCCTTCTTCCATTCCATAAACCGGTTCCTTTTGCTGGGCTGGAATTCTACTGCTCGCGGGTGTCCAACCATCGACCGATGGCGGGTCGATCAGCTGGTCGAGACCATCTTGATGCTCTCCGTCGAACAATCTGCCTTTCCCCGGCTCTGCCCCGGGGGATTGTTGTTGGATGTTGGGGAAAGCAAAGGACCGATAAGCACGGCCAACATCACAGGGAAACTGATAAATCATACATAATACGTAGGCTAAATCCCACGACAGAAAAGGGAAGGTCGTTCTTGGGGGTCGTCATCACCTCATTTCATCATCATCACCGCCCAAGATGTTATCATCCTCAACCCCCATTATCGGGGACCACCCTCACCCTCCTTTGTCCCCGTCGGCGCTTCCTTGAATCCTTCACCCTCTTCATTCGACCACATCATGCTTACGACAGGGCCGTACACGGGGTCTCAGATGATAAGGAACAAGCCCTCGATCATCACATGGTAGGGACGAGGGCCTCTTGTTCTCTTTCTTGAGACCGAGACGACGGAAAACACAAAAACACAAAAACACGAAAACACAGAAACACAAAAAAAAACACAAAAGTCGCGCTTGGCCCGTAGGCTACCCGGACATCTCCATGTTTGCCAGGTCGCCTATGGAGCGGATTCTCCAGATTCCATCCGCGATAGCCGGTTCGGAGCTTTTGGACGGGACGTTCGTTACCATTTGGATACGTGGAAACGTACCAAACGGAGGACGTACGGCGCAGAGAAGGGGACACGCACTTCTCCAGATCCCACAGCCACTTCTGCAGTTCCAGTTTCTACTCCGTAATCCCTATTGATTTTAGTCTGCCCCACATTTCTTTTTCGTTTTTCTTTTTTCCCTCCCGGTCAGTCAGGACTCAGTAGTTGCTCCGTAGTGGCTCTTTTTTTTTTTTTACTCCGTAAACACCCTGCGTGTCCGAAAAGAATGAACGGCCATTGCCTTCCCCCCTAAGAGTAGGCAGCAAATGATGGTGCCCTTCCACTTCACTGGTATGATAAAAATAAGATACTTCAGCCTCTTAGAAGAAGACAAGACAAAACGAAGTTACAAGGCAGACAAAAAAACAATATTTCCCCCACTGAGAATCGGCTTGGGAGAATCTCCAGCCGATCTGAGTTGAGCACGTTCTTTTTTTTTTTTTTTTTTTCTTTTCTTTTTGCCCCCCCGATATTCCTCCCCACACATAGTACTTAGATTTTTTTTTTTCTTTTTCTTTTTTTTTCTCCCTACATTTTTTTTTTTTTTTTCGCATTTTTCTTTTTTCTTTTTTCCTTTTTTTTTTCTTTCCTTTTTTCCTTCCCTCCCTTCTCTTCGCCGATTCCGATAAACCCCCCTCCCCTAGCACTCTTCTTCTTCCTCCCCTCCCCCGAGCTCCGTTTCTTTCTTATTCCCCCTCCATTCCTCATTCCACTTCTTCCGACGCTCCTTTTTATTTCTTCCTCTCCCCAGATCGTCTTCTCCAGATTTCATCTCTTCCCATCTCAACTTCCTTTGTTCGACCTCAACTTTCTTGGCTCGCCATACCTATCATTCCGGCTCTCTTCCCGCCACCGGCTTGCTGCACACTCTTCTACATTCCACACCTTGCCTGCGTTGGAAGATCCCTTCTCTCGCTTTCAGCTAGTTCAGACTGTTGCATCAGTTATCGCATCCTCGCTTTCTGCCTCATCGCAAAGTCTCCGACCTATCCCTGCGGTGACATCCTATCATCGTGCCAAGCATCCAATCCCGGGGCGTTGATCGACTTGCCGATTTAGCTCCCTGTCGCGACGAATCCTACGTCGCCTCGGCTTCTCATCCCTTCTGAACGTGCAATTCCTTCAAAACTCCCGACTCTGTCCCACTTTGGCTACCCCCACGGAGTTGATTTAGGAGGAGCTTCACATGCCGACGCCGGCCGCTTCAGTGGATTTTTCTAATCTACTGAACCCCCAGAACAACACGCAGACTGCCTCTGCCCCCTCCACCCCTGTGGACAGTTCTAAAGCAGCTCCCTCTACTCCTTCGAGTACTCAGTCCAATCCAGCCATGGCCTCGTCTGTTAGCCTATTACCTCCCCTTATGAAGGGCGCTCGTCCCGCAACGGAGGAAGTGCGCCAGGATCTTCCCCGACCCTACAAGTGTCCCCTCTGCGATCGCGCTTTCCATCGCCTGGAGCACCAGACCCGACACATTCGCACCCACACGGGTGAGAAACCGCACGCGTGTCAGTTCCCTGGCTGCACCAAGCGCTTCAGTCGCTCGGACGAGCTCACTCGCCACTCGAGAATCCACAACAACCCCAACTCCCGACGGAGCAACAAGGCCCAGCACTTGGCTGCTGCCGCTGCCGCTGCCGCTGGACAAGATAATGGCATGGTCAACAACGCGGGCTCAATGATGCCCCCGCCGAGTAAACCCATGACTCGATCCGCCCCTGTTTCGCAGGTCGGCTCTCCCGACATCTCCCCCCCTCACTCTTTCTCCAACTATGCCGTTCACATGCGGTCGAATCTGGGACCTTACTCGCGCAACACCGACCGGGCTTCGTCTGGAATGGACATCAACCTGCTAGCCACGGCCGCGTCTCAGGTGGAGCGTGACGAGACCTTCAACTTCCAAGCCGGTGGTCCGCGCAACCCGATGTTCACCTCTCGTCACCACGGCAATGGCCGATTGCCGTCGCTCTCTGCCTACGCAATCTCCCACAGCATGAGCCGCTCGCATTCGCACGAGGAGGATGATGGTTACTCGCATCGCGTTAAACGCTCGAGACCTAATTCTCCTAACTCTACTGCCCCCTCTTCGCCCACTTTCTCCCATGACTCTCTTTCTCCCACTCCCGATCACACCCCCTTGGCGACTCCCGCGCATTCTCCGCGGTTGAGGCCTCTCGGCACCAATGAGTTGCACTTGCCGTCGATTCGCCATCTCTCGCTCCACCACACCCCTGCGTTGGCCCCCATGGAGCCGCAGCCGGAGGGCCCCAACTACTACAGCCCCGGCCAGGGCCACGTTGGTCCCAGCATCAGCGATATCATGTCGAAGCCCGATGGAACGCAGCGCAAACTTCCCGTGCCCCAGGTCCCCAAAGTGGCCGTGCAGGACATGCTGAACACGCCAGCTGGATTCTCCTCCGTCTCGTCGTCGACGAACAATTCGGTCGCCGGAGGAGATCTTGCGGATCGCTTCTAATTCGATCACCGCATGTCAGCTTTTCCTGTGTAAAAAAAAAAAAATTTGGATTCCAAAAATATTATACGCGCTACGAAACGAATAGACTTCTTGTGCATTTACAGTGTGGTTCATGGGCATCCTTGGTGTCGGGTGATTGGTTCATTATTTTCTTCAAGTTCATACGTTTTGCGCGGCGTCTTTACCGATAGACGGATGGGATTTCTTTGGTTTTTGCCCTTCTATACTCACATTCTGCCTTCCCTTCGCCTTTTATTTATATCACATTACATTCTCCCATCTTTTTTTGATTCTCCTTACATTAACCTTCTTGACTGTACCGTTTCCAATCAGAACTTGCTATTCAGCCTTTTTCTTTACTCTGTTCTCCTCTCCAAGGCTGCGGCCTCAAATAATTCGATTTCCACCCTCTCTCCATTTTCTATTCAATTCATGTCCCATAGTTTCTTTAGATTTCAGAACAACCCAGCAGGATGGGCAGGCCAACACAAAATAAAGAAAAGTTTTGATTACCAATTTTGATCTTATCTATCCAGTAGTATCTCCCCTCTAGTCATGATAGCGGGAGGCCTAGTGATCATGCATGGACTGTATGTACATGCTTTCAGTGTAGGTAGTCATTCACGCGCGGATGGAAATCCGGATTCCGTCAGCGCATGACACGGTCACGGACTCGAGATGATCTACAGCGAAGTTACTCTCGAATGGGTTTTTGTTATCTCACTCCGGAGTAGTAGTCAGGTCGGTAGGATCGAGAAGACGCTCTGGGGTTGCCTGAAAGATATGGCAGCAGAGGCATGTCGCGTATGGTACGGTACGGTACTAAGAAGGCCCAAACCAACACACAAAGAAGAATTGGAATTACTGGAGGGAACTAAAAAAAGAAAAGAAACCCAGAAAAAGAAAAACTAGTTTGCTTTTCAGCTGCCTCAACCTTTGGGCTGAATGGCCCTGACCGTGAGTACTGAGTCCCTGCCTTTGCCATGTTCGCACGGAGGCTCAAAGCCGCTCTATCTTGTTGGCCGCCAACTTCCCCTCTTTCCATCTCGGCTCATCTGTATTGGACCGCATGATGCTCCAGATGGTTCCTCTCGTCCTGCCTTAGCCGGGCATCTTGACGGTGTCTGCCTATCTGACGCTGGTATCCTGATAAAAAATTGATAAAAACAAAGGTAACGAGATGAGATGCCTTCCCTGTGTGTTTTCCACCTTGGCGCTACTCCCCCCCGCTTTGGCAAGTCGCCGCTGGAGCATCGGGGAAATGGCGACATGATAGCAAAACCATGGCCGGGGCTTGTCCTCCTTAATCGCCGCTCATAGACTAAGCATGTGGGCACAGGATTCGCACGGACGTTTTATTCTCCGGATCGACTGGCATCCAGGCTGCTCCCCCGTGCTTCTGGTGCGTCTCTCGGACTAGAGGTCTATCCTCCTGCCATCAGGGAACACCCGGCGTACCTTGTTGACCCGGGGCGTGAGAAAGGCACGCGAAGTCATCGTAGCAGGGAGAAAGGGAGAAACCACACAGTATTGCCAAAGAAACATGCCGCCCTCGATGGTTGTCCCGTCTCTATCGAGCGACAACGCATCGGAAGCCTCCTCGTCGACCAGCCTGTCCCTGGACACGAGGTGGGCGTCCGGCATCGCAGGCCAAGATATCCTCGAGGACGACGGCACGGGGGCCCTTGTCGTCCCTTCTCACCGCGCGCGTCTCCAGCAGCACATATACATCTGCCTCTTCCACATCCTGGACTGCCATCACACGTTTGATGACCCCGATCAGTGGAGGACCCATGTATACAGCCATTTTCGGACCCACGAGCCCCCTCGCACGGCGCGCTGCCCTCTGTGTCCGACGGTGCGGTTCAGCGACACTCCCACCGACAAGGGCTGGGATCTCATGCTGGACCATGTGGTCGGCGCTCACTACCAGCAGGGCCAGACGCTTGCCGGCAGTCGCCCGGATTTCGAGCTGATGCAGTACCTCTACCGGCTGCGCATCATCAGCGTCGACCAGTTCAAAGTCATGCAGATGCCGCCGCCGCCGTCGAGTCCCGCATATCACCGATCGCAGGAACCGGTCCGGGCGAATATCGGCTCGTCAGACGAACCATATTGTGCTCCGTATAGTCGGCGGCGAGAGGAAAGAGTGCGGGGCCAGCGTCGAGGGGTGAGCGTTGCGTAACAAGGCAGACGAGGCGGTGTTGAGTATCCCTTGCAGGGAGAATATCGATGTTGGCTGGGGTGATTGCAATCCGTCAATCGCTCGTTCGTTCACTTCATGGGAATACGCTTCTTTACCTGCCGATCTTCTCTCACGTTTTCTTTCTCTTCTGGATCTTCTTGGCTTGGTATTTTGGCCGCACCGAGAATTCATGACTGGCACCTTCTTTCGGCGATTCTATTAGTCGTGTTTCTGTAAATATTTTGGGACATTCGGGGTTTACTTACTTTGATCTGGACGGCCGTGGGGTATGCTGCTTACTGACAGACATGGCCTTGTTCAATGACTCATGTCGAATTCTGTAAATCATGTTTATCGATGGAAAATTTGTTGGAGATTGAACCTTGTGCGGATCTGACTCTCAGGCGCTTTCAGAGACGGGGCAAATTGCTTTGCATCCAGACAGGAGGCAGGAGACTAGGAGGGCTCCGAACTCGAAATCAACATCTTCCCAGTACCCCTCTAGTGATATTTCCAAGATCTACATTAGGGAGTCTCGGTGAGACTTCATATCTGATACATCGCATTTCCCCGCATGGTCTGGGTACGGGATGGATAGGCGAGGGCGTCTTCTACACACACTGGGGGTCCAATTGCAATGTCCATGGAAAATCGGTAGTGTCATTAGAGGAGAATAGATCTATGAACTATTGCTATTTCCCCCGAAGTGATCCTCGAGTCCTGACCTGGTCGAGTGTATAGTTAAGGCCGCGATATTCCCCGGGCGGCAGACAAACAAGACAAACACCCCGGTCGAATCCCGCATCGCTCTGTAGTTTGTTCACACCATCCTTTCTCTCATTTGCCTTGCTCCAGCGCAGCTTACCTTGAGCTCCAAGTTGTTCAATCACCGTGGTTGCAGAATGCGAGCATCTCGAGCTCTATCCATTCTTTGAGTATTATCCGATCCCCCCGAAATTCCGACCGAGTACCGTCTCCCTAGAATTGACGCCGCAATCGTCGCTTGCCCACCAACCCCTCCTCGACCCAACATTCACCAACTTCCATTCCACATATTCGCACTCAATTAAGATGGAGCGCCTTTCGATCAATGACCCTCCAGCTGGTCCTCAGCATGGCAACGCGCCCCCGGGGTTCCCCCCGCAGCAGCAGCAACAGCAGCAAAATAACACGCTGGGACCGATGTCGCATGGTCCGCCGCAATTACCCCCGCAAATGTTCACCACTGCTGCTCAGCTGTTGGATTTGACGGATAGTATGTTCTGGTTCTTTTGGTGCTGTCGCGCGCCTCTATCTTGACCTCATAAGGTTGAGAGGCTCTTTTTTTCTCCCCGGCTAACCGGCACTGCAGAGAAACTCGTCCTAGTTCTGCGCGATGGAAGAAAGTTGATTGGAGTGTTGAGAAGCTGGGACCAATTCGGTAGGGAATACTCGCGTCGCCTCTCGTTTCGCCCGTCTAACGTCATCACCTCTGCAGCGAACCTTGTTCTTCAGGATACCATCGAACGAATGTATGCGGGCAACCTCTATGCCGACATCCCGCGGGGTATTTTCCTGGTCCGAGGAGAGAATGTGTTGCTTCTGGGTGAAATCGTATGCATTATACCCTCGAAAAGAGTGGCGTTCCACGTGCTGACAATGTGTTACCGCAGGACCTTGACAAGGAAGACGAAATGCCAACGACGGTTCAAAGAGCCCCCTTCCAGGAAGTGTTCGAGTTGAAGAAGCAAGAGGACGCGCAGCGGAAAACGGGCGACAAGAAGCGCCAGGGTAAACTCCAGTGTCTTGGATTCGAGCCCGAACACAGCGGAGAGATTCTGTTTTAAGCGTCGTGTACGAACTTTCTTTTTGTTTTATGTCGCGTCTCTTGTCTGCGTCGCTACATCCGACAATGGCGCGAAAACTAGCCTATCGGCTGTCTTTGTCACTTCGAGAGCTAGCATAGCTCTCGAGATGATTGGTGGTCCGAGATTTCAAATGCAAACGAGAACGCTCTTCGGGTCCGCCGTTGCTGTCGGACCCCGTTCCCCGACCGTGCACTTTGACGGTGCCAGGGAGGGGAATGCATGAGAGTGATCTTAGGGCTCCGTTGGGCCTACAATCGGGCTATCGTCGACCGTGTGGTTGGTAACCCTTCGGTGATGAAAGGGTTGGTTGATAGATGAGGAAGATCGAGAACTTTGGTGGACCTGGCCGGCAAGCAGAAAGCCGGTGGCTATGCTTGATGATCATTATGTCTTATTATGCCCTTTCTTCCCTTTGTTTTCTGCTCTTGATATTCTTTTCTGTTGTATTCAGACAAAACCATCGATATGAACTGGCTAGCAGTCGGAACCGGCGTAGGGGCCACACTTGGGAATCCGATGAAAACAAGTCCATGAGAGGATCGAGAGTACTGGCAATCAGCAATGATTAAGAGGAAGAGTCTACATGCAAATGCAGCAATTGGAAGTCTACTGGTAATTCACAACAGATCAGTAGAAGAACTGCCGTGACGATCAACTGCTATCGATAGCGATGCCAAGACTTGCCGTACCTTTTTTTTTTTTTTTTTTTTTCTACTGATTAAAATTCCATTCGGATCGCTCGAGAAAAAAAAACTCTCCGCATCCACCAAAGAAACAACTTCTTTCTTTCCCTTCCCTCTGAACACCCCCTTCTGCTTACGACTTCTCAACTGCCTGTTGGTCGATCTGCCCGTCATGGCGACCCTGGCGGAGAAGCTCGAGAAGATCAAGTCTCCCAAACTGCAGAACCAGCACCATGTAAGTCCCGCCTTTGCCCAATGGTTCGATTCGATCATTCAATCTATCTGCTGGCTCCTTCGCGAAAATAATCCCTTTGCTGATATTTTCCCTCCAAGACCGCCGTGGTTCTCTCCGCAGTCGAGGATACTCTCCGCGATCAAAAAGCAGACTTTTCTGCCACAGCCTACTTCGCCGCACTGCTCGCTCTGCTATCCCAGTCGCTGTCCACCACGCAAGGAATTGTGAACAAGGACTTGGCAACCTCCGTCGTCTACCTGCTCGACATCACCACTGGCTACGTCCCCGCGTCGATCCTCCGCTCCAAATTCTCCCAGATCCTTACCAGTCTTGCGCCGGCTCTTTCGCTGCCCGAAGTTGAAGCCCCGCTGCTCCGGCCTTCGATCGGCTGCCTCGAATCGCTGCTCATTGCTCAGGATGCGGCCGCTTGGAACCTCCCACACACCCAGATCGGTCCGCGTCGGGCCATTGCCGGCCTTCTGAGTCTGGCCGTCGACCACCGCCCCAAGGTGCGCAAGAGAGCCCAGGATGCTCTGATTCAGGTCCTCAAGTCGCCTCCCCCGAGTCCCTCGCTCGACCACCCCGCCGCCGACATGTGTGCGGAGACCGGCATGCGGACATTGGGCGACAGCATCGCCGCTGCATCCAAGCAGAGACGCGGCCGCAACGACCCCCACAGCCGAGAGAACCACGATCCCTTGGTCATCCATTCCCTGCAGCTAGTGAAGACCGTCGCTACCGCGTCGGGCGGATGGCCCAGCAAGAAGATCGAGCCGCTTTGCGAATTGCTGATGAACGCCTCTCGGTCGACCAACGAGTACATTACGATGGGCGCGTTCGAGGTGTTTGAGGTCATCTTTTCCAGCATGGCCAATGAGTTCTCGTCCTCGAAGCTGCCCCGTCTGTTGGACGCCATTTCGGAGCTGAAGCCGGCGCAGAACGACTCCCAGCTGCTTCCGCCCTGGATCGCGGTCCTGTCCCGCGGCTACGATGTGTCTGCGCAGATCAGCCCCGAGGATACCTTCGAGAAATTGCCCACCTTGTTCAACATGATCTCCAGCTATTTGGCTTCCCCGTCGAGCAACATCCGCGTGTCGGCGTCCGAGTGTTTGGTCTCGTTCCTGGCCAACTGCATTCCCAACTCTGTTATCATCGAACCGTCGGTCTACGATGAAAAGACCCTGGAGAAACTGGCGAAGGCTGCGACCGATCTGCTCTCCGTCAAGTATCAGGCTGCGTGGGCCGAAGTGTTCAACGTGTGCTCGGCGATGTTCGACAGCTTCAAGTGGCGCTCGAGCCCGTTCTTGGACACCATTGTGAAGACGGTGGGAGAACTCCGCAGCAACGAATCGTTCCACGGCAAGAAGGAGGCGGATCAGGTTCTCGGCAGCGCCGTTGAAGCCATGGGTCCCGAAGCAGTCCTGGAGATCCTGCCCTTGAACATCATCGAACAGAAGGCTGGCCAACCAGGCCGTGTCTGGTTCCTTCCTGTTCTCCGTGACCATGTCACCAACACGAACCTCGCTCACTTCCGCGCCCAGCTCGTTCCTCTGAGTGAAGCGCTCTACCAGAAGATGGTGGACTTCAGCTCTGCGGAGAAGCCCGTGGAGACCAAGATCTTCGAGACGCTTGTCCAGCAAACCTGGGCGGTGCTCCCCGGCTACTGCGAGCTTCCCTTGGATCTGGTGGAGTCGTTCGACCAAGGCTTTGCGGAGCTTCTTTCCAACGTGCTCTACAAGCAGACCGATCTGCGGGTGGATATCTGCAGGGCCCTCCAGAACCTGGTCGAGTCCAACCAGGCCATCTTGTCTGTTGAGACGGAGGGCGATGACTTGATTCTTCAGCGAAGAATCACGAAGGCGGCCGCCGCGAAGAACATTGCCCACCTGGCCGGGTTCGCTAGCAACCTGCTGGCTGTGCTGTTCAACGTGTACAGCCAGACACTCCCGCACTACAGAGGGTATATCCTTCAGTGCATCAACGCCTATCTGAGCGTTACCCCTGAGAAGGTTCGTCCCAAACTGAGTCTTCCCAAATGACATCACTAATACCATTATGCTATAGGAACTGAACGAGACATTTACCCGTGTCACCACGATGCTCGAGTCGTCGGTTGCCTCGGAGCAGGAAGCACACAAGCAAGGCCATCAGCAGGGCGGTTCCGGCGACAAGATGCCGCCCACCTCCCACACCCTGATCGACCTGGTCATCGCCATGTCGATCTACTTGCCTCGCGAGAGCTTCGCCAACCTGTTTGCCCTTGCCTCGGCCGTCCTGAACGGGTACACTGGTGATCAGCAGCTGGTCAAGAAGGCCTACAAGCTGATTCCTCGGTTGGCTTCGACGGAGACTGGATGCGCTGCCCTTCGCGAGCGAAGCGTAGAGCTGCAGACCCTGATCCTTTCGACCGCCGATAAGACGCCCGCATCGGCTCGTCGGGACCGCATGCTCGCCGTCCACGAGCTCATCACCTACCTGCCCACCTCCGATCTGCACTTCATTCCCTCCGTCCTCTCCGAAGTCGTCCTGGGCTGCAAGGAGAGCAACGAGAAGGCCCGAACCGCCTCCTTCGATCTGCTCATTCACCTTGCGAAGAGAACCGCCGATTCCGAGCGCAACCCCCCCGGCACCATGATCCGCAACGGAATGGTCCCCCACATGCCCGACGACGCCCCCGACGCTCCTGCTACGATCGAGGAGTTCTTCACCATGGTGTCTGCTGGTCTGGCCGGTAGCTCGCCTCACATGGTCGCCGCGTCCGTTACGGCGCTCTCGCGCCTGTTCTTCGACTTCCACACCGAGATCCAGCCCGCCATGCGCAACGATCTCGTTCAGACCGTGGAGCTCTTCCTTACCAGCAACAACCGCGAGATCGTCCGATCGGTGCTGGGCTTCGTCAAGGTCGCCGTCGTCGTGCTCCCCGATGAAAGCCTCCGCGCCCGCCTGAGCACCCTGGTGCCCAACCTGATGGTGTGGAGCAAGGAGCACAAGGGCCGTCTCCGCAGCAAGGTCAAGGGTATCCTGGATCGCCTGATCCGACGCTTCGGCGCTCCCCCCGTGGAAGAGCTGGTCGGCGAGGCCGACCGCAAGCTGGTGGTCAACATCCGGAAGCAGCGCGAGCGATCCAAGAAGAAGAAGAAGGAAGGCGCGCTGGCCGGTGAAGAGGATGAGGACGAGGACGAGGCCGGCGAGACCGCCAAGAACACGGCCGCCAACGCCAAGGGCGGCCGCACGTACAACAACGCCTTCGACAAGGCCGTCTACGACTCCGACTTCTCCGACTCGGACGACGACGCCAGCGAGATCGACTTCGACGAAGAAGGCGTCAAGGGCGGCCGTCGCGCCGGCGGCAAGAAATCCAAGCAGAGCGAGCAGTACATCCGCGAGACGTCGCCAGAGGACAACCCGCTCGATCTGCTGGCGTCCGACGCCCTGGCCAACATCTCCACCACCAAGCCCAGCGTCCGCTTCCTCAACACCGGCCCCGGGTCGCGTCGCAAGCACTCCGCCAAGGTCGACGCCGACGGCCGTCTCATCCTGGGTGACGGTGACGGCGACGAGATGGATCTGTCCGGCGAAGGCGCGGGCGGCGAGAGCGGCGTCAACGCCTACGTCGCGGCCGTCAGCGGGCCCGACGCCGTGCGCCGCGGCCAGCGCGGAAAGGTCAAGATGGGCCAGAACCAGCAGAAGAAGAAGTTCCAGGGCGCCGCCGACGAGATGGATATGGATGAGGATGACGCCGCCGCCATCGCGTCCAGGAATTCGGGTGGCGGTCCCCCGGGTCGTCGTGGTCTCGGCATGCCCAAGGTTCACGGCGCCAGTGAGGGACGCGTCCAGAAGCGCTTCAACGACAACGGACGAGGCGGACGAGGTGGACGGGGTGGCGGACGAGGTTTCGGACGAGGAGGTGGTGCACGAGGCGGTGCCGGACGAGGCTTTGGTGGACGAGGTGGTGGTGGCGGACGAGGCGGTGGTGGACGGGGTGGCAATCGATTTGGAAACGGACGACGAGGATAGAGGAAGAGAAGGGAGGGGGAAAAACAATATCCAATTTCGAATTGAAACGACGTTGATGAAACAGACAACAAATTCCAACCACAAAAGCAAAAGCAACGCTATGCAAAAAGCAAAACAGTACCCAGTACCCTTGGTTTGGGTTCTCACTCCATCTTATGTCCTTTTTTCTTTTCTAATATCATACATATTTCTCATCTGATGTCATTGTCATTGTCATTGTCATATCCTATCTTGATGGTATTATTCCGGCTTCCAGACAGATTGGTTGGTTCGGTTTGATTTGTGACTTTTCTAGGTATCTTTATACCCTTGAAGTTTTGTTTGTTTCTGTATTTATCTGCTTTATTCTCGTTCAATAAAAAGTATATAATAAAACCAAGGATTAAACCCAACTCCAGCATAGACTCCAACTAGCAATCCGCACCAACTAGTTCGTAGTTCGCGGACGGAAGCATCCGCCCCCGAAACCCAGACCAGACCGATTATCGATCCGAACATCTCGATCGATCAGCATCTCCGGATCGGACATCTCACTAGTTCGATAGATGAATTCGTTGTCCCTAGCAAATAACAATCAACTACTGCAGTTTGCTGACACTAGACCGGACTAGCCCTCTAGGTTGCAAGTAACTACGCCGCGTCCGGAGTAGCAATCACGCAGACTGCAGGGTATCGACTATCGTATCAGCCCGGGCCCGAAAGATGATAGATCAGATCGTCCGAGTCACTCACTTACTCGCTCACTCGATCGAAATTAAATTTCTAGGGCTGCCCGGCCTTTCCTACCTTACCCTGCCCTACCCTGCTTAGCCAGTCTAGGTGGTTTAATCCTGCGGCGCGCTCGTCTCCTTTCTTTCTTTCTTTCTTCCTTTGTCGTCGCTGTCTCCGAGTCTTGTGTCCTTTTACTTCTCCTGATCGCATCTGATCTGATCTGATCGGTCGGTGCTCAGAAAAAGAAATCCAAATGCGAACTCGAATCCGAAACAACCCCGAAACAAGCGGCAGACCCTGCAATCCAAACAACTCGGACAAAGAGAAGACCAAAAGATATTAAATTAAATCCAGGCCATTTACATTTAGCAAGAAAGGAGAAAACCCCAAAAGATAAGAAAAAAAAAGACCAGCCTGGGTATCAATTCTTCAAGTGATAGAAGTACAGTACACACAGAAATTCCCTTCGGTGATTTCGACGACGATTATCCATTTCCCGTTTCCGTGTTTGGGCCTGCATGCAAACTGTGCCGATTTTGCCTGATATTCTCTTGGCTGTGATTTCTCTTTCTCTTCGGTTGGGTCGAAAGTCGTCTCTCGCATCCGTCTTTCGGAAGGATTCGATAAGATAACCAAGAGAAAAAGGCAGGCGGGTAAGAAGCAGGCAACAAATCAACGCCCCGGCGCCGGTACGACCATTTCCAACTCCGGTACACTCACGCATGAATCAGATTAAAAGGATATAAAAAAGACGAAAAGGCTTCAAAAGATCATTCCACACATCCCAAACATTGGTATCATGCCAACGTCAAAACAAAAATGTTAATCAAGAATAAACCAGGATGAAATCACGCTGGATAACAGATGACAGAAAAGGGGGGATATCCAAAATAAGGAGGAAAAAAAATACTATGAAATCGAGGTAAAAGGTAAGAGGTGATCATCAGATGGCGGGTTTTTAGCGAGGCGATGTTCGAGCCTTGCCTAACCATGTATGCCACCATCGGGCGACCCCGAGAACAGCCGCTCGGCCGTCGTCTTTCCGCTCCGTGCCATCGGGATTGCCAAGTACCATAGCGAATACCCAGAAGAACGCCGCGGTCCAGACGAGAAGGAAAAACGCCATGGAGAGCAGAGACGACAAGAGCAGGACTGCCACGAGGCCGCCTACGGAATAGGACTCGCACGGATTTGAAGCCGGTCGGTCCGGATCATTGTTATAGATCGATTGCGTCGAGGCCGATCGAAACGAGGATTTGCGCAGGCACACCAGTCGCTCGTGGATATGCAGCTGCGGGACGAGGAGATCGCATAGCTGCGCGCGGAACGAGGTGGATCGGAGGTAGGGAATGCAGGAGCAGAGACGAAAGGGGGCGGTGAAGACGACGAAGAACAGGCCGAAGACGGTGTATAGAGATGCACATAGTGAAAAGATGGGCACCGGCAGGGACAGTCGAAACTAAAAACATTCGCAAGATGGTTAGCAACGATGGAACATTTACCACCCCTCCGCGGACCAACATGACATGAAAGGGAAAGCTCACCAGCATCAGCAATGCGTCCTGGCTATCATCCGCCAAGGGTTCTTCGTCATGGATCGGCCGTTTGTGAACGCGAGGTGCACTATGATGGTGGTTGTCGCCAGACATGGATGACGAGTGATCGGTCCAACTTCCACGAACCCTATCTTCCTTCCGGGATGCCCCGTTAGTATACGACGCCGGGATCGACGCAGATCCATTCTCTCGGCGGGACGGAGGGACGGACACCGGAGCCACGGCCGGCAGGTCGGGGTCTGGGTATATCGACTCCCCCGGCTGTGGCTGCTGGTAGTGACGCGGCAAGCGGTGCAACTCCTGCGGATGTTGGTGACGATAAGAGACATTCCACGAATCCGGCGGAACGGACTCGGGAGCGGTGTCTTCAACCGAATTGAGTTCTGACGGAGGGTAGACGGCCGCCCCCTGCTTGGAACGAGTAGGATCCGATGGGGAGTCCGATGGATAGTGCGCTGCAGGAGGAACCGCGGGAGCCGTGGAAGGGTCGTGGAGGGATGTCGTCATGAGGTGACCATGATCTTGGTAGTAGGCGGGCGAATGGGTCATCTCCGGCTGCCTCATGATGGGCGGAGACCAGGGAATCGAGGGAGGGAGAGACAGTGAAGCAAACGAATATCTTCTCGCTCTCTCTCTCTCTCAGACCCCCTTGAGAAGTCGTTTACGGCGGGAGAAGCACAAGGTGGTACAAAGGCGCACACAGAGCGACAGGGACAAGCTCACCGCATGGCTTCACGCGCAAGGGGCATCACTTGTTCGGTCCTTAGGGCAAGGGTTTTTTGTCGGTCGATCCCTCCAAAAGCAAAGCAAGGCGGTGGGGGAGGGGTGGATTCAATCAGAGGTGAAAATATGGGGAGATAGGGGGGTGGGAGGAGCAGCAGCAGCAGCAGGACGGAGGCCGGGCGATAGGGAGGGGGGGACCAGGACCAGGAGGAGCGGAGGGAGGAAACCAGGAGACTTATAGGACTGCCATGGAGGCGGTCCAAGACAACAGATGCAGAGCGGAAACCCAAGAAAAGGACAAGAACCAAGAGAAAAAGGCCAGTCTTGTCGAGGGTGACTGCAGCGGAAGGGGTAAGTCTTTCTTCTGGCTTTTTTGTTGCCAAGACGCCCAGCTGCCGAGCCCTTGGCATGGACGACGTCAAAAAGAGTCACATAAATTCATCCATGGCGAAGGGAGACGAGGTTCCAAGGGAATTAGACTTCGTGAGAAGGAGACCGAGAGACGGTCATGACGAGGAGGCCGCGAGCAGACAACGTTCCATCGTGAAGATGCGGGAAGAGCCGCTAGACGATGAAGAATGATTTATTCCTAGGGAGAAATAGATTGAAGGAAAGAAAGAGGAACGAGTGGTTGGAATGCGGCGCCCGGCCCAAAACGAACGAACGCGGCTCGTAATTACAATACCGTCCGCCAAGATGCCAAGAGGCTGCGGGGATTATCGCGGCGCCTGCTGCAGCGCTGATTGGCCGATCGGGGCCAAAAATCCGCCCGTGATCCGCGTTCGGAGGTTGGATGCGCGGCTTGGCGGTATTACCACCCGATCTGGCGCGGTAACCAGGCCGTACGGTACCGTACCTGACCAGGTAGTGCTGACGCCGGTTTCACCAGTGGACACCTGGTCTTGCAGGCTGCCCATCTGTCTACGCCCTGGTCAACGGGGACTAGAGTTACCACGCTGCATGTCAATCAACCCCCTCTGATTGGGACGTCGGCCTCAATCTCCCATCCCCTCTCCGGCACTGGTCCTCGTCGACCTCGGAATGGCCACGCCCTCCGCAAACAAACGCCGAGCCACTCGCCGAGCCCTGCCGAGAGATTGGCACCCTCGCTCCGCAGGCCGTCTTTGCCGGCCTGCTGCAGCTGCCTTCGTGTATGAGTGGTGCAATAAGCCAATAAATTAGGTAATCGCTCGCATCTGCCTTCGTCGTGGCTTGTCTTTGTTTCGTGTCCAGCTCGTTGTTAGTCTCCAGCATGTCGATCCGGTCCGTGATACCTTACTTCCAACGTTGGACGTGACTCACTAGCCGCCTAGTTCTGGTCCTTTCTGGAGAGTCTCAAATAAAAGGGGGAACGGGCATACGTATATCCTGGACCCTCTCGCTACCTTCCTTTGAATCCTGATAATGACAAGCCGGAATCACGAGCGTTGGCGACCGATGAAACCCCCTGACTGGAGCCCAGCCCCAGCGCCCCGGCCAGTCCCTCGGAAGTCGTCCACCCAGATCTCCGCATCACTGACATGTGGCCTTGGGGCGTGGCAGCGAGCGACCAGGTAGAGTCATCTTCATCATCGATGATTACCCTTGGGCGGAACTATGCGACGATGGCAGCCCTCTTCGGGTTCTGGTCGGTCCTTGTACCACCGGTCCATCTCTCATCCCGCCTCTGGGCAGCTATTTCGGTTGGTTCATTTATATCTCGCAACTGCTCCAGCTTCTCTTGGCCATGTTGCCTAGATCTTGGAAAGGTCCGCTCGCTCTTGGCCCGGGGCGACGAAGATGCGACGAGTCGCAATGAGCGACGCGGCTGCAGAGCACGTCGTACAGCGTACATGGTTTTAGCTCTTCGTATGGGGCGCATGTATCCGTATCTCGCTCGCTTCCCTATCGGTACACAGAGCTTCTGGTTGATTGAAGCGCGAAAATTCCTCGTAGGTGCATGCGGTACCTTATCTCGGCGAGAGGGGAGCGAGTCGCTTGACAGTTCATCCCTCCCCCAGAATGAATCCCTATCTATGCACAAGTGGAGTCGAATGAGCATCTCATGATCTGCTGCGATAGCGTCGCACTGAGAAAAGTAACCACCTGCCAAGATCTGCCCGATCGGCGTCTTGCTCATCTATTAAGGTCTTGACGAACAGACAGACAGGCAGGAGAAATTAATCCAGAAGTAAACCACAGGGCGCGAACCTGCAGGCGGTCTGGACAACGCGATGCATGCCCAATCAGTCCCCGTGTAGCGGTGTAGATACGGGGAAGGCAAAAGAACAAAAAGAACTCCGCGGCGGACAATTACGACGACTTTCCGGAGATTTATAGCAGCCAAGAATTGGAGCGGATCCGAGGAGAACTCCTGAAATCACTAGGTCATACTCTGGAGCCGGTTGACACGGTTCAAGGATCGACTGGAGACCAGTCCCATCTCTCTCTCTCGCTCACCTCTCGCGGCTCTACCAAGAACGGCGGTTCTTGGTCTATTCTTGGGACCAACTACCAGGCATCCGATAGGGCTACCAGAAATTCGTGATTGATATACTACGTAGTACGTACGAAGTAGATTGATTGACCCTCCCAGGTCTGATCAGAACTTGCCGGTTTGCCGAATGATGCTAGCGAGCCTGCTAGCCAGTTAGTTAGTTTCCTCTCCCCTAGTAACCGCCTGCCCTACGGCCTTTGCCGAGTCTTTTGAATTCTCTAGTCTCTCCGGGCTCCCCTCTTCCTACGCAGTTCTCCACTCGTTTCAGAGTGAGGGAACGGGCGGCATGGCGATATTTCTCTTTCATAATGATAAATGAATCGACCCTCAGCATAAAATCCTTCCTTCCCCCAACGAACCGGCCCAGCAAATAACCGAAACGAGTATATGCAATGGTTGTCAAGGCACTGAATATCTTCCAATCATTCATTCATTCATACCTGCATACTACGCATACGGAGTACTACCTACTGCTCCTCGGAAGTGACTCGCTAAATCTTCATCAAATCCCGAATCCCGAGGAGACAAGAATGTGACAAGGGACGAATTCCTCCCCATGCCAATCATGAACCCCATTGTCTAATTGCCCCCTCGTCCACTCGCAACGCTCCCCAAAACCGGATTCTGCACGCCCTCCGATGTATGTATGTGCGTAGGAGGCCAACGGTGCGGAGGGGGATCGTCCCCCAAGTGAGGAGTCTGTGGGCCAGGGTTCCATCCGCAAGGCCCATTCAGCCTTAACGATTACTACGGCGCATGCGTCTGGCTCTTGCCAATCCCTGGGGTGATATATCGCATATCGGATTGGATTCTTGTCGTTCTTGTCGAGAGGGGTTGAGACTTGTCCTCTTGGGGTTTCCTCGGTTCGTGCTTTGGGGTTATTTTAACTGTTCGCATGATCAATTCTCCAGCGTTGCCCTCCCCAGTGTGGAACAAGAAAATAAAAATAAACATAAAAAAGGAAAGAGACAAAGCAAGAAAGAAACCCGAGATAGAGACCTCGAGAATCGCCGGTTTACTATGTTTATCCACCTACATACATGCCTTCCTGTCCACATGCAAGGAGCCAAGTGGAGACGATAACACATCAACCCGCATAATCATTCCCCTGCATCTGAGGGCATTTACGGCGCTCGATGAGTTCATGGCTGCGGTATGTCTGATTGCTGGAAATTGTTTACTTTTTCTTCTCTTTCGCTCTTTCTATTTCCCCCTTTCCCCCTCCCCTTTTGTGTTCCCTTTCTTATCGTGGCCCGCAAAGGATCCATACATACTCAGTAGACAGGTTCGACGATCATCGTGATGAATGCTTAATCGATGACGACTGTGGATGTAGCTGCCATGTTCCTTGCTGCGGTGGGACGGTGGCTGTTTGGTCATGCTGGGGTACATACTGACTTGGGTACCTGTGTCTGAATGGCCGGTTCCACGTAGATAAATTTGTAGTTGTATTCAAGAAGGGTGTATATGATTATTACAGTCCTGTCTTTGACAACTCAGGGCAATGTCTATGAGGGAATATTCCTTAGCAACAAGTTTCTGTCACTATTCTAACAATGTACGCATTTATCTATACCATCAATAGAATTGCATCGATAATCTATATCGACCCCTACTCACATGCATGATCTGAAGAGCAAGCCATCGGCGAGATAGACGGCGACAGTTCGACTCCCAAACAAAGTAACACTCCAAGTCCCTCACACATCGCCCTTTGGAGTCAACCGCGGCCAGGCCAGCTCCCCACCGTTCCTATCCTAGTGATACAGTCATGGCCATAGCTCCCGTGCTATTCCACGCGATGTACGGAGCACACCACCCCTTCTCGGTGCGCCTTTTTTAATAGATGATGTCAGTCCGCAGCATGTCTATGTAATATACAGTGGTCTATCGCGTTGGTGTCCATGTTGGTGTCATCGGTAAGGGATAGCGATTAGACGACTAGGGTTTTGCCCTGGGGTTGGGATCGAACGAGATAAACGAAGAAATGTGGTATACTGGCATGTTCTCTTTGCTACGCCTTGTTCATTGTATCTGTTGTACAGAGGTTGGGGCTGGGGTTGGTTCGGGATTCAGGGATATCTGCATTTTGATTGAAGTCTGACATGCGTTAGCTTTGGGGGCGTTGGCGAGATGTTGTGATTGTTTTGTGAATGGCTGTCTAATGATCTGAAGTGGTGTTACTACTAGGTAGTTCAGAGCGATCCAGAGGATGGATGTGAGTCTTTCTTGAAGTGCATGGAATATATACACAAGTTCCTCCCGGATCAGACAGTCTGAAAACGCCCCGAAAGAGAAAAGGAAAAGACCAGGGAGGTCAAACATTATTCCAATAATTAATCATCGATTTCTCAAAACTCGGGTT